ACAAAATGTTTATGTAATTATTCCAAGCATGATGACCATCATACAATAGGTACCATCATATAGGCCATATGATGGTACCTAAGGGACATAGCATTTTTATTTTAAATATCGTTTAAGTAACTATGTTAATCGATAAAGCACGTTACGCTCATTAATTCATTTTTAATTACCTAATGCTATTTGAAATAAATGAAGAAATTTTTTTCATTTTCAACCCAGTGTGCGTTCTTTATATATAGATACATACATGAATAGCATTATAGTCATAACGTCGTCATGTTATGGCCGTGGTAGAGTCATGTGTTCTAATTCCAGATAAGTACGATGTCCAGCCTGCATACACACACTGTAATTTTACTGCCTTGTCTCATCCTTCATTATAACCACATCTTATATACCTACTAAGCTAAATGAGAGAAAGAGGTACAAAACCATTGGTACAGGTAATAAATTAATAATAATAATCATTTATTCAGCATAGCATAGTACAGAGTGACAAAATATAGATGAATTAAAAGCGAATATAGCGCTTTGAGCTAAAGAGGCCTACACTTAGCTGGTGCTGCAGCGTGTCTGTGCAGCACTGATTTTCAGAGGCGCCATCGCTCGAAAAAAAGAAATAGCAATCTTGATATTTTTTATACTTTAAATAAATTAGATATATTGTTATGCAATTTATAGCAGACTTTAAATATAAAATTCATACACTTCGCTTTCCCACAGACAGTTACCTCATTATTATCAACTTATTTGTAACCTATAACCTAGTAATTATTTTATACTTAAGGTATACCTAAGCATAAAATAATTACTAGATTATGGGTTCACCACGCTTATAGTTAATTTAATAACGGAAAAGCTGCAAATAATTATATGTCACAGGACATACCTAATTAAATCACAATCATATCGGACATACACTATTTTGACTGCAAAACATTTTTTTATCCATAATAACGAAATAATGACCGAGAATAATTCATACAAAGCCATCTAGTCTCAAACTAAGCAGAGCTTCTACTATAGCTACTAAAGGCAGATATTTTTTTAAATACATACATAATATCCGTAAACAATAAAATCCTTGGTTAAGGTTAGCAACAATCACAGTCATTAAAAAATACTTTATATGAGAATCATACCCGCGACTATCGGAAATATGGCGCTGTGCTAAATCAATTATCTACCTAAGGCGTCAAAATAATTAAAGTTAACGTTATATCCTAGCAGAGAAGAAGATAAATGAATAAAGACCGAAATTCATTGGGAACTAACACAGTATACAGACCGACTGCATAAACCTTGATATTGAAGTGCATTTATGGCAATGGTTAATTCTTTGTTTTAATTGTTATTATTTATTTATTAAAACTTCAATATATATACAAAAATATAGGTGCATATAAATGGCTTATGGTGTGTGTGAGGTCCTCACACACACCATAAGCCATTTTCTTATAGTCGACCATAGGGCATACAGATATACAAAGATTAGTGGGCGGTACAACGATAAAAGGAGGTAGGTATAAATAAAATAAAATAAATAAATTCAAATATATATATCCGAATAAATATATAAATGGTTAAATATAAATACCTAATATATAAAAAACAACACATATACATATAATATTTATACACAAATGAAATACTTACATACTATATACAAATCTACAATGAATGGTCCTGTAAAAGCGGGAGATAATTTTGACAATACATTAATGTTGTAAATTTATTTACAAAAATCATTGGAAAGATGTTTTCGTAATTTGGATTTAAAGGGTAATTTAGTATCATATACATGTTTATGGATCCTATGTCGCCATAGTTTTTTTTACTTCTATCTTACAATGTGGTACATAGTTGTCAGATAATTAATTGGGCCTACATTGTAGTTAACGGTAACCCTTAACAATAACTCATCAAATAATTACGATATATGACATTGTATTGTCCCATGCTCTGTAATTTGTAGGTATGAAGCGAAGCGCTGTTTCATTATTGTATAAATAATAAAACAGTTTTGTAACTAAGTAGCGAAACCTCGTTATGTTTTGTAAAGTTGACTACATACAATATTAATTGTATTAGTAAGTAATATTAAAATATAGTATGGTGTAGGGTTATGGATCGTTAGCAATGTGAGCTAACTAACCTGAATTGGTACATTGCTAGCGATGGGCTAGCAATGTACCAATTCAGGTTAACCTCCACGCATTACCCCCCGGAAACCATCGTAATAAATTCCTTGTTAATTTGTACGTTGGGCCGATTGACCTGACCTCATGCTCATTTTATCCACCACTGGTGCCTCGCCAGCATAAACCAATAGCGCAGGCGGGTGAACCATTATATTATCATAGGTAAAAAAAGTAAATAGTATGGCTCAACGCCAGGCGCTTAATAAATGCTACGTAACGCAATCCATGCACAACTGATCGATTTTCCGTCAAACTCCTAATCGAATCTACTGAGCAAATAAGTAGTAAGTATGTTCTAAGAGTTTGCCTTTATAGGTTCGAAATCTAAAAGGAATCTATCAAAATTATAAATTTGAAATAAACAAAGCGGTTGTATAATAACAGCCTCGGTGGTCTAGCGGTTTAGCACTGCTTTACTTTCGTTGGTCGCGGGTTTAATGTCTCGCCTGCAAACATTTGTATTCATGAGTATGATCTAGGATCTGATTTTGTATTAGTCTAGGTGGTTTCTATGTGTATTACTATGTAATAGTATGTATTTACAACATATATCGAAGTATTTATATCAGTTGTCTAGTACCCATAATTCAAGCGCTACCTACCGTGGTACTAGATGGCGCTGTGTTAATTATCCAGGATTATTTATTTATATTTATCCATAAGTTTAATTCATTCTATGCGTCGCAGGCCTACTTATGAGGATGAAACGAAAATAAAAACGCTTTGTGAGACATTTTATGTGTTCTGAATGAAGGAAACACCGATAACAAAATCAAAAATTAAATCAAGAGACGGTAAGCTCGACTCTCTGCGACGTTGGTTTCAAATATATACAACAAAGTGTGTATTTGTGCATGGCAAATGTTTATTTAATCAGAAGGTCGACCACTGATAACAACACTGACTACCCCATCCACAATAACAGTCGTGACAGTGCACTTTCTTTCTTAAGAAACAATCTATATTTACTTATCAAACACTAAAAGTTGAAGTTATGGTAAAATTATAGACTACCAACTAACAATTTTGTAGTTTTAGTAATGGACAAATAATTGGTATGTACTTTGGTCAAGGGCGCATACAGCAGTTGATGTTATAAATTACATTTTAAACGAAGCAAATTATCAAATTAAAGGTTATTATTAAGGTAAAACAGACAAATCCCACGATAAGTAGGTACCTACTTATGCAACGAAATACAGTAAACGTAAGTATAAATTGTATAATATAATAAATTGGTTCCATGTAAATTAATTCAAATTGCATCCAATTTATTTCTTTTTTGGGGACGTTCTTATGTAATTTAATTATATTTTCTATGACTCGATATTTTAGCTTATTTCTGAGGTAATAATAAAAATTATGAAGTCTCTTAAATGTTCACATGGCCACATAATCTTCAACTACTACATAAATAAATAAATCTATGACGAATATAATATATATACATTTGTACATAATGTTCATAAAGGACTCGATAGTCTAACAGTTTAACATACTACTTTACTTTCGATGGTCGGGGGTACGATACAACTCTAGCATGATACAAATATTTATATTCACGATGCTTGCTTGTATAGAAATAGAAATAATCTTTATTACAACATTAGCACTTTTGAATAGTCATATTTTTTTTTATTTTACCACTCATAATTTGATTGTTTGGTTTGGTATCTGTTCATAAATATATGGCACAGAAAAATAAAATGTTAAAATTTCAAATGGTATGTATTGAACAACTAAATTCGTATATGTACCAGTCCTCCAAATACCTACCGTCTGGGGTTTTCTAAGTAATATACCTAAGGAGTGAAAGATTTTAAAATTACGGTAGTGTTCATTATGTAGTGGCGGGGACCTTTCTCCATTGTGATGTGAGACGTGGACTGATAACCCTTGGACTTGTTAGCAATCTACCATATTAGGTTGACCTCCACGCGGTTTCCTCTGGAAAGCATCGTTATAGATTCAGGGTGAATTTACCACGATTGGTTAACTGACCTAACCTCATGCTCATCTTACCATTCTCCACTGGTGCCCCGCCAACAAACCATATAGCCAGTAAACTATAGCCATAAGAAAAAGAAAATTATGTATAGATATTAGTATAGTGAACCGTTGCTATTATGACATGTTTTGATATTTATTTATATAAGCTGTTTTTATTAATGTTATGGTGTATAGTTGTTTGTTAATTTCGACCTTGAAATATATTTCTAAAAGAAGGCGGAACACTTGTTAAAAAGCTAGAATATTAAATTGTAAACAGAATCAATAATAGACTTGTTCTTTAAAAATTCAACGTAGTATATTCAGTATTATAAACGAAACTATACAATAGAAGTCTGTTAATGTCCGACTGCAAGACATGGGACCCTTCTTATAATACGACGATACTAGCCTGCTCTACAACACTGGATTAGAGACTTGATGTACTTAGGCTTATTTCAAGATTCCCTTGCTTTATACTGACCGATACACTGACGCCCATCTCCTAATTGCCTTTACAATATAATGGGGATGAAAAGAAGTAGAATTACTATATTTACCATTATCCTTATTACATTTATCTTTGTCTTATTATATAATCTTGAGAAGAATTATTAAGTTCATTAATAAATAAATATCCATACGAATAACTCTGTATAAATCAATTAATGAATCAATAAAAATTGATGTCAAGGATTGCTAATATAAATAATAATGCTAGTACGGTCAGTGTAATTGGACCTTATCATACACTATGTACATAAAACCCTATAGTGACTATTTAATATGAACTTGTGATGTATTATTGACTGTAGAAGTAAGTGATCCTTTGTTGAGTTAGAACGTCTAGTCTGTGAGTGCATAGTTGACTATAAGTGATAAAGATGCATTTGTAGAACTACATCTATAAAAGTAAAATCTATTGAGGACATACGGAAATAATATTCAGTAGCATAACTTATTTACATCACTGTTTTTAATTTTAAATGTAAGTCGTTCATAGATGTTTATCGTCTAACAACCAATTATTCAACTGGTACTGGCCAAGGGTTTCTCATAATAAAAAATTGTTTCTGTCACGGTAACCAAACGGTTTGATCTAAGAGTTTGTTTGAAGTTTTCATTTTCTTCTGCCGTTGTTTTTATAAATTGTCTTAGTCTTACACACACATAAGCAGACCGCTTTTTTTGCTATATTACTACTAGAATACACAACTAATTAATATCTCTAGTTGTTAAATATAAGTATACATGGGTAGCAAGTAGATTAAGAAATAACAATAGAATATAGTGTATTACAGTATAGATTACACATTATATATATATATTATTTATTAAACTAAAATATAAGAAATATTGGATCTTAAATCTCGGCCTTAAATCCTCGTCGATACCTGGATGTACAATAAAATCAAAGGCGATGTTTATCACCATTCAGTAGACGAATGAGTTACTTTGTTTGTGATTTACTAGTTCTGTAAAGAAACTGTCTACTATTTTATTATTATCTTGTTTTATGAGAGCCTTGGCTGCAATCAGGTAAATATTTTTAAATCCAATGAGGCAAATGATTAGTGACGTCTTTTGAACTAATATTGAATTTGAGCAATGGTATCAAAGTATTACCAATATGATCACTTTGAGAATAAAAATTAATAACAGGACCTTTTATAATATTTTATTATTTAAAACTTTAGAGCAGGATATACGAATAAACAACTCATTAAAGCAGTAACATTAGTTAAAAATTTAATAGAATTAGAATACAGTAAACGATCTTGGACTAAAATGAAAACTAGAAATAAAGTCCTACGCTAAGTCGCCTAATCAAACTGTTAACTAACACTTGGTCCCCTAATATAGAATCAAGAGACACAATCTCAGTTGTATGAGTTGAGACATAAAAATAAAAAATATACAATAATTTGTTTACCCATGGACCATCAGTAGTCCTTAGACCGCAGGCCAAGTACCACTGAATTGAAGTATAAAATGTATGCGCTTATTAAAATAAAATAATAACCGAAATTACAGTAAAATGGCGAAATTATCGAGACGTGGAAACGACTCGGTGCACTGGTTCATGAGTGAACTAACTTCTCGCGTAGTAGCCGATACAGGGAATACCAACGATCGATTCCATTTGGGGAAAGTGATGCTGCAGAGCTTCAAAGACGACCCTGACTTTGTGATGATGGTTGGTTCATTAATATTTATACAGCATTTAAAGAGAAATGTCGTAACTCTAACGAAACTCTCTAACTAAATATAAATATAAAAGCAGTATAAATACACCCATATTTTCCATATTATAATTACTTATTTTATCTATTAGTTAAGTAACTATCGAAACAGATTACCTAGATAAGATCGATCAAAAGTGTTGCATTGTTTTACTTTAGATTTTTTCTATCTAATGGTGATCTGGCGAGTGGTTCTAGAAGAAATTTTATTATTACTATTTCAACTATTAAACTATTTTAATTAGTCTATAACATTTTGTAACTCATATGAGTTTTGTATATAGCAACATAAAGTGCAGCCTATGTCACCCTGGAATCTTTAAAACAACAACACAACCTTCCAAGTATTTTTTCCAATCGGTGTTATGTTTTAAAAATTTACTTTCCTCATAAGAAAAACGGTTTCTCCTAATCTCCTATAATATTAGCTCAATCGATTGAGAGAACTCATTTAAAACTTAGTACATTTCACCACATGCGACAAAGACAATATTTCATATGGACGTGGAGTTTATTTGAGGGTACAGAAATAATATATTTGAACGCAATAATTACCGAATGTGAGCATGCTTTCGTGGGGTCGGTAGGAATTGCTATGCAAATAAAATAGACTTTTATACTAGTTTCCAATAAAGGTTGTTACTGGACCATCTGAAATGTTTAATCTCAGATCGATGGGGCAACAGGCGAATCTATTACATACGGAGAGGTTTTGGAGAAAACGGTACGATGTGCCATTTCGTTTAAAAGTATGGGACTGCAAACCGGTGACGTCATTATTCTCATGGCTCCTAATCATGTGGATGTAGCGATTCCATTTTATGCAGCATTTTATCTTGGTGTCATCGTTGCTCCAATTGACAGGACTCTGGGTATTTGTGAGTATACCTATATTATCTATATACCTAATTATAGTTGCTAACTCTTCACCCCTATACTACATAGTAGAGAAATAAAATAAAAATAAATCTCAGTCAGTTTGTTTGTCTTTTCAATTAGATGAAGAAAAAAGATGTTAATTTAAGAAGTCGCCACTTTAGATTTTTCTTACTACACGAGTTACAAAATATTTCAGCGGAACTTCAAGGGACATTTAGTATAGATAAACCCAAACTTATATTCTGCCAAAGCGAGAAAACGCCAGATATTCAATTTGCACTTAATGAGTTGGATATGGATACGAAAATAGTAACGTTCGACAAAGTTGACGACCTATGCAGTTTTTCTGAGTTTCTAGAAGAATATGGCGATGATAGTCCTATTGAAGATTTCAAGTAATCACCTTTGTTTTCCTTTATCATTAATTTAAATTTATTGGTCTTTTTACATCATTTTTTAATACTTTAATGTAGAATATAGAATCTAATCGTTATTAAAAATAATTTATTTAATAGGAATAATAGTAGTGCGCCCGCGGCACTGATGGGCTGTGATATATGATACACATCACCATCTAGTCCCAAATAAAGAACTGACGCTATGGATACTGTACAACTGATAGGAGAACTTAAATATGGATGTTGTAAACAAATCCATAATACACTAAAGAGAAAAAGAGGCATCTTGAGGTATAAAGCACACCGGCATTATAAGACCAGGAAAACTTGAACTACAAATAATTCCTATATATAAACTACTTAGCATGCTAATAACAAGTTAATAACCTTATCTTATGAAGTGACCAGTGTCTTGTAGAGTATTAATAGATACTTATGTATGATACCATTATCAATCTATAACCATTTTTAGATTGACAATCGTATGCTATTAAGAAATTATAAACGTAAAATGGACGCTAAAATTAAAATAATAATAACGCTTTTTTTAAAAGAGCGGTTTATTTTTAACTTACGAATGTTTAGTTACAGATACTTTCAATAAGATCTATTACAACTAAAAGAATTAATTTAACTGAATTTGCAATTTGATTTTTTTATTTCTTATTATCCGTTGAGAATAGATATACATATAGAAATATGTATATCTATAAAATATAATAGATATAATTATAATTATTATACTTTATAATCTCTGCCTATGATAAATAATAAAAGGAATATAATGTAAAGTACGCAGATTTAATATAATACACATAGATTCATGATATACATTGAATAAAATTTGATATGGATATACTTTGGATTCGATGTGCACATAGCATGATGAAAATGTAAAAGCTATCGATGCCTAACAATATCTATTAGAATAGATCTAACAGACTCTAGACCCCTGTAGTTCTAATTACTAATTAAATATGCGACATTGGTCACTAGCAATTAATGGCACATTATTGGCCATTGCTAAGAATATAAAAAAAAACTAAGGAAACATCATTAATTGACTTTTGATGATGGATTAACAATAATAGATTTCCTCAGTAAGAAGTAGAAACGTTCACTTTAATTAAGTACTTGTAATACACTATGATTCTAGGCCAAATGATTTTGACCCGGAGGAGACGGTTGCACTTCTAGTAGCAACCAGTGGAACTACTGGCCTACCCAAAGCTGCAGCTGTTACACAAAAGAATCTCTCTATAACCAGCCCATATCTGTGGTAAGATATAACGTAAAAAAACTTAACCGTTATTCGCTAATATGTATGACAGTTAAGTTTTTTTATGGATATTGGAATGGCGTACCCGCTTGAGCTAACGGGTTACACTGGGGGACCAGTAGGGGATTATATGGTGGGGAAGTAAGACAGCTCCTTGTGGCGAATTCACTAGTAATTGACCACGTTGGTTTCCAGGGTGACGGCATGGAGATTAGCCTAATAGGGAACAATCGCCTCCCCCATTAATAATTAGTAGGAATAAGTGAGACTGAGGTCAGGCAGATATCCCTTGATTTAATATCTTTCAATTCATGTCAGTTTGGGGGAAAACGGATTGGTGAAATTGTCACGATGGGCTAACTGACCTGATCTCATGTTCATCTTATCATCCTCCACTGGTGCCCCGCCAGCGTAAACCGTTAGCGCAGGCGGGTGCACCATTCCATTATCATCCAGGAAAAAGAAATATCTTTCTTCTTGAATTGTACCTGTTAGATAAATTCTTAGCTTTTTTTCTTACTTCAGTAGTAAAATACAAATATTGTAAATGCTGAATACTCATATTATTGGTATGTGTGCATTATTATAACATAATTGAAAGTTTTTTATTTACTAATAATCTATCTTTGTAAAAGTTTTATACCTTTTCTTTTGTAAACATGTACATAATATTCATTGAAAATACCCAGACTGATGCATAAAATCAGACTCATGAATACAAATGTTCGTACCGAGCGAAGAATCGAACCCGCGATTATCGGAAGTGGAGCGGTGTGCTAAACCGCTAGACCACCGAGGCCGTCCAATTATAATTTATTGACAAATTACAAAACAGGTGTAGATACTACAAATTTCCTACACCTACCCGCATGGCGTTGGTTGGTTCTCCTCTTCAGTGGTTGACAGCTATCATGCACTTCATTATATCTCCGATGCTGAAGTATACCCGATTGCAAACTTCGCAGCAACTGACACAAGAACATGCATATCACCTCATTAATACGTATAGGGTGAGTTTAGTGGTTTATTTCTAATAGTTTTGATGTTATAATTATTCGCATGGTAGTGTGTATTCACACAAAATCGTAAATATACATATAAAACTATTTAATTACCCTTTTGTACACATTATACTCATAGCGAGCTTAATGCCAGGTGATATTCTCTATATCAGTTAACCTTTGTGTAGAACAGAAATTATGAGTAAAAAGCGATGCAGATTGTTATATAATTAAATATGGATTATATAATGATATAAATAGTTAGGAGTGCGATAAAAAAATATATTATACCGATATATTAAGACAATAATGTTTTACAGACAAGTATTAAAACTTATTTCCAAATCTGCAATAATCTGATTTTTTTCCCATTTTCTTGGTTCAATCTAAATTCGGAATTTAGTGATTAGAGGTGCAATCAAAATTTTTATATTTGTATTTTATATTTTTGGTATAAAGAAACAATTAGTATTATCTTCAACTATACACTATTCAATTTGACTTAGTTCTTAGAACATATCATATATAATTCCGCTAGATTATAGTATATTAATGTAAAATAGATAAGTATTAGTAGGTATTATTATGAGACATTGTTCTTATGATATGTAATGATAATTAATGATAATGTTTGTTTCCACATGTAGGTTCTTTCTTCTTGGTAAAAAAATATTTATAATTGAAATGCAAGGCACTGAATTGGCTAGTACTATATTATAATAATACGTTAAATAAGTGTTGTGAACATTCATACTGTACATCTAAAATCATTTATATTTAATTTATTAATATTTAATAATAAAAATAATATTTAAATATTAATTTTTATGGCTAATAATAATTAATTAATATTAATAATAAATTCCTTTTAGCCAACTCACTCGATTTTTTCACCGACATTAATGACGACACTTATAAAGCCCGGAGATAGAGAACAATGTGACTTTACAAGTTTTGAGAATATTTTGCTGGGCGGTAGTGCTGTACCGCAGGAACTTATTGATGAAATGAAGGTAATATGACCTAAATCTCTAACCCATTTATATAGATTTTGAAATGAAATGAAATAATATATTTGCGAAATATTGGTACAGTATTATAATTAATATGATGTTACATGAAATTGATTGATCAGCAATATTTACCATACAGGCATGCAAATTACGTGAAGGTGTTAAGTGACAGCGACCAAGTGACAGTACCAAAGAACAAGTTAAAGACTTGTATACTGTAGACTTTGTTACTCTTTCGCGCAAAAAGCACTCATCGGATTTTTAAGAAATTTAATAATTAATATAGCTTATACATCACAATAACAAATTGGCTAAAAATTTAAACTGGTGAAACCGTGGGCACAGCATATAATAATAATAATTATAGGAGTGTGATTCTTGTGTTCCGATAGTGAATGTTTAGATGTGGTGTTCATGTATAACTAGGTGTGCCTCGGTTTCACCAGCATTAAATTTATAGCCTATGTGTTATTCTGATGAATAAGCTATATTATTGTAAAGTTTCATCAAAATCCGTTCAGTAGTTTTTACATGAGAGAGTAACAAACATCAATTCATCGATCTCTCCATCTATACTCACAATAAAAAAAAATATCATTATACTGCCATAAACAAAAGATTAAAATAAAATATATAATATATTTATTTTATATATACCTAGCTAATTACGGTTTAATTTTGTAACAGGCGATATCTCCAGACACAGAGGTACTCGACGTTTATGGGATGTCAGAGCTGACCAACATTGCTTTTAATGGTGATAATGCACCTCCTGGGTCCTGTGGAAAGCCTCTGGGATGTTTTCAATACCGGGTATGAGTTACTATACTGATATTTTTAATGAAGGGTTGGTAAAGTTAGTATAACGTACTAGTTGAAAAGATACTATGAAGGGTTGAATATGATTTCAATGGAGCATCCGCCTGCGCTAACGATATATGATAGCTAGGGATTATGATGTCAGGTTAATTAGCACATCGTCAAAATCAGTAGAAGTTATTCTAGTGGTTAATTTTACATACTTAAAACCGTGCTTGCTTTCCAGATGGGACGTGATAAAGTACATTACTTTTAATGGGGATCACTGATAATTACTATCTAGTAATTCAGATTATTTCTATTGAATAATTACTTTTATTTCTAATCTCTTAAGGCTTATTAAGTGTAATTATCGCTTGTACTGCTAGTTAAATACTAGCAGTACCCGCGACTTCATCGAACACTACACTATCATCAGTGTAATTTCATGAAAATCTGTTCAGACTTTAAATAGTTTAAGAACTAAATGCATGTAAACAAAATTTTATTATTTATAATGTTGATAGATTATGTATATGGCTTTTATTGATTGCAGTTAGTAAATAGTGAAACAAATGAAGATATATTGGAACCGAATATTCGAGGAGAATTGTGGATGAAAGGACCTGGGATTTTTCAAGTAAGGACAATTTTAGTACGTTAGAAAATAATGTTTTTATGTATGTAGCAACCGAATTTGAAAAAAGATTAATTCTTTTTTCGCTATTGCTCATATGATCTAATTTGTTACATTCTTTTATTTTATAAAAATAATGCAGGTTCAGAATTTACTTATATGACTATGATTTCTGATTTAGGGCTACTATAACAACCCTGAGGCAACAGCTGAAGTTTTTACCGAGGATCGTTGGTTCAAAACTGGCGACCTTTTCTACAGGGACGAGAACTGGAATTTCTTTTTTGTGGAACGAATTAAATTATTACTAAAATATAAGAGTAATCAGGTTAGTGTTTGCATGTCTTGAAACAGTAATAATATTTCAGTACAATTCACACTATACCATCCAATCTAAATCTCCAAATACATAGATTTTTTTTTAATACATGCACAATATATAGAAAATACCCAGATCGATACAAACAATTATATTCATGAAATAAAATATTTGTGCCGTGCGAGAAATCGAATCCGCGGCCCGCGAAGTAAGGCGGTGTTTTAAACCGCTAGACTATCGTGACCGTCAAAAAATAGAATTATTCGATACAAAATGACGACAAAATATGTGAAAGCGAATTGTTCTCCAATAATTTCTGTTATTTGATGTTTAGGGAAATACTGTTATTCCGTTATACATATATGTTGGATGACAACTTCGTTACTAAGCGAAAAAACCCAATGATTTACAGTAACACTTTTTTAAATTTACAATTTTTTTTTGTTCTCTAATGGGTACAATTAAGAGTATCAATCAAAATAAAATTTCTATGTTTAGAAAAGTACTTCTTTTTATAGATATCTCCTGTAGAAGTAGAAGGTGTCATCCGTCAACATCCTGGTGTAATGGACGTGGCAGTGACTGGTATACCAGACCCTGAATGTGGTGACTTACCAGTAGCTTGTATTCTCCGTCGACCAGGATATGACGTCACTGCCGATGATATTAAAGACTTGGTAAAAGGTAAAAACAATCCTTTTTATATCTGTACTAGTTATGCCCTCAATATATATTGATAAAAATATGTCTTCAGTATACACAGAGAATAAAAATAACGTATTCGTACGTATAAATATGTTAGTAATTTTCTATTATAATGTAAAATTAAAGTCAAAATATCATTTCATTTTTAATGCCTACTAGATACGTCTAACGTAATTACTTAACGTAGGAACAATTAGTATGTAACTACATATCGGCATCTAGTATTTCTAAAATTTTACAGCTTTCCTAAAGAACCAAATTGGAAAATCGAAATATTTTTCTATAACCTCCACCAACCAAACAATGTGATTAAGTTTTATAAATATTTTATTTAGCTTTTAACTTGGTATACCATCTATATTTATTGTATAATTTCAGAGTCGCTGTCTGATGCAAAACAATTGAGAGGCGGCGTGATCTTCGTATCAGCTATACCAATGACAGCATCCACGAAAGTACATCGACGGAAACTGAAAGAAATGGCTCTTGAGCTTGAGAGGGAATAAATTTAAAATCTCACTATTATTTATATTTAATATAGAGTTTAATTATTTTATAGGCACTCATAAAGTTAGATCTACACAGCAAAATATTCTGTATTAAGTATCACAGTGAGCGCTTTTTAATATGCACTTAATTTTAGTAGAAACTCAAAAGTTCCACAAGGACTTTAAATAATGTGAGATTCTTGCATGCTTGTGCCTACAAGAATGCAAGAATTTCATTTATAATAATAATATAAAAAGTTAGTACAGTGCAGACGTCTAAAGATCAATTTCAGCTAGAATGAGCTGACAAATACAAAGACACTGTTCTACATGAAGATTTCAAATAATAGTTTTATAGATATAGTGCATCACTAGTTCACTGAGTTTTACAGTAAAAATAATAACAAAGTTGGTCACATAAATAAAATTAATACGAGTAGTGATTACTCTGGAGATGTAAGTCGCAAAGAAAATTTCAATACGTTTGTGAACAAATGTTCTAATTGGTAGAGAACTGCCTACTGAAAATATTTGCTCTCACTTTTTAATACTAATGTACTTAGAGCAATAAACACATCGTTTTATAAGAGTTAGCACTGCCCTTATAAGAATTGTACTACGTTTGATCTATGCAATGTCAGATCTGAAGTAGATCTAAAACGGTATCCTTCGACTGTTATACGAAATTGATTTTATTTTAATAGAGACGGGCTTGGATATGACGACAAAATATTCAAAATGAATCTCATTGAAATTTTTTTTTTGCAAATATACCGTGAAAAAAACGGTACAAATGCCTACAATTTTTTTAAAATTTTAAGTCACGCAAGCCTGGCACATATAATGCATATATTTATTTTATTAGGAATAAAATATTTGATGTTCCATTATGATTTATCTTTTTAAGAAATGAATGCCTAATGGTTATTGAGATAACAACAAAACATATGTTGTGCACTATTTAAAAAAATATTAGAAGATGTAGAGGACTAAAGCTACTATGGAAGTTTGATATAGACAGTCTCGATACCACAGAGACAATGATTGATTTGACTTGAGTATTACTTGCTATTATGAATACTATATAAGATTTACAATTAGTGCTAATTTATTTATTTGCTTGAAGAAAATATATATAAAAAATACATTGTCTTTGCATATTTTATTTAAAATAATTACCACGAAGCATTTTTCATTCAATTTCTAACTCACAGGAAGGTGGTCTACTAAAAAATTACAAATTTTAATGTTCTGATTCTAACGATGTACAAAATACATTACATCGTGCAATAAGTGCAATGTAAAATAAATTAGTATGTTTAATGAAACAAAACAAAAGGTCCGACAAAAAACAATACAAACACTTGACTGATATCTAACATTCAAACTGTCACTCGAACCTTCAAATTTTCCCATAGTATATTCCTAGATAATAATGAATCAATATTCTCTTATCTTGTGCTCTTACCGACTTTGATACCAATTTGGAAATTGTTATAATAAACGAACATCATCCTTTACTTACATCATGCATAATAGCAATTGTAACGATAAGTAATTATTATTACTATATATTTAGATATAGACATACGTATAAACTTTAGGACAGAAAAATCAGTTTACTGCAAAAGAGTATTTTTTACTTACCTAAAATTACTGCCGATCTATCTTATAATAACTTAACGGCCTCGAAAGTTTTTTTTTTACCACACCGCTTTTCTTCCGATGATCCCGAGTATGATTTCTCACCCGGTACAAATATTTTCTTTCAGTAATATTGTTCACATGTTAGAAACATGTAAACATTTAAAATAAAGTCTTTATTTATTTTTAAATAGAAACATGTGAACAATATTACTACGGTAAATTCATGCTATGCTAGTTAACTTGAGGTCTCTACATTGTCTTGGAGTTTTTAGTAGACCCAATTTTTTTTCCTACATAATTTGTGACTCCTGTGTTTCTGAGTTCTGGTATGCATCTACCTACCTACATACCAGAACTCAGAAGATCCGGAATGCAGTTACAGTTTTAACAGTTTCATTTTTATTAAACACTAGCATTGTCCTGTGGTTTTACCCACACATATTAGCCATCCCCGTCCTCTATTGAATCTTATCACAACGCCATCCTCCGTTTTCACATAGGATTATATTTTTGACTCATTTCTATTTACTCGGCTTCTTAAATTTGCAACGTCATGACAATAAGGCCATAAGAAATATGTAAAAATGTTTTTTAAATCAAAATTTACGCACTTTTGATGTATATTTTTTATTATACCACTTATTCGGCACGCAGACTCATCCCAAGAAGAAGAAAAAGTTGTGGGTTGATCTTTTAACTTTCCGACTTTCAAATCCAGCGTTTCGTTCCATCCACCGTTCAAACAAACAAACAAGCCATTCAGCTTTTTATATAAGTATAGACGTAGATAATATTAACAATGATAAATAGACATAGTACTCGGCGCAGATAGATAAAGAAATCAAATAAATACATAACAATGGACTTAGATCTGAATATGAATTTCTTCCAGTCAACCTTGATATTAAGATAGTTAATCTCCTGATAAATTACTACAACGTTTACTACGTCTAAATTTATGAACTAAAGTTATAATCTGTGACATAATTGTTTCATTCCTTCTAGTTCTAATGTTCTTTTAATTAAACTAAGTTCTGACATAAGTTCTAAGGTACATAGGTTAAGTAATAAAAAACGTAAAAATACATGAGTAAATCGGCCTAACGGTTTCATTTCTAGCACAATTAAAATTAAGTGACGACCATTTTTTGTTATTAGGGATTTGTTATTAAAAAAAACAATGGCAGGGTTGCAAAAAGTAAAACATGAATAAATAAAATAAAACTAAATAAAATTCTCCTACATAACTCATTTGGTTCTCAAACCTTATACATCATAGTATTTTCACTGATTTCTGTAGGTCAAAATAGCATACAAACTTGTTTAATGATAAATATTTCACTCAATTCTCACACCAAAGGTTTACTCGTATTTCTATGAGGATCCCCGTGCGCTTAGCATTCCTGATCGCCAGCAATGTGTGTGTCGCAAAACAAAGAGAAAATCGTTCTCATTACAAAAAAAAAATAAGAAAAATAAAATTGGTTTAGTACTACTACTAATCTTCCACCATTATCCCATCTTAATTGGGATTGACTCTTCTAATAATCCGTCTTCAGATACTATATTTGAATCGTCATTGGGTCTATATTTACACGAGAAAGGTCTTTATTAATGGTGGCTATCCAAGTTCCTCGAGGTCATCCATGCGTCTTTTGTTTAGGATTAACGTTTAGTACTTTTCTAGTCATACGGTCAACTGGTCTTCTCATGACGTCAGTCACATTTTATAATACACAAATAATGCTGATGAACTTTACTGCAGACGGGAGATGTTAAGAGTCACTATAGAGAAATTTGATAGCGAAGTCGCAAGGTCGTTTAACCCAATTGCTATAAAAAAAGCATAAATGAAAATACTTTTTCAAATCCGATTGGTAATCGTCCCAACACAAGATTTCCGCTTTTCGTATATTAGTATAGAAAATTTAAAAGCATGATAATGAAATGATGCACCAGCTTGCATTAACAGCTGCAATATATCAGTAGAGGAGGAGGATATGATGAGAATCTTAAAATCGAGCCAGTTAGCCCATCATAATGAATTCGACACAATGGTGTCTGGGGGACCGCGTGGAGATCGATCTGATATTACTCTATTCTCCATTCCTAATAATCAGTTTCCCTTTATTAGTAAAGACTTCAATAATATAAAAAGAAAAATATGTTATGAGATAATGGAAAAATCCATAACTGTATTGAATGATAGTTGTATGTAAACACTTGTAAATATTTTTTTGGAAGTCATACAAATAATAATATGATTAGATGTGTGGTATAGACATTCAACTACTACTACTATATACGATACTACTGGTCCGATTTTGAAAAAAAATTACGTATTGCACATTTGTTTAAATATAATACGCTACACGCTAAGATCTATAAGGAGCTGAGTTGTAATTAAAAATGATGCAAAAACGGAGAAAATCTGACGAAGATGCGAGCAGGCAGTTATCTTATAAACTATAGGTATATTGATGCCCTGCAAATGATACAACGTATTACTCATTATACAAATCATCACACACCACAATAGTCGTGTGCTGAATTAGAAGACTAAATAGTAGTGATACATACAGTGTACTTATAAATATTTCATAATACAGCAAGGTTTAGAAAATAAAAAGGTTTGTTTCTAAATCTCGATATTAGTTCTTATGTTTTTTTCAAATGCTAATTAGAATCCTCCTACTACAGTGTCATATTATTTTAGCAACATTATATATACAATGTAACAATGTAACAAAGTAATCTATTCTTTTTTGGAAAAATGCTAAAATGAAGAAGGCTTATTTTAAACTAGCGTTACCCGCGATTTTGTTCACGTGTAATAACTTTTTAAAATAACTAAAATTAATAAAATAAAAGTGTTGTTGTCCTTATAACATTATCTATCTGCGAGTGTAAGTTCCGTCAAAATCGGTCCAACCTTTTCAGGGATTAGCAAGAACAAATTGACAAATATATAGACACACAAAATCTTATTTTATCATTTTAGTATGTACGTAAGTACCTAGTTAAATATATTTTCATATGCATTTAGTGAAAAACTATTAATTTGATATTACAAACAGATACTTCGATTTTATTAATTTATATAGATATAAGTATTAAATAGATCATTCTATTAGTTACTGTTTTAAATGTCCATCACATTATTAACTATACATTTTATACAAACGGGATATTTATTTACCATCTACAAGTCTATTAGTTTCTATCAGTACTAGAAAATAATTTTATTTTTATACAAGCTGTTACCCTTTACAACAATACTATACAATTTAGTCCTCGTGGAATTTTACAAGTTACTCCTTATAACACTTATTTGCGGTTTTGTAGAAAAAAAGGAATAAATAGAAATCATCACTCATAAAAAGTAGAATAATACAAGCGGGAATAAAATTATTCAATTAAAATACAGAGACCTCAAAATCGATCCAGAATTAGTGACTACACCTATATATGCTTTTTCAATTTAGTTATAGTACTAGAAGTATTTATAAATTTAATATGTATGAATCTAATTTATTTCTATGTACAAAATCCAGGAAGATGGGAAAATCACAGAGACGTGTCAACGACTCAATACATTGGTATATGAATGAGTTGACAGCTCGAATAATAGCCAAGTCAGGAAATCCCGACGACAGGTTCCATATGGGGAAAATATTGTTGCAGAGCTTCAAAGATGAACCTGAATTAGTGACAATTGTGAGTTTATATACCTGTCTTATATACTGTGATAAAATTGAAGGTTGAAAACTTTGCTTGCTGAACATCTTATATGCTGTTTGTACTTACAAACAGCATATAAGATGTTCAGCAATAACAGATGATGGATGATTAAGATGACCTTAATTATTATAGGTATAGAAATAAGAGTGTGATCACAACTCTACCCTACACATGCATAACATTTCTGATAGGACAGGAAAAGGCAAAGGTTAACCTGATGAAATCAACTCCAAATAATTTAAAACATTATTTTGGACCACAGAATATACCGTCAAGCAAACCATTCATTTGGTTCCATTATATATACATAGTCATTCATTCTTTTGCCAGTTATTATTTAATAAACATGGAACCCCAAGACTATTTTTGAAATCGTTTATAATTTACTATCTGATAATTGGTATCACAATTTCACAAAGAATCTGGAGATGTTTATATTTTCATAAATAAAACATCTCGATATAACAGCAAACATTTTGCTTCCTATTGTATCAGAATAGTAAAATGATATGATATCATGGCATACAATGTAAGATTATAAGAGTGAACATTGTCGAAACATACAATCTTAAGAAACCACTTCGGTCTTATTACAAAAAATCTGTTAAAACTCGGATGAAACGTGGTCTAAATAGTCGAGGTTTAAACCATTCCTAAAGTTAATACTTGGAATAAACCGAACATTATTATGAATCCAGATTTAACAGAGGTCTACTTAGTACTACAGTTAAATCGTTCATTATATATTCCCCACAGATAATATACACTTACTTATAGCAAAATAAGCTCTTACTAATAGAAATATATGATGTATAGGTACATATAGAATTACTACAAGACTACTACAAAGTTTTCCTATGTTATCAGATATTAAACAGTTGTTTTCGTAGATCGACGGGGCAACAGGAGAATCAATTAAAAATAAAGAATTGTTGGAGCGGAGCGTGAGATGTGCCAACTGTTTCAAAAATATAGGCTTAAAAAAGGGTGATGTCATAATCCTGATGGCTCCTAATCACATCGACTTGTCTATTGCATTTTATGCTGCTCTGTTTGTTGGAATTGTTGTCGCACCTATTGATAAAACTCTTGGTGTTAGTAAGTACATATTTAGAATTTTTATTAGGTACATGTTTACTACTAAATATAAAATACCATGCAAACCTGCAAAATCGGTTGATTGACTAACTTTACGTATTCGGGTACTAGGGGTGAATCATAAGATGAGTATGGATTCAGATCAGTTAACTCACTGTGACAAATTTACCTGGAAATCAGGATAGTTTCCATAGGGAACTGTGGAGTTCAACCTACATACATTAAATTCATTACATTGCTGGCAATTGGTTAATGAACTCATTAAATTAAAAAGGTTTTTAAAATTAATAATTTTATAGTAAACTAGCTGTTCCCGCGATATCGTCCGCGTGGATTATTTTACTAAAATAAAAGTAGCCAAGTTACTCCTTATTACATCAGCTACCTACCAAAAAAGTCCCGTCAAAATCGGTCCAGCCATTTCAAAGATTAGCAACATTTGATTTGGGAACAAACAGACCGACAGACAGACAAAATGTTATTGTAAAAAAATGTTATTTTGGTGAATGTACCGTATTTATATTTCTATGCATGTAGTAAAAAACGGTTATTTCAATATTACAAACAGACACTCTAATTTTGTTTATATGTATAGATGTATAGATAAACACATTTACCTGTTTCGAGGTTTCGACTAGGTTGTGCTGGTCATGATCATGAGCTGGCTGTTTATTTACCATTAAAATTATTCGTGTTCTAAACTTTCGCACACATTATTAAACAAGTATGCCGTTTAATAATGTGTGCGAAAGTTTAAAAATGAGTAATGGATATATTAGTCCACATTACTAACAATGGAATTGTTCTTCTTCTTTTTTATCTATTTGTATGTTAAGGTTGCACTTAGAAACGGCCGGAGGTATTAGAATAAAATTATCACAGAAATTATTAAACATGAGTCAACATACAGGCTAATGAAAGTTGGGAAAATTATGTCCTACAGGGGGAAAAGTTTATTTTGTGAAATGTTTCATACACCACCTACAATTTTATTAATAAAGTATTAATCCAAATAATAGATGACAATGTATAGAGTATTTATTTTTTTGTTATTTGATTATCATCAATCAACGGCGATGAAGAAATGTATATGCGTAAGTTCTGGGCATCCCTAGTTCCTAAATAAAGCCAAATGGTTGATATACATATGTCTATAAATTATGGAAATTTTAAAACAGGCCGGATGATAGTTATTTTTGTAACATAGAAAGAAAATAATTATTTCAGATGAACTCCAAGACACATTCGAAAATAATACGCCAAAAATTGTATTCTGCCAGAACGAGAGGGCTTCAGATGTCGAGGCAGCTCTAAAACCATTGAATTTAGATACGAAAATAATAACTTTTGACAAAGGAAATTATTACAGTTTCTTTAACTTTTTAGAAGAATTTGGCAAGAATTCTAATGTCGAGGAATTCGAGTAAGTGCTTAATATATTTATTACTTCATTTTGCTTATTTTATTATAAACTAGCTACTTGCCCCGGCTTCGTACGGGTGTATAGATATAAACCTTCCTCTTGTATTACTCTATCTAATAAAAAAGTTACGGTCCTGTTTTGAAGGATATGTATTTACAGTGTCTTATGTTTTAGAGTGAGTATGTTTGATCCGAAGGAGACAACAGCTTTTTTAATTTCAACTAGTGGCACATCTGGTAGACCAAAGGCGGCAGTAGTAACGCAAATGAATGTGACAGTATCAGTTCCATATTTGTGGTAAGATACAATCAAGTTTTAAACCTATAGGAACGTTCAATTCTGATAGTAACTTCACAAACTCTGTTCAAATCTTCTTGATGCTTAAACAACAGTAAAAGTCACTAATCTGCTACATCCATTGATATTCTCTACTGTGAAAATCTTCAGACAGATATCAGGATAGATATATGTACGTAACTTAATTGAAAAGGTTTCATGTTATCTTCATCTTTCAGGGTTAAACATCAAGATTTTCCGAAACCAACTCAACTAGCTTTAGTGTGTTCTCCATTGCAATGGCTGACTGCTATACTTCTTTTTTTATTGACTCCAATAGTCAGAGTCTCAAGGGTTCAGAGTTCATTACCGTTGACTCAACAACACACGTATTATCTCATTAATACATATAAAGTAAGTTTTATAGTAAAAACTCATACTAATGTAAAGCTTAAGTATTATCTTTTTACAATCAAACAGTGTAACGATCTCCGACTTTGCTACCCAACACTAAAATAATTTTCTTAATATTATACAATTAGTACCCATCCAAACGCATAAACTGTACCTCTGTATAATATTAGTATATTTTTTTTATTAAAACATTTTCAGCCGTCCTTCACACTAATGTCACCAACATTCCTAGCTACGTTATTGAAGCCTGGTGATCGCGACAAATGCGATTTTACTTGCTTGGATATGATTCAAATTGGCGGCAGTGCAGTTCCACAGAACCTTATAGAAGAATTGAATTTAAGTATTTAATTATTGTTAGAAATAAATTTGTAATAGACGAATATTATTCTCTGTGAATAGGTTAGTTGTTATGAAATATCGATATCTGGTAAACGCTATATTTTTATATTTAGATAGTGTCTATATATAATAATAACAACAGCCTGGTGTTAATGTTGTAATGTTACAATTTAACGCCAGTCCTCAGAAATTGTAAAGCGCGTATGACTACCACGTGCTTTGCAATGTATTTCATTATGTTTGTGACACAGTTCATTTTTATACACAATGGTTACCACTCTTTTCATCTTGATGTGAATCAGTTCATTGTAATTCTAGTTCAATAAAATAATAGATTGAATCTCTTGATCTAAATGTATATTTTTTTAGCTATAACAAGAAAATTTTAAACTCTTTAGCATATTTTAAAAATCGAAATACATTTCTAGACGCATTTAAAATTTTTCATTATAAATGAATTTTAATTTTTTTCTAACAGTCGGTAGCACCAGACACGGATGCAGTTAATGTTTATGGACTGAGCGAACTGAGTTCTATTGCATTGGTTTCAAGTCATAGTGGAAGAGCTCCAGCAGGATCCTGTGGTAACGCATTAGGACATTTACAATATCGAGTACGTTGTTTATTATTCTTCATTTATATTAAATATTCTTATTTATTGAATTTTATTCTTCTTCATATTATTTTAAGGTGCATTGAGTTTAATTAAGTGCATCACAAATTTTGACAACATTTAGCTACTAATGCTAACCCAACTAACCAACTAACTAAATGATACATTTTATACATGTATATGTATTATATATCACATTTGGAGTACCTATGTCACATGTACAGTAAATAATTAATGTCATGTTCATCAAAAATTTACAACGCATTAAAAAAATTAACATAAACTATTCAGCATTTTTGGTGGTACTAACAATAACATTATTATTTTATTTTATAGTTGGTTGATGTAGAGACTCAACAAGATATATTGGAACCAAATGTTTCCGGAGAGCTGTGGCTAAAAGGGCCAGGAGTTTTCAAAGTAAGAAGTTTAAACAAATTCGTATGCGTATGTTACATTCAATGCTTTGTACCTAAAACAATATCCACTCTGGTATGTAGTCTATACTTATACTATAAAGTATGCAATATTGCATAATATATACTATATTTGTTATGATAAATGTTTTACATAGGTCGCTCATAGGTATCATTTTTAAAACTATTCTCAGTTGAAAACATGATAAATTCAACCAGCAAGATTGTCCCTAAATAAATATATTTGATTAAATTACTTAACAATGTACTGATAATATTAATTTCTTTAGGAATATTACAAAAATCCAATTGCAACTGCAGAAGCGTTCAGTGAGGATGGTTGGTTCAAAACCGGCGACTCTTTCTACCGGGATGAGAACTGGAATTACTATTTTACGGATCGGATAAAATTTTTATTGAAATACATGAACAATCAGGTAAATGTCAGCAAAACATATATGTATAATGAAACTGAGGCGACCACGGACCGGAAGACGCAGCGTGGGAAGGCCTCCAGCAAGGTGGACCGACGATCTGGTCAAGATCGCGGGAAGGCATTGGATACGAGTAGCGTAGGACCGATCGTCGTGGAGATCTTTGGGGGAGGCCTATGTTCAGCAGTGGACGTCTTCCGGGCTGCAATGATGATGATGATGATGATAATGAAACTGCGAATATATTTATGAATTTATTTTCACTAATTATGAAGCGTTACAGTTGACGGCAATACGAGGGAAACAGAAGAGATATTGCTATGTAAAAGCCTAAAATGGCCTATATTATTTTACTTTATTATACACATATAAAATTTTCTGTTACTGCCTAAGTGCCTCTAGCCCAATTACATGAAAAAATGTTTACATGAAAACTACGGACACGTTATCATGTGAAGCCCGTGATACGTTCATCCGTTCCCACTCCGAAGGACTAAGTTGTCATACTTCTTATCTTGTTTCACTGCCTTTTCTCACTCTATCAGCAAAACACAGCTCACTCACTGCTTGGCTACTGTACAGTCCACCTCGATAGATAAGATGATTATATTACAATGTGAGGTATAAAATACTAGAATTGGTTTTCATTTTACAGATATCACCAATAGAAGTAGAAAATGTGATCAGACAGCATCCAGGCGTGTTAGATGTGGCAGTCACTGGCATACCAGATATGTGTGGCGAACTGCCGGTCGCATGCGTGGTGCCCAGACCTGGAATTTCTGTAACAGCAGAGGATATTAAGAACATAGTAAAAGGTTACTTGATAACATTATTTTTAGTGACTGAAACAAACTGAAGGGCCTGGTTGCTGTTCACAAAAAGTATCATGGATGTCACGTAATTCGTTGACGCCTCATGCGTTGTCATTCCGAAGGACTAACATGTTATGGCCTTGTACCTTATAATTCTTCAACGTTACAACAATGTTGTAACAGTTTGGAAACATTTCTGCTCAAACGAAAAACTTATTTATAGTTTGTGAGCAAGAAATTTCTAGAAACATCTAAGAACTTAAAGGTTTCTTATATAAGCATTGAATAGATTGTATGCAGGCATCTATATTTGACGACCTCGGTGGTCTAGTGGTTTAACACACCGCTTTGCGTCCGATGGTCGCAGGTTCGATTCCTCGCACGGCACAAACATTTGTATTCATGAGTATGATTGTTTGTGTAGGTCTGGGTGTTTTCTATGTATAATATGTATGTATTTACGAAAAAAAAAATCTATGTATTTGTATCAGTTGTCTAGTACCCATAACACAAGCTTTAGCTAGCTTAACTTCGGTCTAGATGGCGCTATGTGAATTGTCCTGAGATTATTATTATTATATTATTATATCTATAGTGTTCACAATGACATTTCAAGATCATATGTATCATCGTAACATCTGTTTTATCTGACCAACAACATGAGATTCCAAGATTCCAACAGATTAAGATAAATTGTAATAAGTAGATACATCTGTGATTACATAAAATAAAACAGATACAAATCTGTAGATAAGAAGAGATAAGTTTGATTGTAAGTGAATTCTAATACGGAAACACAATACTTCCATAAAAATATCCCTACTATATTTTGGAAAAATATGTATGCAATGAGCCAAATTTCATAAAAATTGGCTAATTAGTTTTATAATATCTCCCGGATAAACATAATATATTGTTTCACTGTTATACAGATTCGCTGTCGGATGCAAAACAATTAAGAGGAGGAGTCATATTTATAAATGAAATACCCAGTTTACCCAGCACAAAGATAAATCGACGAAAACTAAAGGAAATGGCTCTCAAAATGGAAAGAGAATAAAATATACACTCTATTTGATATATATTTTCTTGGCAATATGTAGATACTCATCGCTAAATGTTCACTTACTCAAGAAAACACGACTGGACTGTACAATTTTTAGTAGCACTATTTTAACGTAACGTAAAATGTTGCTTCTTGTTTTATTTTTAACAGTCATGTTATGTTTTTGCATTCTTTCATTACAGCTCTATTGGTCGTAGCTTGATGTTATATAGTCTATATTCTTTCCTATATCCAATATTAAGAAATTACAAAATCAGATTTGAAATACAGAACATTGCGCCGAACACTCAGAAATTTAACCTTTTTATTATATTAGTGTAGATATAACTGCCTTATTAAAAAAATCATAACATTTTAAACTTTAAGACGAGTAGGTTTACTAGTTAATAGTTACTTAAAAAACATTGTAATAATTTCTTAATATGTATCTACATTATTACTATTTTTTATTTATCTCTATTTTGTAATTATAATAAAAAGTTAGTTAAGAAATAAATAACAATTTTATTAAAACATCACAAATTTAATGATGTATGTATGTAGAACTAATTCTAATTATTAACATAAGTAAAATTGTATTATAATACAATATATGATTAAAACAGTAAATGAGTTTTATTCTATTAATATTGAATTAAATCTCGTTATTTAATTACACTTTCCCAAATGTAGGTATATACAATTAATTCCTGCCGTCTTCAATATTTATTGACTTAAAAGAAAGGAAAATAAAGAATAAAAAATATTATTGTTATCGAAGAGATACTCAGATTTGCAAATAAATGCCCAAAAATACAAAATGAATGTAAATGAAACATATATTACAATTTTATAAACATTTACGACTAAAACATTCCAGCTATGACATCAAATTATCATTAATTAGGAGTTTGTGCCAAATAACAATGTCAATCGATTCGCCTAAATATTTATCGTCTTATTGTTACCTTGTACATAATTATTATTTCTACCATATTTGTTCTAACATTACAAAAATGTTCCAAGTGGATTTCATAGGTATACCAGATATTATAATTTAATGTTAGACATTTTTAGTAGTGCTGAATATGATATACATTTGCTTTTATTTTGTATTTCTATATTTAAGGATAAAATAATAAAATAACGACTTAGGTAGGTATATACCCTTTAACATCTTGTTGCGGCTTTATGTACCATTCAAATTTATAGACGAAATGATAATTTATTAGCTAGTAAAATGTATTTCCACTCCCGTTTGTACTCATAATTTACAATTTTAAAATATTTAAGTCTATCGTCTAAATTAACAGCGACTGCTTTAAAATTCCCGCTATATTACTATCCTACATGCAATGTTTTTGGAATGGACTAAGAGATGTCGCTATAATTTAACCTTTGGATTAATTTAATCTGTGCCACAGAACATAAAATAGCTCCTTATCTATAACCCAGCAAAGTGAATAATGTTATCATTATCATGAAGTATTATCGTTTTCCACAAGATATCTGTATACTATTTTTTTGTGCTCTTTTTAATGTAAATTATTACGGAGAAAGAAATTAGAAATATTTTAATCACATTAAATTGCACCTACAATATTCTAATAATAATAACAACAACATGGAACATTATCTGCAATATAAATATGGACTAAAATCATCTGAGAATTTCGATGAATATTTAAAATTCATTGGTAAGTTCTAATGTTATTAAAAACAATTAGCAATGTTTAATGAGGTAAAAAAATTACTTACTCCTACTACAAATTTGTTTAACCCTACTTTCAAGTCATGCTCTCATTATCTTTAAAGAGTATATAGATGAATACCTATTAGTTAATGGAATCCAATACAATTCAAGGACATATTATTTATTTCAATATTATTATTATTAGCGCCATCTAGATTTGGATGTCAGAACTAATTTATCATAATTAGGAATGCTGCTAGTTTTGTCCACGCATAACATCAGATGGCGCTAGCACACATTAAATTTCATATAATGTTTCTATTTTATCTTCAACAACATTTTTAACAAGCCTACATTACAACAAAGAGAACATTAATTGTGATTTTATATCACAACTTTTATTGTGAGCAGGATGAACAATAAATCATATTGATTTAATTAAATACAATCAAAATAAAAACCCAAAATCGATGAATCGGTGCCAAAAACATATTTGAATGAACAAACTTGCAAAATTTTTAGGTGTGGGATTATTAGCTCGTACAGCCGCTGCAGGTGTCTCACCAGTCTGCAGTTTAGTTCTCAATGAAGATGGCACTTACACATTTACGTCATACTCTTTACTTAAAACTATCACTCTAACATTTAGTCTTGACGAAGAGTTCATTGAAGAGAGGCCTGCAGATGGAGCACAGGTAGTATTGTGTATATTTTTGATAATAACTGAAGTCATCCGTAAGAGTGACGAATCGTGAAGAATGAAAGATGAGAATTTTAGTTAGCACATTATGGGTAATGCAGCCTTAATTGTCGACCCTTATCCCTTCAAGTATACCTATAGGTAAGTGTTTTCTGTAACTGGAAAGGTAAACAAGCTAACGGTCCACCTGACGGATTGCGGCAGGTATTTCCTATATACATGAACAGCACGATGAACATGATACCTCTTCATGTGTAATCTTTCTGGAGTATTGAGGTTTCATGCCCCTTACCTGCCCTATAGTTTCAGTGTGAGTGTGTAATTAGTCTCTATATCTACGAGTAGGTACCAACGAAACACAGCTAACAAAGCAAACCGCTTACCGGCTGATGTGAGACAGACGTACCCATGGAACCCACTTTGTACAAAGTATAGCTCCATAAATCATGATCATCAGCAATGATGATCATTGCTATTTCAGTTATGACAGTTAAATTCAGATCTATTTAATGATCAATGGGAGGTACTAAATCATTTGCTTTCATGAAATGACTAAAAAATATACTGGAGGTCGTTGCTGTCTGTCGTATCTAAGTAGTTAGTGAACATTACTGTGTTTTTGCTTGTATTCATTATATTATTCATAAACTCTTCAGTATATTGAATTGCATAATTCTGTTTCAGTTAAAATCCAAATGTACAATTGTAGGAAATGACCTAATTCATGAGAGTACAGAGGAGAGCGGTAGAAAAACTAGAGTCGTACGAACTTTTACGGAAAACTCCCTTATGGCGGTAAGAGAAGGTCCTATAATACATGTATCACCTAAATCCATTAAACAAGCTATACACTGCCTTAAAAACTGGGGCAATATCGAAGGAGTGGTAGGGAAAGACCTGTATCAATTCTTAGATCTGATATTACTCATGATTTTACGGCACTCTTATACGTATCTGTGGAACTTGGCATGTCATAATGCCTGTTGTATACTCGTTGTTCCCTTCGTCTGTTTCGTAATCTGCAATTGAACTGTAACTAAAGTAAGAAAGATTAATAATTTTTTTTTTTCAATAACTTACAGATCATTTTACAGTTGCATTTAAAAATATTTAAGACTGTTTAAAATAAAAAAATTAACAATTTTGTAACATATTAACCCGTTGCCCTCGATTGTATATTGAAATAAAAATGAAGTAGTAAGACGATGTATCTAAAATTGGTAAAGCGCAAAACTCGAATACTGAGAGTTTCTAACAAGTAATGTATACAAATTCTCTTAAATAACCTTTATGTAAAAAAATTAAAGTTTCAATTTCCCATATGTTATATTAGTTGTATGTAAAAGTTTTTTTTAATTGATCGGGCAGTTATATCTATTGTTTCATTAAACTCATGCATGATTTATATAATACGTTAACAAAGTTTGTTGCTTTTCAGGTTACCACAGTTGATGGATGGGACAAACAATGTATTAGAGTATATGAACGTATTTATTAATTACATTTAATTTAAATAATGAAGATTATTTAAATGATTTAAATAATCTTCATGCAACGTAGTTTATGTGTAGAGTCAATAGTTAAAGTATGTCATACTGCGAATGATGTACTTGTGCTAATTATTACCATGTATTGTATGTATATGTGTATTTTAGTTTTTTAAATTTATTATTTTTTTAAATTTAATGTATTCAACATTTATTCTTATTATATATACTATAATAATTTCTATATATTTTCATGTATTTGTGTATATATGTCATTGTGACGCGTACTTTTTATTGTACCTATTTCCACCACTTTACAATTCCTCTCTCTCTAAGTTTGACTGAAAGAAATCCCTCTTTTGTAATAAGTCCGCCATTGTACTTATTTATTCTTTAAGTCAATTGTGTCCTTTTATTTATAATTTCTATTGTATAATAAAGTATTACAAACAAACAAACTTTTTCTTGTATGTTATAACTAGTAATTCGCCGCATTTTCACCTAGATTTTCATAACTTTATAAGTTTTGTATGTATTGACATAATATACAATACAGCCTCAATCTTTAGAATACTGTCTTTCAAGAGGTGCTACAATTTCTGCAGTGGAGTGGTTTCACAGTTCACACAAATGCGCTCTCTCACTGTGGATTTTTTTTCTAAAACTACTATTCTTAACTAACTCCACTGGTTTTCCATTGTTAAACAAGAAAAGAAAGAATTAGAGTGCACTCATGAATGTTATTAGGAATCATATTACAAAATAAATTTGGATTAAATTCAGAATTACTTATAATGGTTTAAATTGTTTTCTCACTGGTCTCTAAATTTCTATACCGCCATTATATACCTACTCATACAGTTATATATTATATTTAGTTGCGTATTTGTACATCTAAGGTGATAGTTGTAAGTTTTAAATAAAATATGGAAAAATTTGTTGATAGAAAATATAAATTGAAGACTTCCGACTGCTTTGACGAATATATGAAATTTCTTGGTTAGTACAATTTTTTTCTATTTTAACACTGCAAAATGTACAATTTTTTTTTCTAGGCTGAAACGTCTTCGCGCCATATGTAGTTCGTTTTGGAAAATCGGAGCTATATCGGATCAGGGGTGGTGGCGTTAAAATCGTATCTTCGGTCTTCTGACACACTAAGAAATCGCCCCGTTTTCGCTACAGATGAAGTTCAGGAGGTTATTTAGGAAGCAATCTAGGGCGCCACCTACTGCTCCGATTTGGCTCTGATATTATTGTTTGTTGTGTATGTAAAATTTCACAATAAAGAAATAGCTGTCTATTATATTATAGTTAGTAAATAAATAGTATAAGTGTAAATCAACATTACATTTTGTGCTTATAATAAACAGAGTGCCTCGAATCTTACCTAATGCTTATTTATAGTGGTTACGAATTACTATTAACACTATTTGCATTCGATATAAAAAATACATTTTCTGGTTAATTAGTTTTTTAACAAATAATTTTTTATTTTATTTAATATATTACATCGTATGTTCTTTATACTGCTCTTCATGAAGTAACAGCACATAAACAAGTTGCTATTATATATGTAACGTAGGTAACATATATGTATGTTACCTACGTTACAATATATGAATGCATCTTGACATATTGGTAAATGGTTATAATCTGACAATACATATATGCAAATAGAATTAAAACTGAATAAGTAAATTCATTAAACTGTTTCTATGGCTAAAATTGCTTCAAATTATCATTTAGACCGTAACATAACGGCTAATAGTGAAACCATACATTGTATAATAAATTCACGGTACAAATAAATAAAATAATGAAGTTAGTTACTATAGTTGCGTCGTATCTACTTTCAAAATGAGTTACAAAATAACCAATAAATAAAGTTACATAAATGTAAATAAAAAAATAGAGTTCGATAAAGAATATTCTATACCAACTTCTAGATTCAGATTCTTTTATCAATCGCGTCTGTATATTTAATTATGGCATAAATTACGGTATAAATTAAATCGAATAGGGGGAAAGACATTATTGCTGATATGAACTGATAACCTCATTGCTACCAATGTCCCATATCAGGTTGACGTCCATGCGGTTCTCCCTGGAAACCATTGTGGTAAATTCCTAGTGAATTTGCCAACTGACCTCAGGTTCATCTTATCCTCGACTGGTGCCCTACTAGCGCGGACCGTTAGCGCAGGCGGGAGCTGGCCATTATCATCCATTAAAAAAAACCAATCAAATAATAAACTACCTACAGGAATAGGCTTCGTCTCTCGTATGGCCGCCGCATCCGTCACTCCCGTCATCACATTAAGCCGTAACGAGAATAACTCATTCACTCTAACAACACAGACCACCATAAAGAACACACAGATCACATTCAAACCGGACGAAGAGTTTACTGAAGAAAGAGCCGACGGCGTAAAGGTAAACAAAATTAAATAAAAGAAAATATTCTAAGACAGAATAAAACGGCGTACAGACTTCACAGAAATCAGAGGCAATACGTCTAAATAATACTTTGCTAATACGTTTGCCATTGTGTAGGGCTTTTTATTCTATTTTGTTTTATTCTACTAATTATTAGAATAAAAATATAGACTTGAAAGCCAAAGGTAAAGGAATTGAATAATTTAAAAGTTTCAATAGTTTGACTTCGTCCTGGAGCTCTTAACTAGTTTTTGTATATTAACATGTCATGTCACTCTGGTACAATGCACCTTTCAGTCACTTAACTATTTCTCAAATCAGTGCAGTGTTTCCAGATTGTACTCTCCTCATAACAAAATGAGCTCTCTCTGTCTTTATAAATTTAGTAAAGACTATAATATGCATTTATACTCAAATATAGAAAAATAATTAATCTGTATTATGGCAAGCATAGACGGAATAAGCGCTATTATATGTTTATCTACTTTCTATTATTTTCATTGAAACTAAAAATATGGAATACAGTGTAAATAACGATCTATATTAGTTTCATTGAAAATTTAAATGTATACTTAATTTGCCTTACTGTATTTATATTTAAGTCAAGTTCATAATTAGATGGGCCAACAAATTTGTGATTCCAATTATATAAAATATAATACATTTTCAGGTGACTTCAGTAATAAGTTTTAATGGCAATGATTTAGTTCACTTACAAACAGATCCGGAGAAGAGAACATCCACACAAATACGTTCGTATACAGACGGTTTAATGACTGCGGTAAGTAATACTATGTAATATTTATTATGTTAACTGTGGTAGTACTAATATATATATTACAAGCTGTGCCCGCGGTTAAACCTATATGTTATTGAGATGTGTAAGCTATATCATTAAAATCCATTCAGTAGTTTTTGCGTGAAAGAGTAACAAACATCCTGCCGCACTCACAAACTTCTGCGTTACAAACGCAGAAGTTTGGTAAGATATGCGACTATAATTGCAGATGAAGTAAACTTGAACTTATCGATCGTATTAAAATAGAACTTAGAATAAACGTAGACGTTTATTCTATGTCGTTCTCTGTCTTTTCTTTTCCGTAACTTGATATGAAATGCCATATAAATATTGTTTTCTTTTCAGACTACAACAGCAAATGGCTGGAGTGGGAAATGTATCAGAACATACGAATACATACCTTAACTTCTCTAAGAGCTACATTTTATAAATAAATATCCTAAGAAATATTATGTAAATAATTCTTCATATATTTATTTAATAAACCTATTGTAAAAATTCTAACATTTATACCTACTGTTTTCTATGACTATATACGAAAAATCGCATTTATTTACCACTAGCCTATTTGATCTAACAGTTTAGCATACTGCCTCGGTTCCTTTGATCGCGGGTATAATTTTGTACAAACATATTCAAGAGGAATACTGACTTGGATGTTTTCTATGCACATTATATACTTATTCAAAGAATGTGTTTATGTACCTATTTCTATGAGTTTTTTAATACTAATAGCACAAGCTCTACGCTTTAGTTTGAAACTAGATGGCGCTATGTGAATTATCCTGAGTTATTATTAAGCCTACATAAATTCAACAGATTTCGTCATAAATTATTACAGGAATTAAATAACATTCCTTAAATTATTTTTTAATTTTGTATTAAAATAGTCATGGTTTTTATTTTACATCAATAAATTATATACAATTAAAAAAAAATAGAAACAAGATGTTTCATTTTTTACAGTAGTCAGTTAAACAGCGGTGTAATGTCTGACTGCTGTACCGTCCCAGAAACTGGCTGTGACCGTCTGAAATAGAGAAAATACATTGTTATTAGAACTTTTACATCTTAAAGAAAATAAAACGTATGAATAAGTATACCCTTATATACTTTACTGGTAGTACTGTCTATAGTTTAAAAATATAAATTTATTGAAATTATCAATTACTTTATTAAATTCACTTTTTATAACTAACTTGAAAAATAGTGAATAAAACTAAATGAGTTAGTCATTGTATTACAAATTAAAAAAAAACATTTTATGACCGTTAATTATTCTAAACTGGTAGGTATATTATTATAACAAGACTGTTATTTAATTGTTGGATTATAAAGTAATATCATGTTTAAATTCTAAAAAAAACACTGAAGTGAGTTACCGAAGTGAGAAGTTACCCAATTAAATTCTAATAGTAAAAACTTACCGCTGTCATCTTATCACCAGCAAAGTCCAATTTGAATGTGCCACTTCGGCCTTCATCATCCTGAATAACCTGTGTAACGGTGTCTCCGTCTACGGTATAGGTAATTTTAACCTGTAATTACAAATAATAATGTTTGATTATTTCGCTAAATCCATTGTAGTGGCTAAGAAATGTTGAAAATTTATGGAGTTTCCTTCGTATTAACATTCCAAGCTTGTGCATTTGGTGTTTTATTTATACAAAGAAATAAAATTGAATTAAATTTTTTATTAAATCTATTTGAAAAAAGATACTGTAATTACATCGGAAACAAGCCATTTTGATTGAAAATATTGTATTATGTGCCATAGATTTTAAACTGACGGCCTCGGTGGATTTACGCTTTAGCACGCCGTCGTCGCCGTCTTACTTCCGATGATCGCGGGTGCGATTCCCCGAACGGTACAAATGTTTATATTCATAAATATGATGGTTTGTATTGGTTTGGATGTTTTCTAAGTATATAATGTATGTATTTACTAACAATAGCAATGTATTCATATCAGTTGTCTAGTACCCATAATACAAGCTCTGCTTAGCTTACTAGCGGACTAGATAGTACTATGGGAATTGTTCTAAGATATTATTACATAGAATTATTTTAGTCGAGGTAGGTCTCAGTCGAGCCTGTTACATCTGTGTCAGCGCCAAACAGTCTACTATGTGTATTGGTAGAAAGGTAAAATAACAAGGAGGCAGATCGTTTAAATCGTCCGAAATGGAAAAGCCACTTATGGTGCCATGATAACGTGATATCAGTAGTGCTATTCATGTATCTATATACATGAATAGCACTACTGATATGCGACGGTTATCACTTACCGTTACTAGGGTATTGTCGGCTCGTTTGCTATCCCAATTAAATATAAAAGATATGTATAAAAAGAATGTACTTACTGGAATAAGATTTCTGAGTTTATCTTCATAAGGTACACCTGACTTGAAACTGATCACTTTGTTCTTAGAGGGCGTGATGACAGTATGTTTGTACGTATCACCTTCCTTATCGAACCTTTGATCAGGCTTGTACTGGGCAAGTTTCGTTGTCATTTCTGCGGGTAAACCTGTAACAATTGATTTTATTTTATACCACAAGTATTCTCCGGATAAATTGTATCTTATATGTTACTGTAAATAAGACATAAATAGTAAACACGTACAAAAGTACGGTCTATCCATGCACCAAAACTTATTCTAACTAACTAACTATTCAATTCAGTTTTTTTCGAGCCCTTTATTCTTACTAATATCACAGATAACATAGGTATAGTATAATATTAGATTCTAATATTATAAATGCTGTAACTCTGTCTATCTGTCTTTCTTACATTCACCTCAAAACTACTGATTTAAATGAAACTACACACGATGAAACTTTTATAATTAGCCTAAATAATTAAAAATGCTATCCAATGTCAATCACGCGGACGAAGTCGCGGGCACAGCTAGTATTTTATATATGCATTAACCTAAAATAGAAAAATAATTGGAACGGACGATGAATAACGTAGTAATTTATCATAGGACAGATAATCCTACAACACATTATTATTACTCAAGATAACTTAATATAAAAATGTATATGAGTTACATAAAATATATCAACTTAAATGGTATTAAATTAAACAAGCTTAATTGAAAAATGATAACTGTATTAATTCTGAAATTAACTGATAATATTATAATTTTGTAAATTAGACATTAAAAATTGTGACTGCTTTCTAAGATTATGATAGAAACATTTTATGCAACTGAAATGGTTGGGTATATATTATTATAAATAACATTCTCGTGTCACAATGTTACTTCCATACTCTTCCAAAACGGCTAGACCGATTTTTACGATATTTTATATGCATATTCAGTAGATCTGAGAATTGGCTATTATCTATTTTTCATACCCCTAAGTGATAAGGGTTATCCACCAACATTTCTTTTTTAATTATTGGACTTTAATTTTTAATTTTTTATAATGAGGCATTAAAAACTACATACAACTCAAAATTTTCACCCTTCTACCACTAACCCCTATTTTTTAATAGCGATTTTAATTTACATATATGGCAAAACAACGTTTAACAACGCTATTCAATCGTGGCAGAACTATAAAAATCTATCAATATATCCCTATACCTAATGATAAATTAAACACGACAGAAGAGAAACAAATAAAAATAATGGCTATCTGGCCACTGCCTATATACATGAACAGCACCATGGACATCAACTAATGACGTCGTCAAGCTGCCTAGCAGCAAAAATAGGTTCGCCAAAGATATTCACGTGGACATTATACGAATCTCGTCTCCTTGGTAAAGACTATTTCTAGGACATACTGTGTCTTCTAGAAGTTGCCTTCCCCTACACATGATTTAACGAGTTTGATGAGGTTTTGGTATAACTCCTTGCCTCATATTCTTATAGTTGATGGTTCGTGCCCGCACAATATAAGCATTCTGTATAATATTATCAGTATTAATATGTAAGTAGACACGTATTTTGCTCTGAGAGTTTTCTATACAAACTATGAATTAATTACGATAGAATTTAGGGGACTTTAGTAAAAAAAGTAGAATGGTACGTGATGTTTGTTCTTATTTCTGTAATAATTATATACTATTTTTTATACTTACTCGTAATAAAAGGTTCATAACCCATGAGACTATTATAAGGTTCTTATCGTTCTTATCGTATATAAGAAGTTGTTGTACCTTTCATGTAGAGTTGCTATCTCAAAAATTTGGAAACAACGCGTGAAAACCCCGGCTTTTAGAGTCCAGAACCCGGACATGTCAATTTTTTTAAACATAAACATTTAAATATGTCATAGATCACTTTTTTATTTATTTTTAGAACTTAAAATTAAATGTAGTAATTTTTTGGCATCATTTTAAATATACTTATCAAAACAGAATCTTCTTACAGTTTGTTTTAATAATCAGTTCGATTTTTTTTGTTCTTAAAATAAAACACTTTTTATATTAAACCTAAAAGAAATACATTACCCTAGACGTTCTATATACGCTCTATAAACCAGGACAACTCCGGGGAAACCCGGACGGATGGCAACCCTATTTTCATGTTGATAGACTATACGTAGTAGATATATGTATGTCATTGTGTCACTATTTTCTAACAGAAGCGTTCAGTACATACTTATCTATTTAGTCTAATATACCCCTTACGAAATATATTATTATATACTCATATTTATTATTAGAGAATAACAACGTTTATATATTAGACTAGCTGCAGCCGCGACTTCGTCCGCGTGGAATTCAACTTTATTTTCTTAAATGAAATAAAATAAAAGTCCTGACAAAATCGGTCCAGCCATTTCAGAGATTAGCCGGAACAAACAGACAGACAGTCAAAAATTGTAAAAAATGTTACTTTGGTTTATGTACCGTATTTATATTCATAAGCATGTAGTAAAAAACGGTTTTTTCAATATTACAAACAGACACTCCAATTTTATTTATATGTATAGATGTATAGATAATATGTAGATTTAATAAATAGCACCGGGATTGGTAAGCAGGCCTCTGGATCAGAGGTGAAAACACTGCATAGAGAAGTACGAAAAAAATATAGCATTAGAAGATACTACTTAGGACACCACTATCAAGACCTACATATATGTTAAGGCATTACACTCGAAAGAAATAGGACATAAACTAAAAGTTTATTATTTTAACATTTGTCTTTGTTATTTTTTTATAATTATAATAAATAATAAAGATGTCAAAATTGCACTAAGACTGACTGATTAATAACAACTATAATACCAATACAATAAGTGCTTAACAAACTGACATTTCATAACAAAGAAGATCACATATTGCTTACCCAAAACTTTGACGAAAGCCTCGATGTTCTCTTCGCTCCCGGCTGTGTAGGTTTTCCCGAGGAAAGACATTTTGTTAGAATTTGTTGATCGTTTCAACGCAGAAAATGAACTAAACAATCTTGTCAATTAACATCCATCACTATATATTTAGTCTGATCATTATCTATATATATTTTATCGGTAAGTATGTGTACTGGACTCTTTTATCGTTAATAAAAGTGGCAAAGTCTTCATGTTTGTCGTCATCCATTACTCCAACTTCCCCCTCAAACTAGGGTAGGTATTGTTAAGCAGGATATGCGCCACGGGCTGAGAAATAAGGTCTAAGTCTAACTATCGTCTAGCTCATAAGACCGAGTTTTTAATTTGATATAATAATATTTATTTTAGTAGTCCCATATACATGTATCTGAGCCCAACGGATACGGTATGTATAAACGCATTTTCCCTATCTTAAAATATAATTTAGCCTTAGCTAAACATGTCTGAGCTAGTAAATAAATTTTAATATACCTCAAGGTCGGACCAACTACTGGACCAACATTCATCTTGTCCAACACAATAGAACAATCACCGTTTTGTCAACAATGAACAAGCCTTGGTAAACTACTTGAGTAGGTAGTTTTTATTCCCATTTACATTTGCAGTTACCACTACATTAGAAATATGTATTCACTTTCTGTACTGTACTGTACTTACCTATAATATTATATATAGAATTTTCGTGTCACAATGTTAGTTACCAAAATCCTCCGAAACGGCTTGACCGATTTTTATGAAATTTTATATGCATAGGTCTGAGAATCTACTACTATCTATTTTTCATACCCCAAAATGATAAGGGTTGTGTACCCCTAAATATTTTTATTTCAACATAATATATATTCTTTATTTAACATTGAAAAATACATACAACCCTAAATTTTCGCCCTTATAGCATCAACCCTAAGTTTTTAATAGACATTTTAATTTATATGGCTAAACAACGTTTACGGGATCAGCTAGTTACTCATATAATATACAATACTTATTGTATTTGTATTAATTATGTAATACAAATAATTTGGAGACTAATTCAGTGGACTGTGTTCATTCAACTCAGTTCTGGAAGTCAACGTGTTGTTGTTTCGTTGTTACGTTTTATAAACGTGTATCATATAGTGGCACTAAGCAGGTAAATTTAACGCACATGAAGTAGGTAAATATTGGATTCTGAACATAAATAAGTTTCAACCCATTTATAATAGCATTTATACTCTATCTATTTCTTATGATATTTTCGTCAATTGTGAAACTGATTCCTAAAATTGTTTATTTTAAAACAGATTGTTTTTTTTTCTGTCCATTAACAATATTCTTAAAATTAAAAACGGTATCCTCAGTCAAAATAATTAATCAAACCGAATGTTTAGCACCGCCATGCGCAAGTAACTACTGATATTGTAGGATTCTATTATCGAGGCGAGTCTTGGCTATGAACTACTTATAAAAAACTTCAATTGTAATATGAGGTCTATTATAAGTATGTAGCAATATCTAACCAAAAGAAAGTTAGTCACTTTCGATGGCTGCAATAAAATTCAATCATACAAACATCTTGTGTGGAAGTTATTAAAGGAAAGATAACAGAGTGATTAGTAATGATAATCAATGGAAATCTATTCCGTATTACACTGATACTATCATAGTTATGAGAACTGATATGATTTTTAGGGTTGGGTAAATTATTATCAATTCAGCGAGGAAATATTATACACGTAACTAATTTTATAATAGTTTCTACAATTTATAAATACTTTTACGTCGTATAGTGTCCATAGTTTTGAAATTAAAAATTCTCTCTGATTGGTTCTTATCCCGAGGCGGCTTAAGGAGTCACCCAGTCATTAGGCTAATATATTTTCATAGAATGTCTCGTATTTGTAATATTACAGAATGTATAACATTAAACTAATTCTAATTATGATCAGGAGTACAAAATGAAAGTTAATTACAAACGAAAATTTAATTATTCAAATAATAATGTGAGTCACACAGAAACAACAAAACTTAAGTACAATAACAGCAGGAAATATAATAACAGTCAACACGATACAATAAAAACTGTTTATTTTTTAGTTCTGTATTTAGACATTCATAGTGGTAATTGTACCTAGTGTTGTTAAAATATAAGTGACTAATAGAAGATTTAGTTTAACAAACTTTAAGCAAAACCTTTTGCAGCAAGCCCATGCAACTTCGCCTGCATATCCTATTTTTGCAACGTTTTTCATGATGCTTTCATTGACTGTATTTGTGATTTTACATAACCTGCCATATAAATCGTAACTAAGCAAAAAAGCTCTTCAGCATTATAGTATAATTATGAAAACGCTCTTGATGTCATGGATAATATTAAACAGGCTAACAAAATATAATAGTATACCATTTTAATGAGTACTACGGAATCCTAAAATTCTTGACTACAGGGACAAGAAATATTGACAAAAAAATCTTAAGTTCTCAAGTAAATATTATGCTCAAGTCACGATGTAGTCGTGATGTCGAATGTGAAGAGATATTGTTCAAGGACGTGGTGATCCCACGCTCACAGACCGTTGAGTTCGACGTCAGACTATCTTCATCTATGTGTTTTACTTTTGTTTATAATTAAATGTCCTAAAGAACTCTTTAATATGATGCCCACCTGTTGAAGGTTCAGCCTCTTTGTTTATATAATATTTTTTTGTAACCATATATTTTAAACCTCTTATTTAATTCAATTTGTAATATAAAAATAGATTAAGTTACTCCTTATAATATAGATATCTGCGAATGAAGGTCGCGTCAAAATCGGTTCAGCCGTTTCAGAACAACAACAAACAAACAGACAGACAAAAACTTAAAAAAATTATGTTTTTTTATATAAGTACCGTATACTAACTTATGCATTTAAAGAAAAACTGTTACTTTTAAATTACAAACGGGCACTTAAATTTTACTTTTTTGTATCCTGGCACTTTTCTTCTTTTGTTTTTTTATTGTAATTAATAACATTATTTGGACGCAAATTACTTTCTCAGAACAACAACAAACAAACAGACAGACAAAAACTTAAAAAAATAATGTTTTTTTTTTATAAGTACCATATACTAACTTATGCATTTAAAGAAAAACTGTTACTTTTAAATTACAAACGGGCACAAATATTAATAGAATTATTTGTTATGTCAGTATTTTTAAATTTTACTGTTCTTTTTTGTATCTTAGAGAGTCACTTTTTTCAAATAAAAATCTAATTTTGTATCAAAAAATGTAAAAATGTCACTATGACGACATGTCAACATATTTTTTTATTGTAATTAATAACATTATTTGGACGCAAATTACTTTCTCCATGATTCCCCAATTTTATTTCAATCACCATAATAATTAACTCAGAAATCTGTAATACTCTCCAACACCACACCTGAATTATTATTTGATATATTTGTTATTCTGTCATCGCACCTCAAAACGGTCAGCTGTATTTACTGACATCAATCAGATCTATAAATTTGTATAAAGCTTTCCAATAATTTATTATCTAATTTCATATTTTTAAAACAGTGGTTGATGTTAATACAGTAGCCTATGAGAACTGAGGCCTGAAAACCAAGGGTGTTCTGTGCGCGTTATGAAATACGCTACTCTTATGAAATAAGTGCTACCTTAATATGTGGAATGACCATTCAAACTTCAAACAATGTCCTTCCACTTTCTACTCAACTAATCACATTTATATCCAACAAAGCGGCTGCGAGTTTACTTATCAATCTCTCTGTCTCATCTCCTGTCAATCCTTTTGCATCCATCGTCCTGCATGAAGAAAGTATTGAACAAAGCGAGCAGCTGTGCCTAAAATATCGCTAAGATCTGATATAAATATATTTAGTCACGAAAAAAGAAGAATCTAACTACAAATAGTTAATATTGCTAACAGATCCACAATATATAGTAGTAATAATAGAAGGTATATGTTGTATATGAAGATTGTTTTCTATCACCAACTCTTTGATTTTGTATTCTAAAATTGAAAATTTCAATACTTATGAGTACGTCTTATATATGTGTAGGCATAATTTATTTAAACGAACATATTATTAATCAACATATCGTATATCTTTATCTACATACAGGCTATGTGATTGATAATTTTTTTATTATTTATTTACTAAACTAAGCATTAAATGTAATTATTAAAGAAACTTATCAGCATGCAACTTTATCAGTTCGATTATCTCGTAAAAGCGAAAGTTTGTGAAAACAAGATAGTACAGCGAGACCGATACAAACAATCATACTCATGAATGCAAATGTTTGTTGTAATTGTGCCATGCAAGGAATCGAAACCGCGACCATCGGAAGTAAGGCGGTGTACTAAACCGCTAGATCACCGAGGCCGTTAAAATAAAGTAACAACAATTACATTTAAAAATTTTATTAAAATAAATATATATTAACATTGTACAAAAATGAGGCGACAAATTCAGGTAAATGAAACTACAGAATTATAGTTTAGTGAAATGATACCTATCGTATATTTCAATATGTGTACAGTATATTACATTTAAATAATGATTTTTTTCTTTTGTACATATACATATATTTTACAGTTTAGTTTCTAAATATATCAGCGTACCCTGTATAGGAGTGCAATAAGGACTCCATATTTTGTTTAGATGGTTATATATTTTGTTCGTAGCTTTAAATATATTTACTAAATATACTACTTTTACAGCCTCATATCCTTAAAAATATTTTTTATATACTGTAATTTGAATTCCACATTAAATTTAATATACTTTGATAATAATAGTAAAATATTACTATGAAAATAAAAAGTAATGACAAACTGTTAAGATTCATATTTTTTTTTTGCTATTTTACAGAGAGTACTTTACTCTAATTTAACTAATTAATTTACCAGTTCATAAATTCTGGTGCATTCCCCATCCCACCCCTGGAGGGTAGAAATCTAGAAAAAAAAAACATTATATTTAAAAAGATGTTTAAACACAACCAATGCAAATAACATGAGAGAATAAGGTTGCTATAATATAGCAATATGACATCTCTAAAATTGTACATATTATGTATGGTAAGTACAAGATATTTACTGTGAGAATTTACCTAAAATTTTATCTGTATAGAATAAAAAATAAAATAGAAATAAAAATTACTTGTAATACTATAGCTTCTTTTAGTAAATTACAATTATAATGTATGGTATGAATACAGATATAGATAAGTATATACAGATTTGAGACTTTAAATGAAAAATATAGTAATAATGCAGATAGAAAACAAATTATAAATAAAAATAAATCTTACCACTACTAATTTGTCATCTGAAAATGTTCGTACATGCTTGCTTGCTTTACCATTATCGTCGACCTCGATATGGATTACGGAATTACCTTCAATAGTAAATGTAGATTTCATCTGCAAATAATTATTTTTATTCAAAATTTATACAAAATATGTAACGACATTTTCATTTATCTGAAATTATATTTTTGAGTTATAAATAAATAAAAAATGTTAAAAGTAATCAATTTTGAGAATGTTTTCACTTATTGAATAATTTTATAAGAGAGTACCTAAAAGGGCCGCATTTTATTTAAAAAAAAACTGAAATCATACATTAATTGCCATGAAGTCGGGGCGGATTCCAACATTTTTGATGATATTTATACCCACTCATAACTATAATTTAGAGTATAATTATAATTTAATAACAGGAATTGATAATAGGAAGATGGTAGAAAATGTTGGAATACTTGACACAACACGATGAACTTATGAACATTATTATTGTAGGAAAAATAGAATAAAAGAGGAAAAGGTGGGCAAAATATATTTATATCAAGCAGATTAAGGTAAAAGTTCTAGTAGTGTCATAACAACATTTAAAGAGAATGGCGGAAAATTGTAACAGGAGCTCCACCAAGGACAGCACCGTTCTTAAATTATGAATAATCAATAATTTGGCTAACAAGCTACTCTGACTACTGCCTAAATCTATCTCTAAAGATAAAAACATTTTAATATTGATTTATTGGTGTACGGTAGATAAAACTACAAAGGGTATCAAGAAATTACCTTAGCACCATCAGCTCTTTCCGTTATCACTTCTTCTCCTAATTTGAACACGTACTTCAAGGTCCTTATAGGGGTGCTAAAACTGTATATGTATGTACCATCATCGTTTTTAGTCAACTCGCAAACGGGCGATAACGAAGCTGCAGTCTTCCGTGATATAAAACCAATACCTGTAAGATTTAAAATACGTATTCTTAGTTTAAAAATTACTTTACCATCTAGAAACGAAGGTGTTCTTACTATAATTACAGATTTTTTCGAAACATTGTAATACTGTTGTTAACAATTAACCTTTACAGCTTCAGCTCTAGAAGTTAATGTATTGGTAAAATAGTAGATAGGTAAATTCAGTTGCCAAGGTACTTTTTCATAATACATGAAAAACATAATACATTATTCATTGTTTAGTTAATATTTCCTTAAACTTTGCAAAGCATTTTATTATTCGTTACGTCACTATGATTTTTTAATTAATTGAAGTGGAGATATAAAAATGTTGTATTGTGGTGGAATAACAGACAGTTATACTTACTATACATAAGATAATCTTATATATTATAAACAATGCTTACAATCGTAAATATTAACAAACTAACAAATATGTAACCCACAACGATATTGACAGTGTTAAAGTTTTATGTTAATTTATCTATTCTTTTTTCTGTCATTTTTTAAATATAGGATGTAAATATTTTTGTTTGATATTTTGAGCATTTTTCAGTAAACTATTAACATTTTATATAAAGCTTTTCATATTATAAAACGAATCCGTATGTCCACACACAGATTGTAAATATTTAATAATTGTAATAGACGCGAAAGTAAGCAATATTTAAAAATGCTAGCTGATGATCATGTTTTTTTTAAATAAAACGTCATACCACATGTATGTCAATTTCAATAAAATTCAAATTATATAATTCAATCAGTCGCCGCATTAAATGATCTCTGCTGTTAAGCAGATTGCTTTGTAAACTATGTTCTCGTTTAAAGGTATATAATGTTGAAATTAAAGGGTCCAGTAGCTGATTATTCAACATAAATTGCAAAGCATGAGATATACATTCTCACGTGATGACATGATATACGTGGTGTTAATCATGCATCATGTATATATGCAACGGTATGCCTCCATTACTCGTAACATATCATATTTTCAATAGAACTTACACCAAGGCATATTTGCTTCAGCTGTCAGCTTGTTTGCTAATAGTAATAGTACAAATTGGTAAGTTACATAAATAAATCCCATCTATAATTTGTCTATTAGACCCAAGTTATTCTTTAGAAACTGACTTAAAATAGTTAAACTTAACCTCGTTCAATGTACAAAGGTTAACTCGGTACGAAATGACGTATGTACATATTTCATTATAATTATAATACGTAAGTACGTAGACAGGAAACTGGTGAGTAGGTACCGTCTATGATTATGTATGTTAAGTACTCGCGTACATATTTTGAACAATGTTAGAACATTTTACTTTTCACTAGTGGAACGCCCCGGATTTGCTCGGGTGCAATCCATCTTAGCTGACAAACATAATCATTACTTTGTTAGTTTTGTAAAGATTTATATAATACATACATACTAATATATGACATTATATTATGGATAATATAACAGTGAAGAAATTTTTCTTATTTTCCTCATAACAAAATCAGCTCTATTTTTATTAGTTTATATTATTTTTTTCTTGGAATTTTATCCACGAAAAAAATTAACAATTTCCAACTCGGGACCAGTATAGTAGCTTTAATATCTATTTACTTATCTTGTACACTAAGAAAAATATGTATTATGGGTATCTAATAAACTGTTACAATTATTGAAAAAAAATATCAATACACGGAATAATGCCTAGATGACAACAAACAGAAATTCATATAACTATTATGCCGATTCCAATCAAGAATAAGTACGTGAAGCAAGTATTTAAACCATCCAAAGTCGTTTAACATTTATAAGTAGATATAATATCACATTCACAAGATCAAATTCTAGAGCGACTTACAATTATCACAGTATTCAGAAAATTAAACTTAATATCAATATATCATACGGTATTTATTTCAATACAGATTACATCGCGGACACGTAACATTTCGGGAAATATTAAATTGCGTATACCTACATGTAATTAAGAGCAACAACTGACAACATCTGCATAACGATTTTCAAAACAATTTTTAATATTACTAATGTAGTGATAAAAATACCTAGTTAAGCAAAGACGGACACAAACAGTGACTCTTTATGTATATAGGTAGATGTTAAGGAGGAGGTAACAAGCCGGTAATTATTAAAACAAAAAAAAAATTCGCAACGTGTAATTAACCCTAACCTTATAAATAAGCCAATATAACCTACTTACAAACTACGAAATACTTGAAAACCAGTTTTACCTTAAAAGTAGCGGCCATGAAAATAAATATACCTACTTTATATAAAAAACAATTATCCTATTTTATTATTATAAACGCGCAAGTTTGTTAGTATTGATGGATGTATGTTACGCTGTCCCGCAAAAACTACTGAGCGGATTTTGATGAAACCTTACAGAAATATAGTTTATACATTAGAATAACACATAGGCTATAAATTTCATGCGGGTGAAACCGCGGGCACAGCTAGTTATATATCTTTTTTTTTACTCAATACTTGTAACTAATAAGGGCAAATAGAGTTGTGATATCACATTATGGTAGGCCAATGAACTTTTACCAAACCGCGTGACCTTTGTTTATATATTAACCCACACGTTAACGTTACAATAAGGAAGTTTCCGTATATTTGTTTAGCGTAAGATTTACATGTAAGTGATACAATTATGAAAAAATACAATTAATGTATAGTCGATAAATATGTACTCGTACTTAGGAAGAGTAATGTAGGCATTTCTTTATACCTAATGGATAGTCAATACGTATGTTCTAGAATTTAGTGTAAGCGAGAGTAATCTAGGTATTTCTTTATTACTTAAAACTATCTAAATGTAGTTTTAATTCAATGTTCATATTTTAATAAAAGTTTCTAACACATATCGCACTGCCGATCAAAAAGGTCACAAGTTCAAAATATTATGTATGAAATCACTATTAAAAATTGCTATTTCGATAATATCAGTGTCTTAGGATGACATAATTGGAGCTGAAATAATCAATCATGACGATTAAAAGAGGCTTTTCTGCAACACAAACTAGAAACAAAAAATAATTCTTACCCATTGCAAGGAAGATATGGACGATAAAGGAAACCACGGAATTGTTGTAAGATTAATATATATTATATATATATTATATATATATATTATTATATTATATAATTATATTATATTATAATTTAATTATATTATAAATTATATTATATTATATTATATATATATATATATATATATATTATAAGGAGAAGCAATACAAACTAGGGCCATAAGGGGAAATCGAACAATAAAAAGTAACAATTTAGAATTTGGTGTTCGAATTGTTAAGCTTATACAGCAAAGACTAAGTGAACTGTATTTCACATACCGGTCATCTTTACTTCTCGGTCTATACTTACAAATTAATCGTGGAAAACTGGAAAAAAATAGTTAAAACAAACATATTTAGACATTTAGCTTTATAAGTGTACGTAATACAGGTTGCCTAAGATGCCCCCCAACTGAGGCTACGAGAAGATTGTCGTCACGCGTCCCGAATGTACTGCGATTATAACCCTCTGGGTCACACTCCACGAGCCATGTTTCCATCAGCAATCAGCATAATATGGACAACAGTCAAATTTGTAATTGCATAATTAATTTCATGGTCGTATTTACTGTACATTTCTGTAAAAGCCTGTTCATCCCACGACAAAAACATCGCAGTACAAGTAGGTATACATTTATGCAGAAATTGCAAAATGCAGAATTACAATTATGTCCTTATAGGTGTGATTGTATTATAGGTTATGATATTTTATTCAAATCCAACGAATTATTCGCAATTGAGCAATATATATGCAAACTTCTTCAAAATAGTGCATGGCATTGGGATGATTGCTAAATTAATTGCTTCTGATCTTCTCGAATAATCTATGAATTAAAATGCCTGATTATAGCTCATGTTATTTATAGAAAAACTAGCCACTATGAAACTAGTCAGACACATAATGTTGTTGGTATTTAAATTGAATTCTATTTACGATATTTCAATATCAAAATGACGCAGTATTAGAGATTTTTTGTGAGATATTTTGGATCCCAAAAGACGTACTACCATAACTTCTATGAAAACCACGTGAGAGTATCCTCTAAACGTTCTTTTAAAGTCAGAACGTCATTATTTTTGTATTTCATCACTTGTAATAAAAAATTCAATAAAATCTAACTCAATAAAATACCTACCTGAGAGAAATTTCAAGAAGTTATTTTTATTTTCATTTTTATCAAGGACTTATTCATATAGTCTTTGATACAAAAGAAAATCAAATAATAAACTCGAAATAAGTCGATTAATATACTCAGAAATATAGTATTGAATTAAAATATTTCTACATGTAATCGTTAGTTTGTAGAAAATAGTATCTACATACATTTAAAAACGGAAAATAACATTTGAAGCGTCATTTCTAATGCTGAAAATGCAATTTTTTATAATCCTTAAATAAAATAATCATATCATTTAATTACAGTTAGTGTTCAATGAAGTAGATTACGAGATATAAAAAATCACTAAATGTTTGTTTTTATGGTTATCATCACTAATATTATAATTGTGAAAGCAAGTTTGTTTGATCCTTATTTTTGACGATTTTACTGTTAAAATGATCATGAAATTTAACATAGGTTTCTATGCAGGATGAAATATTGTTCGATATTTCTTTCTTTAATTTTGTTTATATAAGTATTATATAAGACTAGCTGTGCTCGCGGTCTCATTCGCGTGAATTGAGTGAGCATTTATAGCCTATGTGTTATTCTGATGTATAAGATATATTATAGTAATGTTTCATTAAAATCCACTCAGTAGTTTTTGCGTGAAAGAGTAACAAATATTCATCCATCCACATTCACAATCTTCCGCATTTATAATATTAGTAAGGTAGTAAAATTAATTGTAGGCCATTTACAAATGTGCATGGGACAAGAATTGGGTCAAAAGACAGACATGGCACTCGTACCTCTCTGCCTGCCCTTTAAGGGATCTGGCGTGAGGATAGATACATACATTTATTGTTCTTTCAATACTCGACTATGAAGTAATAATACCTACTAATATAGTTCTGTAGTTTACTAATACTGCTCTTAAATAGTAAGTAGATACCAACATTATACATTATCATATCGTATTTTACGATAATATAATTATTTATAGCTATTAAAGATACTTTTGGTACTGATTTGGTTGTTACTCATAATATTTTGCTCCATTGTAAACGTGATATATGTAATGTACGACAACCTTATTTTATAAATTATATTTGATATTAGGTAGTTATTTATATATTTATATATGTATTAGATATACAAAAACCGATCATAAAGAAATAAATAGGTATATGTTAATATCAGTACATAAAGAATAAGAGAAGATACATAATTATAGATATAATATAAGATCCATAGATTATTGATATAAACTGAAACTCCTTACAAACCTGTTCGAGTATTATATCCCATTTTTACAAATTAAGAAACTTACATAAAAAAGGATAGCTCAATAGCCAAACTAGATTTATCAAGGTTTGGTGTTTTTATGAAAGGGGGTAAATAATTAACAATAATATTAACTATAGATTACTTACCTAACGCCTTCATGAACTCATCAAAGTTTTCAGATGTTTTTAACTTATATTTCTTTCCAAAGTATTGTTCCATTTTCAATTGTTTCCTGTAATCGTAACTGTTGTGATTTTTCTTATTTACTGCACTGTCTATAAATGTTTTATAGTTTATCCTTCGACCATACACATTGGCCGGTGTAACCTCACTGGACTGGCAGATCGGGCCGTAACCGCGCCGTATAAAGTAACGTACACAACACAACACAAACAAAAACTAGTTCTTGATAAAACGTCATCTATTGCAGTACGGTGATTCCGCAAGTTTAGATGGTAAACACTAGAAAATCGTAGGTACTTTATTCTCAAAGTAAAAATATTTGGTTATATTCGTACATGGGACATTTAACTACTTATACACAACATTTTTTTTTTATAATTGTTGATTAAAGTCATTAAATTCGGTAGGCGCCTTCGGTTGATGTATCTTTTAATTTTCATTATCAATTTATTAATTTTTAATACATATTTATAGAATTATGGTCAATTCCACTTATATGATATTTATTTAGATGCATTTTTAATTATATTTATATATTCTATAGAAAAGGAAATAAATTCGACTTCGACTTTTCTAAAATGATACTTTTAATATACTTAATATTTGACTAATTAAGTGTAAATACTCGTATCCAATATTTTAAATACTAATTAATACATATTATAAATGCGAAAGTGACTTCGTTAAGCTTTCACGCCTTTCACGGCAATCGACTTGAAAATTAGCACAAATATAGGTACACCTCATGCATAAGTCGTAACATTTGAGATCGAGTAAAATGTAGGCTACTTTATCCTGATCAGTTCCGGACCTGTGAGTATGCAGACAAAATTGCATACAGCAGTTAGTAGTCATTATGTTAAAATCTGTTTTACTTGTACAATTAAGATTTTGCATGTTTGTCTCATACGTAATTGTTTATAGACTTTTACGACGATGTACTGATTATTACTTAAAAAACGCGTAATATTTATTCTTTAAGAAATAGTTATTTTCAATTAATGTTTTATAATTATTGAAAGGTTGATACAAATTATATCTACTCATTTATCTGTCACAATAATTCTAATCTGTTTTTGTATTTGTTTTATTACTTGCATGCCTCCACATGCAAATAATAAAATCTTGCATAGAGAATTATTGGGACTGGAAAATAGTGACCCTGTATATTGTTAGCAATATTATGGTAGTTTGACATCCTCGCGATCCGCCCTGGAAACAATATTAGTTAGATCCTAGTATAATCACTACGATGGGATGATTGACTTTAGTTTATTCTAATACTGGCATCCTCTACTCGCGCCTCCTTCTCCGCATAATATCATGTAACAACCAAAAAAGATGGCCTCGGTGGTCTAGCGGTTTAACACACCGCTTTACTTCCGAGGGAAGGGGGTTCGATTCCTCGCACTGTACAAACATTTGTATTCATTAGTGCGATTGTTTGTATCAGTCTGGGTGTTTTCTATGCATATTATGTATGTATTTACAAAAACAATATCTATATAGTAACTATATGATGCCTTGGGATGGTATCTACTTTTAATTTTTTTTATCTAAATTTATTTTGGGGTCTTTGTTTTTAAACATGTCAACCCAATTATTACAAACTAATCGTAACAATTCTTAAAAATAATAAACACAAAGATGGTGTTTTATGAATTGTACAGGGGTTATAATTATTCTTATAGGGGTTGTTAGTAATGTAGATTCATGACTCCATTACTAGAGGACCGGTCAGGTTGACCTCCAAGCGGGTCCCCCTGGAAACTGATAAATTCTTGGTGAATTTGTCACGATGGGCTAACTGACCTCATGTTCATCTTATCATCCCCCACTGGTGCCCCGCCAGCGTAAACCGTTAGCGCAGGCGGGTGCACCATTCCATTATCATACATAAAAAAAAAAAATCTTATACCATTAGCGCAAATACCCATCTGGTGCACCCACTTCATATCACATTTCTTTATAAGAATAATAATAATAATTGCATATGTTAGTCATGGTTTTGTTTATGTAGGTGATCAAAGATCAAGCATTTTATATTTTATTGCTTACTAGATGACCATTAACCTACTTATGAATTAATTTTATTTATATATTCATATTTATTTATATGGTAAACAAGGTCTTCTAAATGCTGTATACCTATATAATACCTAAATCAGGGGGAAAGAAGATTGTTAGTAATGGACTGATGAGCCCATTGCTAGCAATGTACCGTGTCAGGTTGACTTCCACGTGGTTCTCGCTGGAAAATATCGTGATAAATTCTTAGCGAATGTGTCACATTGGGGGCACCAATGTGCCTTACATACCGTTAGGAAGGGGGGGTGCACCATTCCATTATCATAGGTTAAAAAAACTACATTAATATGCAATATTTCACTTACATAAATGACTCAAAATTATACATGAATATGTGATTTTTCAAAATTTGAATTTATATTTAAACAATTGTATGTTTGTTTGCCACCATAGTAATAGGTATAAAAAAATATTTATACAACGACGACGTTTAGCAATAAAGACGCCTTGTAGTACTCAAATACCTAATCAAATTTAACAAATGTATAGTTTAATAATTCCTTGAACAAATAAAAATATTGCATTCCATTTTACTTAATTTCATCAAGTACGATGACCTCATCGGTGTAGCCGTGTACACCTGCGTTACTTTTTAATAGTCGCAAGTTGATCTTCACACAATGCAAATATTATTCTGTATGTTAAAAGACCGATTAAACTTTGTTATATTTGAGTTTCTTGGCATTTTTTCTTAACTTAGCTAACTAAACTGGACGTTAGGTATATACGGATAAAATATTTAGAAATGCATAAGTAGCAAAAAAAACTGAATTCAGATAGAACTTACTCAAGCCGTAAGAGGTATTTCCATTATGAATTCCTTTATAAATATTTAATAATTATATTGATTTTGAGTCTGTAACTACAATAATTTTGGAATTATTAATAGTTTTGTTATTTTACCTATTTATTCTGAACATCGTTATTTATATTGGTATATTATTGCACATACAAGATAATATTAGATACACAATTATTAAATAATGTTTTGCACGTCGTCTCTACCGACCCTATAATTAAATTTACGTGAAGATAAATAGGCAGATATATAGTATTATGTTCCTATCCTGTTCGTATCATATCCTTACCCCAATTAAAAATAAGAGATAGCTCATTGTCATCTTATCTCTTTTTTTATCTGATACCTTTAATTAGTTATATCTAGTACTGATGATTGCATTTTATAATCAGTAGATATTATGTTTTTACGTGAGGTTGAGGCATATAACCAATTTAATGGTTGATTTAGGCTGTTATTTCTTTAAGAAATTATTTATTTATAATTTAACAAACAGAAGTTTTAGGAAAATTGTAACTTTTTTCTGCTTTTACGTTACGACTATTTTACGTTTTGACTTTTAATATCATGAACATTGCCTTGCGTTTATCCCATTGCGTCATGGCGCAATTTGTCATTTCATATGTTAACATGATATATATTCTTTGACGGCCTTAGTGGTCTAGCGGATTAGCACGCCGCTGTACTTCTTATAGTCGTGGGTTCGATTTCTCGCACGATACTAACATTTATATTCATGAGAATGATTTTTTGTATCTATCTGGAAACTTTCTATGTATATTATATACTTATGTTTTCATGAAAAAGTATTTATATCAATTGTCTACACCCACATCACAAGCCCTGTTTAGCTTGGGACTAGTTAGCGCAGAGTATTGTCCCGGGTTATTATTATTATGTTATATTATATCAGTCTGAAATGAAGTATCTTTTTTAAAATCGATGCAGTAGTTTAGGAATTTACAACACAACAAAATATGGCCACTTAATAAATACCTATATTACGAAATATCTATATTTATTAAGTAAAGATATTATATAGGTACATATATAATATTACAGCAAAGACGAACAGAATTTATATTATAATATAATTCTTATTTACAATGTTAGATTAGAAAAGCATGCTACCTGTTCGAATTAATGGAAATATCCGATATCGTAAACATTAGCGCCATTGCTATTATAGGTACGCAATATGTAGCAATAATTTCATAAATAGATTTAATGAGGAACTAATTTGCATTACAAGTTTTTGATACAACATTAAGTATCTATAAATAATATGATTTATATTTAGATTACACCTACTTGTTGTGTTATTTATATCTTAAAAGCAGGTACAGTAAGTACTATATATTTATATTTCATGCATAGACTAAATTTGAGTAGATCCTATAAAACAAATACAAATATTTTTTTAACAAAATGGTTGTGTGAATAGCACGATTAATAATAATAAATACATTAACTCATAACTATAGTTACATACACTATAAACAACTTTATATCTGAAATGATGATTAGTATTTTTCTCAAATTATTTACGGTGTTTTAACACGAATATTTTTACGGTAAATAAAGATATTTTCCTCTCTTGACGTAGATCAGCAACGAACAAACATTTTTTTTTAGTTTAACGATTATCGAGATTTTCAATAGGGACTAGAGCATGGGATTTTGAAGAAGGGTAAGTATATAAAAGGTTTCAAATTACAAAACTTATTCTATCTATGACACTTAGAAACTCATAACACTGTATCTACATTACTTTATAGCGTTATTAGATTCAATAGATTCAGTAGATAAAAATAATATATGTATTTACTAGAAAAAATATCTCATTAAATAGTAATGAGGCATTCTTACCAAAACGTTAGGTAAAGAATTTAATTTAAATGTGTGAATGTATATCACTTTTGAATAATTATACAAAAACCGAACTTAATTAATACAACAAATGAAACTAAGGAAGTAACTATAGGTAGCTTCATAAATACGTATATCGTAACGTCAAATACTTTTTACCTACGTTCAAAATATATTACTAATATTTTTCCAACATTTTTATTTCTTCAATATATTTATTTTTATATTAAATTTAATATTTTTCATATGTATGTTAGTCTGTAAGGTATTTATAAAATGAGCCATTTAAGCTAAATTTAAAAAAATAATTCGTACATTATAATGGCGCCCGCGATACCACACAGACATTGCGTTTTCGTTTATAAAAGCATAATTACCTAAAAATATTAATTAAAAGCTGATAATAATAACATTAAAAAGTAATTCATAACTGATATAACATATCAATAAAAATAAATACTCAATCAAATATATATCCATGCGTACTTGCATTTAAGTATTTAATTATAAAGATAAATAAATAGAAATTATTGTAATTTGTAAGCTAGTACCTATCTTTCTTTATGGTCTAGTTCCATAAAGATAGGCGCACTAGTTCAAAAAGTGTCGCACGAGTTGACGGTCAACCTGGTAAGTAAGTGGCAAGTCGTACGTAATGATGAGCGATGTCCCTCCGGTGGACACGTCATGCAATGCCATTCTAGGGAACTGAGGTTATACATCAGTGATTCCGTGCTCTGAAATGTCTTTGCACTCTTCAGCTTCTGTAATACAGAACTGCTGACAAAGAATTCTACCGGTCGACTTCGAGGTACTCATAGAATTTGCCAGTACCAGGCCCGATGTTATCTTTACTACATTATCTTCACGTAATAAGTGAAGCACATGTAACTGCAGCAAGGTATCTAGCACAAATACACTACATATTATATATATATAGGTACTAAATACATTGTAAAAAAAAAGACAGACAGCACTTTTGTACCTACTAGGCATGTTAGGAGGGGATTACTAGTAATGGGTTTATAGTAGCCTAGCAATGTAATATATCAGATAGACCTTCACGGGGTACGCTATAAAAGGCTTTGACGATAATTTCAGATAGATTAAAAAACAGTGGTTAATATCTACTTGTATTTTTAACAATAATAACTAGAGTAAAGTGCCATCTGTCAACACGTAGTAAGAAAGAACAAACTTACACTTATATAATTGTTTAAATTGGTAAATTATACTTGATAAAGCATACTATGATAAAGCGCTGAAAGTACTCAACCTTCATTAATAATTATTGTCGAGCACTTGAGCAGTAAAATGAATGTGTGATCGATACATTGCAGAGGGCGCTTATTATATTATTCATACTTTCCATAATTTCTAATCGGCTAAATAACATTTAATTTGTCTTATCTATGTTTACTAATGTAGTCCATAGTAAGCTCATTTATTTATTAAGATTATAGAGAGAATAGTTTTTATATATTGATTATCTAATAGATTAAATTAATTAGATTAATTTAATTTATTACATACAAAAAAATGCATATTTATTAGATTATCTGATGAATATGTAATTGATAAAGTAAAAAACTACTTGACCTTATTTGTAACCATAATTAGTTTTCCTACAGATTCCCTATTATCAACGACTAACACTGTAGTAAAATATCTAGTAGTTTTAGAAAAGGTAGACTAAGTATTTAGTAAACACGTTAATTATTACTCGTGTTTACTAAATTCTTACTCTAGTAGTCATGATTTGTTATCACAAAATCTATTGACAGGTATTTTATTTTTATTTATAAAGTATTGTATATTTTTATGAAATAAAACACAATTTAGATTATAAGTTTAATATTTCATATTGCATAGTGAATAAATATATAATATAACGCCTGAATATCTGTGTCACTAATGACAACGTTACGTCCACTGTGGAGATATAAAAATAAACATGATTATTATCAGTTTAATAACTGTTGTTAATTTTTTGCAAACCTCAAGTCTAGGTAGCTGCGTGACGTCATTTAGTAGCAATTAATTGTAGTGAGAACAAAAACACAGTGACCTACCTAGCCTACCAACGATACAAATATAAATAATATAATTATTATTTCATTTAGTATTTTTAATGGGCACTTGTTTTATCTTCTTATTTTAATTTACTTTAACAGACTTCGAGAAAAGTAGAAAGGTTCTGAATACGGTAGAACTCACTAACTACGGTTTTTTTTATTTTGGACCCACACAAATTCCTCCCAAAACTGATTTGTAAAATTCTTTTTATATTTGAATGGATACGCTTGTCATTGGTTACATAAAAATTACGTCAATATGGTTCAGTAGTTTAATTTATCTGGTTCATCAAAATAATTGCAGTAAATATATAATTAAATGTTTATGGACATTCGAATAGTTGTAATGAACTATACTACTATAATACTTTATGATGAATGATGATGAGTATGATGATACCATAATTAATTATTTTTTTATTAATCAATTATTATTATAAATAATAATAAGTTTCTTTATCTGTAAGTGATTATCATTTTAATAGACACTTCACGAGTATATTTTTGCTTTTTTCTTTCTTAAACTGTATAGAGCTAAGGCTATTTCTTGTTACTACTCGTATGTCACAAAACTAAGGTTATACTTATGTGATATACACAGTTTCTATTTTTTCTGCATAGCGAGAGCAATTTCTTTTAGTTTCTGCCGGTGTACCTTCGTAGAAGCCGTCAATGGTATTTTATTTAAAAATATCACGCCTCCTCTCAATTGCTTAGCATCTGATAGCGAAGCTAAAATAAAAATGTATACATGTAAACGCATTATAATAAATATATAAGTAACAAAGCAAATTTGCTGCTTGCGTGTTTCTTCGCATGTTTAAAGCGAAGAAACATACAGCAAAAGTTTTTGATATGGTTTTTATTATAATTTCTAGAAATTCAATCATGCATAGTTATAAAATCTGCGTTTCATACACTGTACATTTTTGGATCCGAGGCGAGGAATCCGAGGCGGGTTACTCGTCGATGGTAAAAATATAGTGTCACACAACTAATACATAGTACGTCATGATTGTGACTGGGGTGGGAGTTTCGTATGTATATTGTGTATGTATTTACAACAGAAATGTATCTAAGTATTTATATCACAGATGTCAAGTAACACAAGCTATGCTTTGCTTGGGACTTGGTGGCGCTGTATTAATTGTCCAGGGTTATTATCATTAATATTCCGCATACCTCTGACCAAATCTTTAATCTCCTGACTGGTAAGCTGATGTCCTGTTCTAGGTACCACGAAGGCGACAAGCAAATCGCCACAGTCAGCGTCCGGTATTCCGGTCACTGCCACATCCAGTACTCCAGGATGCTCACGAATTACAGCTTCAACTTCCACTGGGGATATCTTGGAATAAAATTATTTTAATAAGTTACATATACACATAAGAAGAATTGTAAGTAGTAAAACCAATAAGATTAGTTTTTGGCTCATTAAATTATTATTGTACTTACGTACTTGATAACTTTTATATTTCAATAATAATTTTATGCGCTCCACAAAGAAGAAATTCCAGTTCTCATCTCTGTAAAACATGTCGCCAGTTTTGAACCAGCGACCATCGGCGAATACTTCAGCTGTGGCTTCTGGATTATTGTAATACTCCTGAAATATTTATAGATAGGTAATTAATTAGAAAATTTTTAGCTTCTAAAATTTTAACTCACTCTTTATGAGATTCTTGTACATATACCAATTGAAAAAGGGTCACGTACTTTGAATATACCTGGTCCCTTGATCCATAACTCTCCAGATACATTCGGTTCTAATATGTCTTCTTCTGTTTCTACATTTACCAACTGTAATAAAATTATTAAAAAATTTGGTTGCTTGCTTTATATTTAGGTACATATGTAACCGTATTAATTAATTAATTAATACTTGGCTACATATATGTAAATCGAAAATATTATACAATTAAAAATCTCAATGGTCAGGACTACTACTAGCAGGTCCTTGTTTTGCAAAAGAACATATTAGAAATCGAATACTGGTACATACTGCCAGTATCCGATTCTAACATGTTCTTTTATATATTGTATTTGACAGAATGCCAATAGACTAAAGTACAAATAAATAAATTAACTTAAAACCGGGAATAGCGATATCGGAAAGTATACTCTCCACCAATGGGTTTTTGGATCATCAGGTTGTTTTCCATCTTAGAAAATTATTTTTGCTATTAATAATTACACACTTACTCGATAATTAAAACAACCTATTGGCTTGCCAGACGAACCCAACGGCGGATTGTCGGGTTGAAATGCGATGTTGGTCAATTCACTCATGCCATAAATATCATACACCTCGACGTCTGGTGATATTTGCTGCAACGGAAAAAAATGTTACAAGCTTTGTATATATGTATATCTACACCCATAAAACTACTATATCTAATAAGGTGATATATGGAACATATATTTATTTAATAACGTAATGATGTGCCTGGCGAACAATGATTAGGAGAGCCGACCACAAATAAAGAAATGAAGCTAGGCAGAGAGTGGGATTTATTTTATAACGAAGAATTTATTAAGAAAAGCAGGCACTTGAAAAGAAACCAAAAATTAATTCCAAACAAGGCGGCACGCTTACCCCATGCCACGTTGTATTCAAATAATACTCAGCAACATGTAAGCATATCACGTGTCGCATTTATCAATTCATTGACATTTTACAATGACAGACCAGACTCCCAGATAGGGTTGTCTGAAGCAATGTACACTCGTAACAGTTTCATGTATATTAATAATAACAGTGGCCGAAGAGCTGGTAGCTACTTTTCCCAGGAGATAGTCATGGCAATTCAGAGAGGGAACGCTGTCTACTGACAGCACACTGTTTGAAACGTTTTTGACTTGAAGGAACGCGTGTTTGGACAACAATGATGATTACTATTATTACCTTTATTTCGTCCAAGAGATTTGTAGGCACTGCGCTACCACCAAGCAATATCAGTTCAAAACAAGACATGTCACACTGTTCTTTGCCTTCAAACTTCAACAATGTTGACATGAATGTTGGTGAGAGTATAGTGAAGGTTGGCTGCGAATTAAAGATATTGCTTAAAAGAAAAGTATCTGGCGCACATCAAATCTAGGAATATATAACACGTATGACTACTTTTAAAACTGTATTGCGCTGTCTTTTAACTATCTATATCTGCATAACGGGAAGAGAAATAAGACGGCTTCATTGTAATGCTAAGTTCTGTTAAAGTGCACCCCCAAATGAATGGTTGTATTTTATGTAATTAGAATGACAAAACGCAGATGTGACGTTTTTTTTTTATAGATATAGTGTACGAGACAGATAACGTAGTCAGACGATAAGTCATTAACGCCATCAATGAGACAACACCATAGGCATTTCAATTACTATGCCGGCCGCTGTTGGATGTACCTACATCACGTTGTCATGACGACTGTAATGCGCTGCCGTTCTAAAGGACAAAGATGTTATGCCTCCATAGCCTGAAATTTCATTATTTTATCTCACCCTTTTACAAAAACAAATTTAGGCAGCCAAAATAGGTGAGACAGAGGTACCCGCGGACCATTTTGTACAAAGCCTACCTCAGTAAATATAATATCATTAATAACCTCACCCGATATTTATTAATGAGATACGTTGCGTGTGCTTCTGTCAATGGAAAAGATGTTTGAAGACGTATGTACTTTAAGATCGGGGATGTCAGGAAATTGACTATAGCAGTTAACCATTGAAGTGGTGCGCCGATTAGAGCCATACGAGTAGGCGCAGGGAATTTGTCGAATCTAGACCTGTTAAAAAAATATACCATCAATACTGTTATCCCAGATAGGATAGTCATAGTTGAACGTAATACTTGAGGTTCACATTGCGCTGGGCATTACATCCAACAAAACAGAGTGTGTACCCACCGCTTCCACCCTCGGATTCCTTTGATTTATTATCAGTGATTCGATTACGCCCAAGGGTAATTCAGGAACAGAAATTGTCAAGTTCTCGAAGTTTATTTAACTGTATTTAACTGTTATAGTGACTAGATTCGAACTCACAGCTATACGGTACTAAACTACTGGGCTACGATGCTTTCAAGAATATATTAATATGTAAATGATTCTGTTCTGTCTATCAAACCAAACGAATGGATTAGATGGATACAATATACAATAGCCTAATCTAAATACAAACCAAAGGTACGGGGCTGTAATTGCTAAGTTTTTGTGTGTGACTGCAGCTGCTTTAGGGAGACCCGTTGTACCACTTGTGGCAACTAGAAGTGCTATAGTCTCCTCTGGATCAAAATCATTTGGTCTAAAAATAGATTATTATAATTTTAGATGATAAAGTATTTTATTAAAAAGAAATGTATAAAAATCAAATGTGTCATTTAATATTATTTATTAATAACATAGTTATCAAAACTTTGTGTTATATGTAGAATGTATGTACGTATAGGAAAACTATTATTATTTTCAATTATATGTTATGCCATTTGTACTATATTTTTTATATTGATTAAATAGATCTATTTCTTAAACTTAAATGGCATGTTTTAAGAAATATGTCCTGGCCAACTCAAGGCAGAGAAAGTAAAAAATATTGTTACCTAACTTATACGGAACATTATAACTAACAATTTTTACTTACTTATAAATTAAAATGAGAAATGTTAGTAAATGCATTGAACAATAATATTTGAGAACAACAGAATCAACCTAATTATGTTTTTTGTCCAAATCTACCTTGATGATTTTGTAATATAATAATATTAAGCGTTATAGTTTATTAATAGCTATTCTGCTATATTTTGAATTCAGATATTATACAAATTACAATGACAGCCATGTAGATAGGCTAGAAGAAAAGAAACTAACTTGAAAAGCTGATGTGCATTACAATCGCCATATTCGTTCAGAAATTCGTAAAAATTGCACAGATAATCTCCCTTATCGAATGTTATAATTTTCGTGTTCAATTCCAATTCGTTGAGTACAACTTGAATCTCCGGAGCTTTCTCGCTTTGACAGAATATTACTTTTGGTTTGTCGACGCCAATTGTCCCCTTCAATTCGTCTGGAAATAAAAGATTGGTCATCTGAATATATATCTCAGACTCGAAAGTTATGCTGTAAATCAGATATTGCAGTTCTGAGGAATTGTTCGGATTAATACCAGCTGCTGAATTTCCCCATCGTGCCTACTACACGTCTAAAACTTGATCATCTAGATGAATGACGGTCCTCCACCATGTATTTTTCCAGAAAGTTTTAGTCACCCATAACCACATTATGGAATCATCATCCAGCAATGGTATTTCCTGACTGCTGATATTGAAACCTTAAATAAAAGAGCTTTTTCTTGCTAAAAAATTCGACGATGCACTTGCAAATCCCATGGTATTGCGGTTGCTAATGGGCGGCCGTAATTACCATTAGATGAGCCGCGAGCTCGATTGCCTCCTATAAAAAAAAACTAGGAAGGCGACATTATTTACACTCCTCTTACCATATGATATGTAAGATGATTATACTCTCATATTTTTTTATGACTGTCCTCGTGATACAAGCTATCATTACATCAAATTTTGTGAATAATTAACAAACATACAGATACCGTTAGGCATTTATAATATTAGTATGATTAAAGTAGTACCTACTTACATAAAAGTTCAATAATAACAAAACACTTACTAACTCCTAACGTTCTATCCACAGCAGCGATGATAATTCCAAGATATAAAGCAGCATACACAGGTATAGCCAAGTCTGAATGGTTAGGAGACATGAGCATAATGACATCTCCTATTTTTAAACCTAAATGTGTGAAAGAGATAGCGCATTGTACAGATTTCTTTAATGTCTCTCCATTGGTCATAGTTTCTCCTGTTGCCCCATCGATCTGTAAAATCAATGCGTAAAAATTATGTACGTGGATTTTATTGCTTGCAATCGTTTGTGAGACACTTTTAGCAAAAATTTCAAAGTGAGCAAGATTGACAGCGATAGAAATTTCCCTACGTACTTAACCGTTCCAAATAATTATAAATTGTGTTTGTTTAAGATAAGGAAGAGTAACAATCACTAAAAAAGTAATCTGATGTGTAATATTAATTAGTACGTCTATAATAAACTCATTTTGCCACGGATCTGTTCACATAAAAAACAGTATGCGTGCACTGAAAAAAGAAACCAAGATTAGTATTTACTGAAAACGGAGACTAAATTGACGAACAAACTAGACTATTATAGTAATTAAAATAGTTCCACTGCAGTAAGCATAGGTACAATTAAATGCAATAAAATAGCCCTTTATTGACTTCAACGTTTTATATTAAGAGTAATTGTTGTAACCTCATCTATCTTCTCATATAACTCTATTTATTTTCATTATTCTCTGAGGAACTTTGTCGCATTTTGTATGACGGAATTAGATAACAGTGTAAACTGTCGTTCATCCTTCCTATAATAATTCACGTTAATAAATAATTAATGAGACTTTTACCTACACAAGTAGGAATATTTTGTTATTTAACTATTTTCGTAAAAATATTATAACATCAAACAGGGTTTTTATTGTAATCGAAACTTATCTTGTGGTATTGAGAGGAGGGGATTTTTACTAATGGGGAGAGAAGAGGTCCCATAGCAATGTAGGCATCATGAAAAGTTGATCTCCTCGCGGTTAACTTAAGGTAAATTCACGACGATGCAACAGGAGGAAAAGAGAAAAGCGCACCGTGTGGTTGATTATATATAAAAAGTACAAATATTACCTGGTTGACAAAATCAGGGTCATCTTCGAAGCTCTGCATCAATATTTTACCAAGATGGAACCTGTCATGTGGGTTGCCTGACTTTGCAACGATACGAGCTGTTAGTTCGTTCATAAACCAATGTACGGAATCATTGATACGCCGCACTTTCGGCATTTGTCTGGAAAATACAATATTCTATTGCTTAATGTATAGATATAATAAAAAAATATCTCTATACGTAATTGGAGCATTTATGAGGGATTCTTGGGAATTTACAATTCCATAGAACTCTAAGCTATCACCTCCCCCTGAGTCATTGGGTACCATGTCAGGTTGACCTCCACGCGGTTCCCCCTGGAAACCATCGTGATAAATTCTTGTTGAATTTGTTACGATGAGCTAACTGACCTGACCTCATGCTCATCTTATCATCCTCCACTGGTGCCCCGCCAGCGTAAACCGTATGCACAGGCGGGGGCAATATTCCATTATCATCCAAAAAATAACTATGAATGAATTATTTTGTTCCTCAAGTAACTATTTATTTATTTATGTCGAATTTTCTATTTGGCAGTTTGTATTCACTCAAAATTCTTAAAAATAACTGACGCATTCTGAACAACATTTAATTAAAAGAGCAACACGCAAGTTTTTTTGCTCATACGTCTCCGTTCCGAATGAGTAGTGGAATAAATATATGACTAGGTATTCAAAAGTACTTCTGTTATTTTTTTTTAATAAAGATTTTTAGTAAACACAGATGAATTTTTAATTAACATTTCTATAAACAATTATTAAAATTTTTACGGCTTACATATTACAAGACGGCTTAACTGACTTGGGTGGGATTTTCAATAATGTAGGTATCTACTGTGGCGAAGTTTCACTTAGAATTTATTGTCGTTTTTGTGCTAATTGACGTACCTACAACAAAAAAGTTACGGATGCACGTACGTATTCAAAATACTATTTAAGAGGTCTGTTTGCGAACTAGATTAGTAATTAGTAATAAAATAGCTTAAATCTATTTAATCCCTGATAGTGAGTAAGGTGTTATACCCTGATCACTTTTGATACCTGGATCACTAAAGATGAAGTTACAATGATGAATAATTAATACCTGGAACTAGAACAGTGTCCATTAGAGGACGATAATATGTAGTATCTAATGATGGTAAATATTTTTAACAGAAATTCCAAGAAAAATTAGTAGATTATTTTTGTAAACAGCTTGGAATGAAAATGTACCTATGTGGTGTAGGTTACCATAATACATTAGTAAAAATTGAGCACAAATCGGTTGTTTCTGAGCGCATCAAAGCACAAACAAACAGACAAAACATTTTAACAATGTACCGTCAACTATCAATTACTCTTTTATTGTATGTACCTATAAGATAATAATCATAGTGAGACATATTGTCTCGTCTACATGGAACATCGATGAAAGGCTAAGTGAAGCAAGCTGTAATAGGTAATATAATATCGTGATCCTCTTACGATATGTACTTATTATTTGGTGACATATTGGAAAAGTATTTTGATAGTCAACAAGAATTGCGTTTAAAATTAAAATGAAGTTAATATAAAATACAAAATTTAAGGAATTATTAATGTTCTAAATAAAATCATTACCTGAAATTATATTCTGTTTAAAATCAAAACAGTTATCCCGTGCACCACAGAACAGAGTGCTTCTTTATCATATGCATTGACTGTTTTATCGATAGAAGCTTAAAAAACGTATTCTCTCGACAGAAACTGCAAGTGCTGTGACTAATATAAAATATGCACTAGGTGGGTAATTCTTGGGGATATTCATTTTTCATACTAAACATGCAGTTTTCTATAAAATAAATATCTGAATTATAAAACAACTATCTGAAGCAAAAACTGGATATTGTAACAAAACTGTAACTACATAATTTTTTTCCATACTGAGAATAGATATTGGTTTAGGTATAAAGAACAAATAAGCAAAAGTAACAAAATATATCCACCACAATCTACGATGAATCTCAAACGAGGAGGGTAGGTACACAAAACTCAAAGTACTTAGTTACCCACCTATATGTCTGTTCTTTAAATCATGTAGGTGGTACCTGCAAGGAAATTTAGATGATTTTAAAAATGAAAACCAAATAGGTAATATCTCTGTACGTCTTCTTTGGGCTTCGGATTCAGTAGTTAGTATAGGCACAGATAGTTCAAAATCTTGTGATATCATATCGCACACCTGTGTGGTTCACAGATAACATAATATTACAAACCAATTAATCCTGTATTATGGATTTATTGAAAATACTTAAATTTTCGAAATTAGACCTTTACTTTAATGTTGTTTCCAAAGTCCGTATTTATTAGTTAATCCAGTATTGTGTATATTGTAATTCATATTTACTTACTGGTAATTAAGACTAGTGCCCTAACAATGTGCCATGTCAGGTTGTTTTCCACGCGATCCTCCTTAAAACCAACATGCTTTAGTAATTCCTTGTTATCTTGCTACAATGCGACAGACCTCACTTCTAGCTCATCCTCCACGGGTGCCCTGTCAGCGTATACCGTTAAGGCAGATGAGTATACAATTCCTCTATCATTTATTTAAAAAATAAAGACTAATTATTAATTATACATTTATTTAATGTGTATTATAAACATATTTTTGCGACGTTATTAAAGAATTGCCCAGGCTAATCATAGCCGCGTGCTACGTAATAGCGGTAGTAAAACAATGTAACTGCTTCGACTATTTGTATTAAGAATGCAGTGAGGTTAGTATCTACCGTACTGCTATAATGCATTGATGTGTGCATAAAGGAACATTCACACGAAAGATTTAGTCCAACGATTCGCTGAATCAAAATATATAGACCTTTTATACGATTATCGAAATACCTGTCTTAAAGTATAGGTATACATAGATAATTATGCAGTAGATACAAGTGTTTGTCAACTCCTCCTAAACGGTTAGACCGATTTAAATGAAATTTTGTGTTGATTTTTTAATGGGTTCTGTGGTGGACATAAATATAAGCGTATATAAAAAAGTATATACTATATTATTCATTTTTTTATATTAATACTAAAGATGTAGGCAGGTAACTTGAATCAAAATAATTACAGATTCGATGATTCGGGGAATTTATTAGTATAGTAGGTATTTAATTTTCATTCAAGGAATTGCAAATTGTTGAGCGGGATAAAGTCGCACGACAAAAATCCGCAATATGGTGTAATCCTAAAACTAGATAGGTAACACGATGCAAATAATTTATTGATGGGTACAATTTAGTCATTTTTACTACGATTTTCATTCACGCGATAGCGAAGAATAGTGTAGTCACCGATACTAAATAATCATGTTCATTTTTTGCATAATTTATAAGTTCTGATTTAACCATTATGGTCTTATTGATTTAAATAGAATAATAAATAGAATAGAACCACGAAATCGTATTCAGCTCTGTTCGGTGAATAGTACCAACATAAAAAATAAAATAAATGAAGGTTATAATCTTCGTGTTTCTTTTGCAGCCGCCTCGTAACACATTTTACTCCTCTCATATCGATCTACTTGTATGTGTTCTACATACAATAGAATTTATTATAGGGAACTGCTACAACTTTCATTCTTTACCACACGATGAACCCGGCACCCGCACGAAAAATCCTTGGATTGCTAAGAAGTTCCTCTCAATATAGTATATGTAGCAGCTACCTATCTGTAGTCAGTAATACGGAATAGTGACCCCATTTATAATAATTATATTATATCAGGCAGACCGAATTCACGATTGTGTTTTTAGGAATGATAATGGAATGTTACACCCACCTACGCTGGCGGGGCACCATCCAGTCCATTTTAGAAAGGAGGGGATTGTTGATAATAAGTCCTTATTGACCTCATTACTAGCAAAATAATCGCAGGTGGATATCTAAATGGTGCTTGGCCTATGGCCAATAGCCTATAAATAATATTCTAATTGTATCTGACATTGTCATTGAACGCCTTTCAATAATATGCATTGAAGTTAATTGATACAAACATAAGCTGTGGCCACATATGTAGTATCAGAATTGTTTAGTAATACTATCTGAGAGTTTTGATGCAAATTGTTTAACCCTTTTTTTCTATAGAGACTACTGCATGGCGTACTCCAAAAAACCCTGCTTGAACATTAAGATTCCTCAAGGGTCAGCAACGTGCTCGGACACCTTGGTGTTTCAGAGGTCCATAATATATAACAACCGTTGTCCATCAAGAAGGCCATATGCTTGATTATTACTATCTAAACGTGTTTATTTTTATACCACAATATAAAAAAACACGTTTAGATATTGACTAACTGTAGTTCTGGTTAAGTTAGAAATAAAACTAGTCAAACACCAATGTAGTCAACATTGGTTTTCTACTAGTTTTATTTTTATTACAAAAATCTATTGCTATCTATTGCAAAAATAATTTTAATAACAATGCAGATTTGGTGAATAGAATAGATATTGTGTAATATTACAATACAAATTATTAACTAAAGATTAAGACTTGTTTGAAATCAAGATTATAAAACATTATTTCATGTCGAAAATTTATTAAACAATATACCTCATAATCCTATTGTGAGTCTGGTATTACAGCTTATTTGCGGATAGGCGTCAAGGTTTAAATACTAAAATTATAATAACGTCAGTTATAAATTTATTTACAATAATCAATAATAAAATAGGTCAACAACCTTTGTCACAAAATACATTGGATTTAATAATACATATACATTACAAATAAACAGTAACGTTGACAATTATTTCATAAACTTTTAATGGAATGTCGCTTAATGAATTTTCTATTTTTATGTCAAATTTTTATAACAGTACTATAATTTGAAATGTTCACAGAGCCGCGCAACGTTTTCTTTTGAAGATTCTGAAAATAAATAAGGCTTAAATTATTTTTCAAAATTATCTGATAAACCCTCTTTTAAACTTTCAGAATTTGTAAAACATAGTATATTTTTCAATTAGAATAAAATAGAATGTTCTAATCAATTAGTTTAATATTGTTATTTATTATCCTATTAATACACCTTATAATTAAATCAATAGATCTAATCCTATAGTTACCTTTTTAAAAATACTGGCCATAAGCAAATTCGTTTTTTTTATATTCTCTTTCTTTTTCTCTTCTTTTTTTCTAACCACTTCAGGCAGGGATTTGTAAATCTTTTCTGAATGCTTTTTCATTTCTTTCTCACTTATAAATTTAGGTGCAACTGAAATATTATATAAAAAAAATATTTGCAACAATGAATATTTTATATTCGAACTATTTGTAAAAAGATTAAGTACTTATTACTGTTTATTAGTAACAATAAAATTATCCTTCAAAGTAAAAAGATAAATTGAATACTTTTATGAATTTGTCATTATTTATAATTCATTTAATGACCAACATCATACGGCAAGAAAACTTTTTATTAATAAAAGTATTACTTAAATGTAAACACTTATTATCAATTAATTAGATAGGTACATTTTAAATTGGGCAAGTGTTGCCCAACTGCGAACTGAAACTTTTTAAGATTACTTTTAGCATATCATATTTGTGATTTTGGTTTGATTATTCCACGAAATCAAAAATATGCTAAAAATTACGTTATTAATGAACGACCCCAGGTATATAACGAACACTTACGTTTCTTTTTACGAAGCTCGACGCCGAACTCTTTGGCTAACTGATGCAGCTCAGTCTCACTGACGGTGGTCAAGGCTGGTTCCTTGTCCAGTTGCAATGACAGCAACTGGCGTTGGGTAGCCCGCTCATTTGCTCTGAAATTTTTATTATTTAATTTTATATGGAGGACTAAGACTTGTTTTATCGGTTCTAAACTGGTGCACATTGACCACTGTTTGCGTCGTTTTATTTGTAGTTCTGATATAAACTTTGTATATCTACTTACCGTAACAGACTTTGTCGCCTACATGGGCACATTTATATCTCCCCATCCTGTCAAGAAGCAGCTTTTTCCGATGTAAAAAGAGACATTACAGCAAAATTGCATAGTTCGTAAATATTACTTAGACCTCAGGAATCGCAACGCAGTTTACATTACACTTACCATACGATGATCTCAACTTGTATACTATTCCAGTTATAGAAAAAAATATAATCAATGAAGAAAAACCGCGCGAGTATTACGTGTGTTTTGGAAAAGTAAATATTTTTAAGTAAACTGGATCGATAAAATTAAAAAGATATTGGATTGTTACCTATATCTTACTCCTCCAAAGACATGAAAAGAAGTAGTTATATATGGATTATTACTAGCGTTGGATAAACACAAAAAGAAAATTTACAAAATGGAGTATGAAATTAATGTCACAATTTATTTCTAATATACATAAATATTATTCTAATTACACAATATAATACAAATCAAGTAACTAAAATTTAAGACTATTATGCGTCTACTAACTCACCAATTGTTCTTACTTCATTTTGAATATTCCCCATGTAGCATGGTTCCATACATGGATTGCAACTCATTTGCATACCTAATGATTTATATTAATAATTTATACTTTAAATATTTTTATTCTTACTCCACGTCTTCACGTAAACACAAGAAGTTACAGGTATGTGTATAATAGAGAACTCTTTCTATATGTTATTTTTGTAGGTATGTATATATTTAAAGTAGTAGTAGTAATTCGTAAATACTATATCTGTTTATAATTCTTCCGAATTCATTACGCACTATTATTGCACATGTTATGTAGCACTAAGAGTGTTACTTATATTACATAGAACAACAATATAAATTTATGAAGGCTTGTAATTTAGCTCGCGTAAGGTGTTGGTTCTCCCTAGGCTTTTTTTTAAATCGTTTCGGATATTACCATAATTATATCCAAACTTACAATCTTTAGCTTTTATGATATTAGTGTAGTTTTTTAATTGTAATAAAAATGAGTTGGATGATTAAACATGTAGAATAAATAATGCATATTTGTATGGTGGAAACATTTGTGTTACAAACATTAATGATAAAACGAATCTACAAAATGCGGCTGTTCAATACCTCCACAGTACTTATTGCAAGTTTCCATAGGTCCGACACAATTTGGAGTATGAATAACGACCATTTTCAAACGTGGGGCACATGTATCTTGGTTTCTGAAGTACGAAAAATTGGTGACCAAAAGCATGAAACTAAAGTAGCATTAGTTATTCCGTTGTAAAAACAATAATATAGTAAATAGTTGTAAAACAAAACATTAAGATTTTATTGTAAATCTTACCTTGATTCGTTGATGAATTTTAAGCAATTTTGGCGGCTCGAACAATTTTCTACAAAATCTGGACGATTCTTCTCCAGATAATCTCTAACTGTATACCCTTGATTCGTCTTGGTAACCTCGTCTGTACTAGAAATTTCACACTCATTCGGCAAACTTCGGGATCGCTCCTTGGGATTATAGTATTGATTATACTGAGGCAAATTATTCCCAATTTTAGTAGACAACTCTTTAAACTGTTTATGTTTTGGAGGCACCTTAATGACGATATTCTGCAAGGATTTATTACTCTTATCGACCGCCTCCTCACTAACCACACTATCAGATGTTTGAATTATTAAATTATAGGCTACACATTTCTTTTTGACCTTTTCTGTGCTGGATCTAATCTTGTGACTTTTACATTTATGACCTCGACATGAACAATGGTGTATGCGTTCACATTTTTCACAATTTGCTGAAGTACTACTAGAAACTTCACATGGTTTGGCACCCCCGTGAGAGACTTTACATCGTTTTTGGTGATATTTGTCACATTCCTTCTTAATTTTATTAAGCACTTTACAAGTCGCAGCATCAGATGATGTCGATGGCAAATCAGTTGAAACTGGTATTTCAGACGATTCAGTAGTCAAATTATTCAATTCCTTTATTTTTCTGGCCGACAACTGAACAGCTTTATCAATTAATATTTTTGTATTTTTACTGTACTTACGTTCAATTATTGGCTCTTCTTGCTTGTGTTCTGATTCAGGTGGTGTCGAACTATCGGATATATGCAGTTGCTCTTTCTCATTAGTGCTGTCATCTGTATCTAACAAATAATTAAGAACAGAAATTATTTCTTTAAAACACTTTTTCCTTTTTTCTTTTCCAATGTCTTTTTTAGAATAACGTCTCGTTATGTCTTGAATAATGTCTAATATAGGATCTTTACTAGCTTCACTACTCGACTTACGGTTTGCCAATCGTAAGCCTGGCACTACTTCATTTAAAAGATCTTTAAGTTGTTTAGATGAGTTTGATTGTTTTGATGACTCCTCTGAGGTGGTTCTACATCTTTTAGGTTGATCAGTATCAGAATCTGTCACCTTATGCTCATTTGATTTTGGATAACCTTGCGTAATAGCATCTTTTTTATCTATGTCTTCAGTTTGAATACCAAGTGCCCTCTCAATCCTACCTGAATCAGTAGCGGATCGCAATAAAGGCTTTTCTTCATTAATTTGAATATTTCTTGGATATGTGTTGTATGCATGTCTCTCACCAGTATAGCTACTACTAACAATACCGGACTCCTTAAAAGTATTTGATATTCCCTGATTATTTAGTTTATTACTATTATGATCAAAAATAGCACGCGTTGTTTTTTGAATACTTTCTTCTATTCCATCATTCATGTTAAAGAAAATATCTGTTGTTTGAGATTGAATACCTTTGGTACATTCTTCCCTCAAACAAGTAGCCTTTTCATCAACAATAGGTTGAATAACATCAGTTCCCTGATCTGTTATTTCATTCAATTGTTTAGGTGATTTTGAGTCTGAGTCAATACTCACTTTTAATGTCATATTTGTGCCTTGTATTGGTATTGTGAAATTATCTACTGGATTATCTAAAACACGATGATTATTAAACTTACTAATATTTTGAAAATTAGTAGTAGATTGGATTTTTGGGTGTTCTATATCACTTAAATTTTCTACTGTAGATATTATGTTACCACATATTCCTTTATTAGACTCAGTAGAATATTTGCGTTGTAATGACAGAACTTTAACAGATTTATCGCTTTTTTTATCTGTTTCAAGTTCCTCATGTTTAAATTGATTACTCACATATTCAGAATTACCTTTCGACAATCTCCTACGGTTCTCGTTAATTATTTCAACGCAATGTTCATCATTAATAATAAGTATGTCGGTTAAACTTGGATCAGAAATTTTCGGATTAATGCTTATTTCTGTTTGCATGCATCTTGTGGAGTCAGAAACTGTATTATTATTATTAACTGGCCTACCAGAATTTTTAATTTCCGATGCATTTTTTTCACTGCTTGAAACAGATGAAGTTGAATTTTTATCACTAGTTGGTTGTCGTAATATGTTTAACGCAATATTTGTTTGTGATGATTGTGATGATCTTTTTAATACCGGAATATTTTCAATGCTACTATCTTGTAATACGGTATTATTATTTCTATAGTTGTTTTTTGAAGTTGATGGTTGACTTATACAAATATTTTTAATTTCGGAAGATTCTATTGGACATTGATTTCGTGAGATATTTGATAAAACAGGCTCTTCCAGTTGAGTACCTGTATGAGTTAAACGTGAACATTTATATATCAACATACCATCAGGCACATTATATGAAGTTATGCCTTTGTTACCACATAAACATACATATTTTATATCTCCTGAATTATTATCAGATACCAGTTGAGCTACGGGTATAGGAATTGCTTTACAGCTGTCTTCAGTTTCCTTTGATATAGCTTCCTCCTTATCATTTCCGACAGAACTAAGTTTATTACTTTCTAAATTAATGTCAACTTGCACTGAACTATCAATTACATCAACATTTGTTGTGATATGACGTCGACAACAGCAATATTTTTCTTTGTTTTTAACATGGGCTATCTTTGTGTCATTGATTTCATTTTGTAATCTCTTTTTTAAGTTGGTTTTCTTATTTTGAGCATCAGAAGTGCCCGATGAAAGGGTAAATACAGAATGACTTCTCTGTTTTCCTATATTATATTTTTTTTCAATGCCTGCAATATTATTGTTAGAACCACCTTCTAATTTACTAGCATCACCTGAGCCATCATCATAATTATTTCTAGTTAGATCCTTTATCAACTCTTTTAATTTATTATTTGATTTCATATCAGGTTGATGTGTTGTTTTAAATGCATTGTCGGAACTAACTAATTTTTGTTTTAGGAAATTTTCTTTATCTCTCAAATGTCTTCTATAAGTCTCTTCCCGTCTAAGAGCATCTAAATATTTTTGATACAATTCTTCTGACGAAGTTTTAACAAAAGCAGTATCTGAAGAATTTTTTCCTTTACTTGAAGCATCTGATTCAGTATAAGAGGAAGTGAATGTCTTTACAAGTTTAGAAGTCGCTAGTTTGTCACAATTACATACTTCTGATAAATTCGGGGCACTTTGAGATGTTGAAGCTAATTTACTAGGATTGAATTTATGTATACGTAATATAGATTTGTTTGGTTTTGACAATTTAGTATTATCTCTTGTAGTTGTCCCATCTGAAGTACTTGTTGTATTACTTTCCCCTAATTCTTTTTTTTTGCTAGAAATACTTAAACCAGACAAAAACTCAGTAGTACTATCATCATCGCGATATTTGGAATTGAGTAGTCTTCGAACAATTTCTTTGATCATTTGTTTTTTGAGATTAGAATCATCATGACGATACTGTAGTGCCATTTTTAGTACATCAATGCTTTTTTTTAAATCTTTGCTAAATGAATGCTTAGAATCTTTGCTTGAATCTGTGGTTAAAAGCCCACTTGATTCTAAGCTAGACTTGTTTCCAGCTAAGTTCACTTTAGATTCAATTTGCTGTAGTTGATTTTGATTATAAATATGCCCTGGCATATATTCAAAACTTTCAGCTTCAGATACTTGCTCAGTACTTCTATCCTGTACATGTATGTTTCCTTTATCTATATGTGTTTTTTTCTTTGTTATTCTCTTTCTCCTAGCAGTTCTTAACTTTTTTCTCTTATTTCTTCTCTTTAAAGTATTTAAAGTGATTAATAATGGAATACCATGAACTTTTGATGATTTTTGATTTGGTGCTTCTTGTGAATTTATATCATTATCATTGTTTAAACTTGTCTGAATTTCTTTATCTATTTTAACTTTAGGAGTCACTGCAGTTTCAACTGATACTTTATCAGGTGTAATATTAACATCTTTTTTTACATTTTCTACAGTAATGCCTCCATCTTTTTCTACATTAAAGGATATGTGTTTAGTTAAATTTACATTTATTGCTTGTGATGGATTTTCATCTATACCATGGGGTACATTAACTTCTACATAATCTACATCTTTCTTGTAGATAGTGGTTGTTTTCTTTGCAGTACTTCTTTTACCCTTCACTCTGGTTTCGGCTTGTTCTAATGGAGTTGAATGAGCAGTAGGTGGCTCCAATTCTGAATGCTGTTTAGTGTCATTATTAGAATATTGTTGTTTCAATGCAAGCCTTTCTAAAGTGCTTAGACTGGAAGCTGATGTTTTTCTGTCACTTTCATTTGCATATCCTACATCAGCTAATGAATCCCACTCTAATTTGCGTTGCGATGTAATACTACTTGATGGCGATAATGGTTTGTTCATTGAGGTATCTAATATTGCATCCAGTGCTGAAAATAATAATAGTAATAATGATAACAACGACCAATATTAAAAAATATGTTCTTTACAATCATATACATATACATAAATTTTAATTATCTAGTAGTGTTAAAGATATTCAATATACTATTTATTTATGAAATTAAATTGATGACTTGAAATGAAAAATCTGTTAGTGGTGTCAAATTTTAAATGACATAGTGACTTTAATTTGTGATAAGTAAGGTCACAATATTATTTAGAATGTTGACTTAAAAATATTTTTCTGTATATTTTCACATTTTAATACTTCAATTGTTACCAACAATATTTTTTTAGTCTGTTGAACATTGTTATCAATATATAGCTATTTTTGGGAAAAAAATTATCTATCAATGTCTAATGACAAGCCTATATACTTATAATAAACTCACATTTTTGTGAATGATAATCATCAGATCTCATAGATTCATTGTCCGAGTGTTTTGATGCAACATCTTCCACAATAATGGGTGGAGATTCCGAATCACTTTTAGGTTTTGAATTTTCATCCTAGTAATAAAAAAATAATATTATAAGCACTCTATGTCAAAATTATTTATACCAAAGATACTCTGTTATTCATCTAAAGAGATAATTATTTTTCATTTAAATTATAATATGTATATTAGACATATTATCAGATTAACACATATAAATATAATCTATAGTAATATTATAAATGTTAAAGTGTATTTGGATAGATTTCACCAATCGTAGTATAATCATGATCAAGGAAACATAGTTCAGTGTGAACTCGATAAAGAGAATGATGTTGATCTCATTTTATTTTAAATGGAATTAACCAGCATTATATAGATCGAATTTACCAAAATGAAGTTTAGATTCTCATTCGTTCACAGTGTTTCACACTCATACTCATATTTCAATTTATTTACACAAGCCCTTAACAAATTTTACACCTAAACCTCAGAATTCATTCTGTTGATGGATGAAACTTCATTCAGTAGTTTATATGCAAACATAGAGGAATTTGAATATTTTATAAACTTTGTATATTTTATAGATTACACAACTATCTGAGGTAGACTTCCTACTAAGTCGTCGCATGCATTGTAAAATGTATTTTGGTTGAATGGCGAGGTATGGCTGTGATAATACACTAGGGCCTTCATTTGATGACGTGATGACCATGGTGCTCTTTATACACATATTTACGGTTCCCAGCAGGTGAACAATAAGCTTCTTTGACTTTCCAAGTACAAAAAAAAGATGTAGAAAACTAAATATAATACCTGTGAACTAGAAGCTTCGGGAATAGAACATTTAATAGATATTCTACACAGTTCAGTAGAAGACTCGCTTTTCTTTTCACTCGAATCAGATGATTCTTGTGACTTCATTCTTCTCCAAAATATACTTGTTGGATCTTTAGCTTCAGTGTGGACTGTAGTTAAAGAGAAATATTGTTCTAAATCACGTTTCTTGCCAAACTTTTTATAATAATCCAGAATGTAAGAATTCAAACCAGCATTCGTTTCATCGATGTCTTCTGGACTTCTGTTATTAAGTTCATCGCATTCCATAATTTACATACGTTTTTGTAGTATTAAAACTTACGTAGTATTAAAAATGACAAAATCTATTGCAGTAAAAGAGAACAAAACCGTTTCATAATTTTTGAAAAGTGAAACAAACAAGACTGTATTGGACAATACAGATTAAAAAATTCAATTAATTGAACGAACGAATGAATTATATTTACGAAGTAGCTACTTTTTCCCCCCTTCTTTTTGTATAGAAGATTAGGATTGCCATTAATAATTTTCTAGTCTCTTTTTTTATAAAATCAAGTCCTGTAAGTAATAAAAAAAGTATTTATCCCATTTCTTCTAATCTTGTAATGCATTCCTAAATTACAAGATTAGAAGAAATGGGACGGATACTTTTTCAGGAAGAATTTTGAAACTAATTAGGCTATTCTTTAATTTGTTTCAAAAATATATTTATTTGCTAATAATCCGAAAACAATATATATACTATAATACGATAAAGTAAAAAAAAAATAGAAGAAGCATATTTTATAAGCTGTACAAGTATTTTTTTACGTTAATGAGTCAAATATAAAAAAAATTGGTATCCCTTTTAGTAGGCTGAAAGGTTGGCAACCCACGCAGCACAGAGTAATTTTTCAATATAATGTTGTACATGTACACATATTGTACACATATTGCCTTACGTAGTCTCTGAACTCTGCCCTTTGCTTAACCTATATTCTCATAATATTAATACATATTTTTTGTTTTGTGTTTAAAAAATTCAATTAAATAGTCACTATTATTATAAAACTTTGTTATCGAAGATTAAGGTAATAAGAAAATGTCACGACAAATATCTAGACTTGACGCTAAAAAAGTGGTATGTATTGTAATTATTTTTTACTGACATTGTTTTTATTTATCAATTATATTAAATATTTGGTCCTGTATCTTCAGAATTCAGAACTTCTGACACTCACTTATGGCGCTCTTGTATCTCAAATGTTAAAAGAGACTGAAAACACAGACGATGTGAATAAACAATTAGAACGAATTGGATATAACATGGGCGTGAGACTTATTGAGGACTTTTTAGCACGTACCTCATCAAACAGGTGTTTAGAGATGAGAGAGACCGCAGATAAAATACAACAGGCTTTTAAGTAAGTAAATATTAAGATAAACTTTTACCATAACGCCTAACAATCACTGAACTTAAACTAAGTAGATAAAGTAGTGTCCATTACTAAAAATCCCCTCTCCTCAAACCTAGTAATGTTGTTAGGAATGGAGACCGGTGGCTAGATGACTGAGCAACCATTGTGTACGTTTGCTATGCATGTAACTATTGTGAACTGTGGCTAAACCTGTGACCTAAGTGTTATATGGTGTGTTAAATTCACATAATTTTTTTAGATCTTAAAAACTAGCTAATGTTCATGTTCTCTTAGTTCTCTTCACACATACCAACTATTAACTAAATATGTAATAAAAAAAATAAAGACAAACCAAATCAAGTACCAATTAAACACTGGTTTATCAGTGTTCATTACATTCAGATTTATAATTATTTATTATAAGATATTATATACCAATATAAATGAATACTAATGTATACAATAATAATTAAAAAAGTACTACTTACAATTTTCAGGTTATATTTAAACATGCAGCCAACAGTAACAAGTTGGAGTAGTTCCGGAGATGAGTTCTCTTTAGTATGGGACCAGTGTCCGCTTAGTGAGTGGGTAGAAATGCCTAATAATGGACTCAAGTACTGTGCGCTGTTACCAGGGGCAATACGAGGGGCATTACAAATGGTCCAATTAGAAGTGCAATGCTGGTTTGTACAGGTATGGAAATACATGGAATATGGAATTCTAAAGAATTGAAGTCTTGATTAAATAGACTCAACACTAAAATCAGGGGTACAGAGAAATAGTACAGCGGAACAGTTGTGGTAACAGAGATTGTTTTAAACCCCTAGGGGATTCTTTTTGATCACTGGTTTATTAGCTTGGTGACCAAAGTGAAATACATGATTGTCATATGTGATTTTGTTAAGGATATGTCTGCAAAGTTTGTGACTTAGCATTCTGTTATTTTTAATATGTTATTAGTATTACATACACTTATTTTTTATCATTTATATCCATTTTACCTGTGTGATTGAACATTTATTGAGATTTCCTCTTCCACATAAAATAGGGGATGAATTGTTCTATTACACCCTTAAAAAGGGGTACAAAATTATTGCTTTACATATTAATATAAGGATTATTAAATTCCAGGATCAACTAAAAGGTGATGCAGTAACAGAGTTGAGAGTAAAATATATAAAAAGGTTAGAAGATGCAGTTCCAGCTGGCGAAGATTAAATATTTAAGTATTTAATATCTGTAATTTATTTATATTTACATGTAAACTAATGATTGTATAATGTCATATAATAGACATGACTAAGCTTAATTTTTTATTACCTGCAGAGTTTGATGGACTTCAAGTATTAAAAGTGCAATATTCAGAGCATAGCATAGTTTCATTGGCAGGTTAGACAAAATTAAGCAATGTGTCTTAAAATATATATCAGTTTTTTTTATCCCCTGCTCGAATGAATCAAAGCACAGGATCACAATGAAATTTTATGATAATAATCTTAGAAATTATTACCCTATCAATGTTTTTTTAATGTTTCACGCTCAATACAGTACTCAATTAACTCAAAAATAATCTATTATTTTAATTAAAATAAAAAATACGGATTGATTTGATTTGTTCAAGTGAAATCTTTTAATTTTTGTATTCAGTAATTTGTTTACAAAATCTTGTATAGATTAGGAAGTATCTAGTCTAGTGACATATTTTCATTTCTGCTTTGTATAAAGGTATGTGTCCAAGATATAAATGAGACCGTAAGTGTGTATGGTGGTAGAATAAATAACCTTTGTTGTTGCTATGGTTCTTATCAGACTACTGTTTTTGTTTTTAAGTTCACGGTACTGTGTCACTCATGTGTTATATCCTATTTATTTCATAAGCACGACTAGACGCCTGTACTCTGAGAAATACTCTCTCCTCTATTCCTGAATTCTCTCTATTATCTGACAGCTAAAGAAGAGAGCTAATGTTATTGAGATTATATTATATATATCCTGTCCTACAAAAAATTGTTTACCCATATACATTAATATCGCTATTTAAAAATAGGGATGGATGGTGGAAAGCTAAAAATTTTGCAGTGTATGTATTATGTTTTTAATGCCACATCATAGAAAAATAAAAGTATTGTCCAAAAAAATTTTTCATTTTGGGGTGGGCCACCTTGTCACTTATAGGTATAAAAATTTGATAACGACTTATTCTCAGGCCTACCAAGTATCAAATTCGGTTAAACCCTTTCGGAGAAGTATGGCAACTAATACTGTGAGAAATACAAGACTTTTATTTATATACTAGTATTTTATTATTATTTATATACTTCTAATTTTCTTTTGTATCTATAACGTTACATATAATATAATAAATAGTATATAATTTTTATAATATAAAGAGTTATTATTCTAATTATAATATATATCTATTATATATATATATATATAAGATGATTTGATTGTTTGTTTGCATGGTATAAGTTCTGAAACTATTGAACCAATATGAAAAATACTTTTACCATTAGAATTCTACATTATCCCTGAGTATTTCTCTCTTTTTGCTGTGTGCATTTTTAAATATATTAGGCAAAGAAATTACAGGATAAGAGGCATAACATCTCACAGTCTTCCGGAAAGGCAACATAATGTGTGGTATCACGGGCGTTACATGGGGAGTAACGTGATGTTTGTGATGCTGTTCATGTGTACGGTTACAATTTACCGTCATGGAGGCCGCAAGCAATTACAAAAAAATATTGAATTGTTACAGCGTTCATATTACAGCTTTATGTAAAACTATGTATTGTTTGATGAATATGTTAATTATAAAAATAAAAATAATATACTGAAGTAACCAATACAAATTTTATTTGTTTGTATAGATAAGATCACTACATATCTTGTTTATTCTTTTATAATCTTCTTGATTTCAGAACAGATTAAACATTGCATAACACATATCAAATTTAGAATTTTAATTAAAACTGGTTAGGATTTCTCCTTTTCGAGTTGTTTTCCTCATTCCTAAGGGTCGTGACAACCGAGCAGAATTGCTTTCTCTCGGATTACAGTCTTTTATTACACAATGGAGGGCATTAAGAAATGGTATTCAGCGATGAGCGGATTCCTTCAGACTAGGCTATGCTTTCTAGAAAATTATTAATAATTATAAGTAAAACTGACGTTACAAATTCCATGTAATTCTTTGTTACAGAAATATATTACAATTTATACAATTTCAGTATCTACTTATTTATATTAGATATATCATCACGTCTGGTACATGACGGAGTAGGTAGATGGATAGGATAGTATAAAAGCCATGTGGTTCTCCACATGGCTTTTATCCGTATACAATTTTTATATTAAATTGAAAAAATCCTTCTAAATAGTTGTATCTATGTATCTATTTCGCAATTTCGTCTGCATCACACTTGACATTTAAGATTATATTTCAACTAATTTACTTATGTACTATCTTTTTAATTTATAACCTATATGTTATTCTTATAAGCTATATTACTGTAAAGTTTCATCAAAATCCGTTCACTAGTTTTTACGCGAAAGAATAACAAAAATCCATCTATGTATCTAATATTAGTAAGATTATTAATTTATAGTTCCTTTTTATTCTTTAGTAGACTTTAGTTGTAACAGTAGATATAAAAGTAAGTAAATATTGTCTAGAAGCTTTAGGCTAGGCCTATTCTTTATTTTTAGGCAACGAGCAACAGAAACCATCAACAAAAATATAAAACCTACCCACCCCAAGTACGCTCGAGTATACCTACATTTCGACTAAGCTAAAACATCGTAAGGCTCTCTGTCTCTCCTTATAATCTTATTATAGATTATTGTCTATCCTAAATCTAATTACTGGAATAATTAACATATATTCTCAATACAATTTCGGTTGTATTGAGAATATATGTTAATTATTCCAATAATAATTACTTTTTTATAAGCTAAGATTAGTCTGTTTTAATTTTGGTAAAAAAAAGAATATACCGCAGAACTGTGACATATATGTTTAATAGTTTTATATTTAGATACATTTTTAGAAAACAATGCAAAAAAAGTAATTAACAATTTACCAAACGTTTTATTTTATTAATTTTACTAGTTTTTACCCACGACTTTGTCTGTATATACTTACACCGTCTTATGGTTTATTTTTTTAAATAAAACATAGACATAACATTCACTTTATACCATGTATCTTCATATCAAATTTCATTGAGGTCCATTCAGGCGTTTAGTCGTGAAGAGGGAACAAAGAGACACACTTTCGTATTTATAATATTATTAGTAAGTATGGATTCTAGGTGACGCTTACGGACGGAAGAGCTGCTGTGCCTTCGGGAATGAGTTAAGCATGAAAATAACTAATGAAATCCCGTTGAAAACAGAGTTGAGAGTCACAAGTGCAACAATCATTCGATTGTAGGTATCGAATATCGATTTTATCTCGAAACCTGTACATTCGAGGTCTGTTCAGTTTTAATTGTAAGTCTGTATTGTTTTTATGAGTAGTTATCACTGAAATGGATGAGTCAATTAAGTGTGCTTCAAACAATAAATAATCTTCTGTTAACATGATAATTCATTGCATTACGTAGTTATATATTATTTTCTATTTAGTTTACTTTTCATTATACAACCTTATCTAGCGTATATTGAATGCTTCTATATAATTTAGCTTTTAGGCGTAGTGTTGGATTCCAATCCAGTTTTGTACCGTACTACACGCTCCTAATTATATTATTATATTGATTGTAATCTGTTTTGTATGCTAATAAATAAATAAATAAATCCTATACTTAGTATAAAAATATATAGATATAGGTGTAGTTGTACGAATTTAAACTCACATAGGGAATTCACAGGTTTTATAATTAGATGGATATGGGATGCTGTTGCTGCCCATTAATGGTATAAGTTGGCGGAGGTTAGCAAGTCCATCGAGGTGAATTCACCAGTAATGTACCACGATGGTTTCCATGGTAACGTCAACTGACGTTAATGTATCATACATAGCTGGCTGGTCATGGGGTCACACTTCATCCTTCAATAACAATGATCCAACATTTAAAATTAATTTATACTATAATTTTAATAAGTTGGCAAAAAACATACGATATTAGGTACGGGTACAGGCTAGTTTAATAAGATCATGGAACCGTAAACCTTGGAGTACATTTAGGTAGGTACCTATATATTTTTCAACATAACCATTCGCTAAAACAGGATTTTTAAATATTTATTACAAGGAAATCAAAAGCTACAGCTAAACTCAAAATTGGTTCGTGGTGTACATTTCAGCCAGTACTTTTTTCATATCTTTTACCCTAAAATAGTACCTATACTTAACATAGTTTACCTAAATAAATAGATATCACATGAAAGTTTTCTCTTAGATTGTAGAACTTCTCACAATGCTCTATCCCACATAACACACAATCATAGTAAAGAATACGAAGTATAAAACAAGAGTAGACAATGAGTTCATTAGTTAGAAGTACCCTCATTTCAAGGGTGTCGCTTCAGAATTTTGCGGTACCTACCAGCCGCTACAGATGCACTCATAAAGCACAGTACCCACAAGCAAACAACGCTCTTACAGCTATATGTATAGGATTGAATTTTAATCGAAAATATATTTTGTACTATACATAAATTGTACAGTTTCTACTTTGAGAAAATATAAGTACAAAGTGCTTCTGTGCACAAGGTAGGACGACTACTTTGGATATGAATCACTACTTAGATACCTAGGTATGTAAATACATATTATTGCATTTTCACTAATTACTAGGTACCTACGTGTATTACGATAGGTATTTACATAGAGAAAGAGGAGATTGTTAGTAATGGTACAGGTAATGGTATGTACCTAATATTATTTTGTCTGTGGTAATGGGGACTTCTGGTCAGATTGGTAGTGGTCTCTCTTGGAATCCATATGGCTGGTGAATTATATGCTATAATAGGCTATTGACTCGACTGACTTACACAAGCAGAGAAGGCGGGAGTATAATTTATATAAAATATTACCGCCTTACTTCCGATGGTCGCGGATTCGATTCCACGTGCCGTGCGGCACAATATTTGTATTCATGAGTATAATTGTTTGTATTGGTCTGAATGTTTTCTACGTATAATATGTATGTAATTACTAAAAAAAATCTATGTATTTGTACCAGTTATTTAGTACCCATAACACAAGCTTTAGCTAGCTTAACTTAGGTCTAGATGGCGCTGTGTGAATTGTCCTGAGATTATTATTATTATGACCACGAAAGATTAAAGTAAAAAATAAAACTGTAGGTAACCAATTACTATCTTATCAAATTGATGGCTCTTAGTAACAATATGACGAATGTGTTTATAGGTACTATAATCACATGCGCTGATAGTGGATTTCAGGAAGGAAAAAGAACTTATCGTAAATACCAACATTTGTAAGTATACTATAATATTTATACCAGCCTGTCTTCTAGATTTACTAATACAAAATCGGTCCAACTGTTTCAGAGATTAGCAAGAACAGACAGACATATATTAAATATCTACAAAGTAGCTGTTTCCCGAGACTTCATCCACGTGGAATTGAGATAAATAAAATGTCTAAAAAAAGTAGCCTAAGTCAGTCCTTATAACATTAGCTATCTCCCAGTAAAAGTCCCGTCAAAATCGGTTCAGTTGTTTCGGAGATTAGCAAGCACAGACAGACAAAATATGTTCAATTTTTTATGTAGGTAAGTAGGTATCTATATGCTTACATACGCATTTTGTGAGAAACTGTAAATTGGAAATTACAAACAGACACTTCAATTCTATTTGTTTGTATAGATATGCATATCTATACCTAATTATGAATAAAAACACAAAAGTTATCGAAATCAGTCTTTCAAATTTTATTGAGATATATTTAATTAATACATTTTTTTTTGCTAACTATGTGACATTATTAAAGTAATGGTACTTAGTTTCACGTATGATTATTTATATGAAAACATAGGTTCAAATGTTAATGTTGTATTCAAATGTTAAAACTATCATCAGTAGGTACAATTACTTTGTTATAATTTTAAAACAGTTATAATAATAAGAATAATACTTTAATGATTGTCCGCTACCTTGAAATAAGGAATTTTAATACGATGCACAATTAAATTTTTCTACAAAATCATTCCATCTCGTAATGAACTTTTTATTAGCATCGTTTTTATTCTGTCCACCCAGAGCACTATACTTCAAAGAGTTCAACGCTAATGCTTTTAACATTCTTAAATCAGAACTTCTGCTAGCCACTCCAACAAATGCTACATAAAAATCTTCAGATATTGGATCAGCTTCCCAAGCACCAGGATCGTCGCTTGAGAGTACCACGGGAAGACCATGTGCGAGGAATATATTCAATGGATGATTTCTTACATCACGTACTAAAGACAACACCGTGTTTGATATCACATTCACTTCTATACCTATATCATTTTTTAACACTTCCTTCATCAACAAAGGATGTTTAGGCAGTGCGTACGCATGACCTAAACGTTTTGCTCCCAGCAATATGGCATCAAATAAATTTTCGTCAGTTGACGTGCCGTACCAATCAGTTTCGCCTGCGTGAAAAAAGAAGTTCAGGTCGCCTTTAGCTGCTGTCAGTTGGGGAAGAAATTCTATTAATGGATTCCCTAGATCCTCTTGACCGACTAAGTCGAACCCAGCAAATATGTCAGGCACATCCTCTTTTAATCTTTTCGCCAATTTAATATATTCTTCAACGGTAACTTTGTCCACTTGCCTCGAAGGCGCGTATATTAATTTTGCACCAAAAAAGTCTGGATAGTCTTTTGTGAATCTCGTTACAGCTTTCCTATATGCTTTAGCAGTAATCAGTGGGTCATATTCAGTACCATCTAACTCATAAAGTTTAGGTAATATACTTCTCACTTCAAGATACATTATATTATTTTCTCTAAATTTATATAAGACGTCGTAAAAATACTGTTCCCATATTGGCCTGTAAGTAAGCATAGGTGCGACAGTTATAAAATAGTTCATGAACGTGCTCCACGACTCTGTGATACTTGGGTATACAACATCAGGGTTGTCTACAACAAGGCTAAAATGTTTTCTTAATTCTGCATCGAATTTTGTGACATTACCACATGTTTCTCTAATTTTACTAATTAACTGCCATTGTCCTTCACAGGGAATCTGGGGAGTTTTATTTGAAAATTTTAAATTTACATTTTTATCTAAACACACGTAAAGATTGTTCATGTAGGTTATATTCATTAAGTAATCCGGACCCAATATACCCATGTCGTGAACATGAAGCGCGGCACCTTTTGGCATATCCTTTATAATCCGATACACTTTGGATTGTCCTATTTTTTCTCTGTAAGAGAAATAATGATGACTGAAATTAAAGTACTTCGGGTTGTTGAACCCATAATCAACTTCGTGAAACTTGTATTGCATTAGGCAGTTGTTGACGATAATCTCCTTTTCGGTTAAATTAATATTTCCTCCGAGTGTGAGTCGATATTCATCTTCAATTAGCTTGTCTCTTTTACTCTTGTATTCGGCGAGGTCACAGAAAGCGCAGAGAATGAGAGAGAGATGTAATATTAATGAGAGCATTGTAATTTTGTTAAGGTCAGGAGGGCACGGAAACAGCGTATCACACAGTTGACCGTCGGAAATAGACTGCGATATCTCGTGGCTCAATGACCCACGTCTGGCGATGAGTACCTAGTTTTATAACAAAACAAAAATGCTAACAATTGTCGAGTTATTCAAGAAATTTCTGTCGTGACTTTTAACAATAGGAATTGCCACACACTAGGTATTCATTGTTATAAGTTATCTGTAGTTTATTATAATAAACTCAATTCTATACAGTAAGTATATGTAGGTAGATAGGTAAAAGTGAATTCTGTGGATAGTAAGTTGAATAGCTATGCTAGCTAGTCTATGTAAATACTAAAATTGAATAATGAAGTAGTTAATACCTATCCTTCATATGAGTATCTAAGTATATAGGTCTTTTTTCAATACAATAATTTCAGATATACCTTCATTTTTCTATGTTTATTATTTAGCAAATAGCTACCCAGAGCATATCTTCTTAGTGACAAAATTAGAAAATAAAATGAAATTATTAATTTACGACCTACGAGTATCTACATAATATAGGTATAAATTAACATGAAAACATTTTTATACAAATACCTACTCATAGCTGACTATTTGTTCATTTCATAAAGTGTTATTCCGATAAAAATTATGGAAACAAAATGTCTACTAAAAAAATAAAACATGCTGCAATATGCAGTAAACCACTTCCTTATTGAAATAGTTTGTTGTTTTTATTTAAAAAATAAATGCAGTCATAATAAATACCATAGGTACCTACTTACTACAATTAGATATAAATATAACATTTTAAATAAGTATTTACTAGAAGTAAAATATCACTTTTAGGAATCACCTAGTAAAAGTGGTGACTTCAATATTCTAAATTCTATTGTATATTATATAAATAAATGTATTGTTTGAACACTTGGTAAAGCAGATATAAAAATAATGTGGTCGAAGTCATTGACGTATTTGGTACGTGCTAGGTGAAGGATAAGAGACTACCACAGGTTACTTAAAAATATAGTTACCTAAACACTGTAGATATATAAGTACTTAGGTAATCACATTAGATACATTTAAGTATTGTATATTACCGAAGTAGACTTTATACAAAGTAGTCTGCGTCACGACACGTGTTTGACTTACTTATTTCAGCCTCTAAGCATGTTCGTTTATAAGATATATTTCGGTTGTTGACTAAGGCAGTGATATTTCAGGGTAAACGAGGTATGACATCTTATTACCCAGGATCGGCATCGCATGATCATGATGCCGAGGTGATATTCATATACATGGGCGACTATTACTACTTACCATTACGTAGAAAGGCAGGACATTTCTTGCCTTTCGTACATTTGTGTACGAGTATATCACGACGACGGTGATCCGCAGGTCTTATAAAAATCTCGACAAAAATTGGATTACGATGACGAATCTTTGTCAAATAATATGCTATGTCATGAAGAACACTTTTAGTTTTTTCTATTTACTTTTAGTTAAGTATGTAGTTGTCTTTTTTCCCGTAAAGAAAAACCTACTACCTACATATTTCTAAAGATAATACCGTATTCAGTCCAGGAAGAAACCGACTTCCATCGCATTATTAAAAATAACTCAAAAACTACTGGTCAGTTATTGACGATTTATAAGGACCCACAAAGAAGTAACCAGCTTTTAAATAAACAAAGTATCAAAACCTATTCACTTAGAAAAGAGTTATGAAGTAACACATAAAGTAAAAACTAGAAAAATACACTCGAATTTTCTGAAGGCGGATGAAAATTATATAGGTTCAGTAATATCAATTTTGCAATAGTAGACAAAAAATCAGTCTTGGTAGTTAGTAAAACGGGGCGATACGTGCTTACCTATTAAATGACAAATAATCGACGTTTGTCTTGTGCAAGCAATGTATTCACTAAAACCGAACTGGTGTAAATTACAAACAGCGGCTTCCAAAGGGGTTTCGCTTTCAAAGAAACTAAAGAAAAAAATAATATAAAAGAAATGTAGAGGTTCGTCGTACGTATCCGCCATGCTGATTTTCTGCAAAAGGGTTGGGGATGGATTAAGTGGCACTTTACAGTACCGCCCCGCTGGTTGTACGTATTCGTTAAAAAAAAAAGAACATGGCCGCGACATGGTAAGTCACGTATGAATTCGGTCACGATCACACTTGTCATTTTTTTGTCCACATTTTATATTAATAATGAATAATTATAATTTTGTTCCACAAAAAGCCGATAGATATCTATCATGACAAAATTTGCATTTTTCTATGAACACCAAAATATCTATTCATTCAGTAGTATTTAACCTTAATTTATATTTCTGTCTCTATGTAAATACTAATGTTATTTCAATATATTAATTACGAACTTAAATAAATTATGATTTAGTTTCATAAAAATATAGGTATTCAAATTGTATTATTTTTAAATTAAAAGACATTATTATGTTTAGTAGCATGTAACGACAAAGGCCACTATATATGACTAGCTAGTCATATTTAGTGGCCTTTGTCGGTCCAGGACATCGGCCCCATCATTCCTAACCCATAATTTACCTACGTATTCTTCAGTTTTATTACGCAATATTCTGTTTATTTGTAGTTTTATGATTACAATTATTATAGGTGAGCTGCTGTTCAGCTGTTCGCTTTTTAAGATAAAATATAGTCAATTATCGTTCTAGGGACAAAATCTGGACGTAAAATTTCATAAACAGTACAGTCGAGTGTATGTAACAAACAGACAAATAATTCCGTATTTAATATTACTACTAGTTATAACAAATCCCTACTAATACAACATCAAAATCTGTAAAATAGTGAATGTATATAACATTCACTATTTTACAGAGAAACATTAGGACGGAAGGGAATTGTTAGTAATGTGAACTGATAACCCCATTGCTAGCAATGTACCATGTTGATCTCCACGCGGTTCCCTCTGGAAATCATCGTGATATGTTGCAATTTAGATGAGCCCATCTTGGGAAACTGACCTAACTTGATGCTCATTTTATTATCCTTCACTGGTGCCCCGCCAGCGTAAACCGTTAGCGCAGGCCGGTGTATCATTCCATTAAATCTATATATCTATATATATAAATAAAATTGGAGTGTCAGTTTATAATATTCAAATAACCGTTTTTTACATGTACATAAATGGATAACATGGATACATATATACGTTACCTACACCAAAATTACATTTTTTACAATTTTTGTCTGTCTGTTTGTTCGGACTAATCTCTGAAATGGCGGGACCGATTTTGACGGGACTTTTTTTACAGGTAGATGATGTAATAAGGAGTAACTTAGGCTACGTTTATTTTAGAAAAATAAAGTTTAATTTCACGCGGACGAAGTCGCGTGTAAAACTAGTCCATAAATAAATACAAATATAATACATAAAATCACTCTATTATAACTGATTTCACACATTTATGTATAAGATTGTACATATATATTATTGGAAAATATCAAGGTCCTTACATACATTATTATATTTTACACACGTCCGGAAATTTTTATTATAAGGTATAATATCGTGTTATGTAATATTATAATCACAAATTGTTATAGAATTTTCGATATGTTGTAACTAAAGAGGTAAAGTTATTCCAGGTATATATATACGTTATTTTTAACTAGTTGAAACCCGCGACTTCGACTGTTTATGAAAACAGTACTCCCATATTTTAACTCTTTCAGATTATTTTTTAGGTCCCTATCCGACTTCGTGGTTACAATAGATATATCTATGCATCAAATTTCATTAAAATTAACTTAGCTATTTGTTAGCGATAACAAACAGACTGATAGAAATACTTTCGCATTTATAATAATACCAATTGTATTGCCATATCCTACATCAATTCTGGATGTGGCCGCCCTTACCGCACTCTAGGTGTTAAAAATAGCTTAAACTTCTTCTTAAACCTACTATTTGGTATCATTATAAATATATAACAATCGTGTACCCGTTTCAAAGGAGTTTGATAACAAACACTGTAATTGTGATTTTTATATATTAGACTAGCTGTTTCCTACGGCTTCTGCTTTTTTGTGTTATGTTTTATTATGATTTCAAATAATTAATTTTGATCACTACAGTTATTAAGAAACAGATGGACATTCGTTCGTATTTTTAATATTAGTATTGACGAATTAAAGTTACTAGGGTGAACACTAGCTTACCAAGGTGCTTTGAATAAGTACGGCGTTCTTAGTCCGTCTATATACGTCGAGTGTTGTCACCTTTCGCTTTAATCTTCTGATTACAGTTCCCTTGAAGTATTGTGTATACTGTGTATCTATAGGTAGTATATATATACAAGTTTATAACCTATATCTCCATTTACACAAATTAATAAAATAAATGTCAGTTTGTAATTTAAAATTAACAGCTTTTTCTTTAAATGTGTATGAAAGTACCTACATACAATAATAATTAAAAAGTAATTGTATTCTTTTTGTCTGTGTGTCTGGCCGATTCTGACGGGACTTTTACTCGGATTTATCTAACGTTATAAGAAGTTACTTAGGCTACTTTTATTTATTTATTTGAAACCAACAGCATACACAATACAGTGTTTATTTTAGGAATTTTATTTATTTTAATAAAAAAAAACATTAAATTCCACCTGAACATAGTCGCTGGTAACAACCAGTGAAGAATAGATATGTAGGTCTATTAATATCTACGACACTAGTATACACAGTTAGTATTAAGTTTTTACGTAAGATGGTAACAGGTATGCTAAAAAAAGTAAAAGTGTGCATTTACTTTCGCATATTATTCCGAATGGTTTCCATTGTCACCAAATAATAATATAATAATCAGGTGTCTATGGATATAAAGGACTTTTGCAGACAGTTGACCGTCATCACAAGATCATCATCTAGACCAAGATTGTCATCGCAAATCTTTACATATATCTATTATAAAATGAAGCCGCTTCCGCTGTTTGTTCGCTTAAATCTTTGAAACTGCGCTACAGTTTTTAGCAATAGCTAGAGTGATTGAAGAGGAAGATTTATATGTGTATTTTATGTACACCCGTGCGAAGTCGGGTCGGATAACTATACAAAGATAAACATAATAAAAAGTACAGTTAAATAATAAAATAAATTTATTTAAAAAAGAATATGCACTAAGTTTAATATACAGCGATTTCGATCAATAGGACGCAAGGCAAAAAACGAAATATGTCGCCTATGAAAAAACTAGAAATAGATGTTAGGTGATTAGGATTATTGGCAATGTCCTCCATTTATATTTAGATAGGAATCTATTTAAAATACGGAGTAATTTTTGCATCCATTTAATATATTTATATAGATAAATTTTCAGATAACATAAAAATTTTACCGAGATCAAAGATATAGAAATAGAAATAATCTTTATTAAAATAAACTTAATTCAAGTACTTTTGAATATTCATATTATTTTATTCTACCATTCATTCGGAACGCAGACTCATCACATTAAGAACGAACAAGAAACTTGTGTGTTGCTCTTTTAAATAAATATTGGTCAGAATTACATTTTTAACAATTTTGTGTGAATACAAAGTACCAAACGTTATGCGGAGGAATGAGGACCATGTCTTATGGAAAGTGTTACATGAATGTGGATTTAGGGGACTAAGAAAAGATGGATAGATTGTGTGAAAGATGAATGAATTATGTAGATATGACGACCGATAGAGAGCAGTGGAAAAGAATGACATACTGCGCCGACCCCAAATAATGGGATAAAGGCAAGGCAATGATGACAAAGTACAAAACGCCAAATAGCAATTAAGTAGCTACTTAGTTATGTTCATGTATATATTGGTTACGGTTACCACTTAGATACCATGGTCCGTCAGTTGTGTGCCATTTCAATTACGTAAAAATATTTAGGTTTGATACAATTTTTAAATATCTCTCTAGCACTCTGTTATTATTATTATTAATAATAATATACAAAGTCGCTACTTTGATCTGTCTATTTCTCAGCTTAATTCAAAATCACATGTCATCACATAATTTCGAGTAATTTATCCGGAATATGTATACCTACTAAACGAGTATGCAAATACCGTAAACAATATTGAACTATTTTTTCAGTTCATATAAGCAGGTACCACTGAATGGTAAAATATTGCTTGCCAAATTTCATGCTGGTGAAGTCGCGGTAAACAACTAGATAATAGAAGATAAATAATATTCTATTACAGATAAAAAACAAATCATGTCACCGTAACTTTTATAGGCATAGGTGAGATTACAGACTAAATATTTTTACGTAATAGTCACTCAAGCGTACAAATAGATACAAAAGCAATATCGATAAAACCTGTTTTTTTATATATTGGCCACAACCTTGTTCCAAATATTATCTTTTATAAGATAGTAAGTCTTTAGCTCTCGAAATTGCAGGTAGTGGCTATGTGGCTTGTGATTGTGTATTTATTATTTGGAGATGCACAATTGGTGTTGTCAACTGTTTCCGATCGATACGAAAATGTTATCAATGAGAGGGATACTTTATTTAAAAAAGAAATTGACATGATGCTAGGAAGTGATATAGTTCTCAGTGACAGTGAAGAAAAAGTGAATGAAATAATTATAGAACTGAAACATCGGGAATTAGATACAGGATTACTAGAACCAGGACAGTTTAACGTCTCGAAACACTTTTTCGAATATAAAGAGACAATAAAAGAAACAAACCTATTTAAAATAATTAAGCGTATGCCAAAAGGTGCGATACTGCATGCTCACGATATAGCCATTTTAAGTCCGGATTATGTTTTAGGATTGACTTACTCCGAAAAATTGTATGTTTGTTTCGAGGAGGATGACGTGCGATTCTTGTTCTCAAAAGACATTCCAAAAGATACATGTGGAACTCGATGGCAGTTGCTGAGAGACGCGAGATTTTCCTCTGGTAACGTAGAAAAGTTCGATGCTGAGCTAAAAAAATATTTTACTATTGTAATTGATAATCCAGAAGAAGTATACACTGATATTAATATTGTCTGGAGTATATTCCAAGACTATTTTGTAAGATTTAGTGGAATAATCAGTTACAAACCTGTTTGGGAGAAATACTTTTACGATGCTCTTAAAGCATTAAGAGACGATAATATTATGTACTTAGAAATTCGTAGTACTTTACCACAATTGTACGATTTAGAGGGAAATGTTTTTGATTCTCTAGCGACTGCACAATCGTATAAGGATGTTTCAGATAAATTTGTTATTGACTATCCAGACTTTTATGGTGTTAAGCTAATATACTCACCACTACGCCTGGTCGATTACTCAACTGTTAAAAGTTATATAGAAATAGCAAAAAATATTGATAATAAAATACCTGGATTTTTAGCTGGATTTGATTTAGTTGGCCAAGAAGATTTAGGCGCTCCTATAAAATATTTTTTACCGCAACTTGTTGAAGCTGGAAAATATTTGAAATTCTTTTTCCATGCCGGTGAAACGAATTGGAATGGAATGAGTCCTGATGAAAATATATTCGATGCAATTGTATTAGGTACACAACGTATTGGTCATGGTTTTGCATTGGCTAAGCACCCTGTTTTGATTGAAGAAATTAAAAAGAGAGATATAGCTATAGAGGTGAATGTTATATCAAATGCTGTTCTCGGATTAGTGAAAGATGTGCGGAATCATCCATTATCTTCTTACCTAGCTCAAAATCTGCCAGTGGTATTATCATGTGACGATCCCGGAGCTTGGGAAGCTGATCCATTATCTCATGATTTCTACGTTACCTTTGTTGGTGTTGCAAATCGCCATGCTGACTTGAAACTTTTAAAGAAACTGGCTTTGAACTCTTTATATTATAGTACACTAAAGGATAAAGACAAAATTATACATGAGTTTGAAATACGTTGGATTAGATTTATTGACTCCATCCTCAAAGGGAATTACTGAAAATATTACTGTGTATAAGTTATAAAAAATAAGCAAACACAATGATTGTATTATTGTTTTACCTACATCTACAATACATACTCGTTACTTAAATTTTAACTCGGAGTAAAACACTGTAGACTACCTGACTGATTTCTCCCGATTCTCAAAGTTCTCTTCCATATTTAGTTTGGCGTCTTTTTAGTTGATATTTATTGTCTTGATTTTAACTATATTTTTTTTAGAAAAAACCATTATATCATTTTAAAAAGAAACATTTACATACATAAATACCATTGAAGTGGGAAAATAGTCCTTATTTCTAAACAAGAACAAAGTATTAATTGTACTTACTTTAAAGATATTAATTTTCTGCTATGTTTTATGTAGGTATCTAGGTACCTACATAAAACATAGCAGAAAATACTTACTTGAATAAATAATTACTTGAATCATATAAATACATTTTAGATTTCATAATAGTGATTGCATTCCATAATTGTAAAAACTGACTATTAGATAGATATAACTAATGAAGAAAATAATAAAATCGTTCTTTAATGAAAGTAGATACCTAAGTCATTAACGAAAATAGTATCTAAATACTAAAATTCAATCAAAGTTAATTGATTATAATATTAATCTATATATTACCTAATAATAATAACAGAGTACGATAACGATAAGTCTGATAATGCTATTGCACGTTTCATTTTTTATTAAATTAAGAAATATATGTTAGTATGCAAGGGAAACAGAGATATGTATTAAGTATATTATGTAAGTATGCATTAAAAAAGTCTAAGTATTTATGTCAGTTGTCTAGTACCCATAACACAAGCTCTGCTTACCGTAGGATTAGATGACGCTCTGTTAATTGTCCAAAAAAAGTATTTATATAGTAGCTATGACGTTTTCAGTTCAAATTAAGTAGGTAACAACTACACATTTTCTCTACATATCTTTGTAGTATGATCAATTGTGGGCTATATTTTCAATAATATATAATAATAACATAGGTACTTACAACATATTATAAAACGTCTGAAAATATTTCGTTCGAAATAAGGCATTAAATGAATTTGGCAACAAAATTGGTAACAGACATTTTTGACGTAGTACTGGCTAATACTATAATCACATTAACTATATTTACTAAATCCATATTAATATTAAAAATGCGAAAGAATGTCTGCTTGTCTGTCAGTTTTTAATATTTTCACGACTAAATATCTCAACGGATAAAGTTGGACTGGCCCATGAGGATTCGCAGTATTTTATTTATAAACAAAGGACGAGTATTAGGAGTTACAATGTGCTATATGGATTATTAAAATGAAAGCAATATTTTGAAACTTTATTACATACGAGTACTTAAAACATACTTTAGACACCAATCGAAAAGTTTTTCTTCAAATATACTATCAGTAGTCTTCTTTACAACAATATGATTTTATACTTTAGGTGTAGAAGTAAATGTGTTAATTTTATCTACGCTCTGTTACTAAAACATTAGTATCCATCAGACCATCTGTATGCAATGTCTAGACTAATCTGCAGGAAACTGCGGTCTTATCAATAAGCAGATTCTACAGACTGATATGTTTTGACATGTTTTTAAAGTAGCTTGGTAGGTATATCCTATTTCCTGCTTTGGCTCTTCACTTGAAGTGTATAGCCAAAAATTTAGCTTCACCTTAAATGGCGTTAAATGTTCATATTTTTTACAATTCAAATTATTTGGCGTGAATAATGAGCTGAATAATTATAGCAATTATTATAATAACACTTGACTATAATTTGTGAACAATTTATAATAATCCGGCAATGTAAGCACATAATTTGTGGTGACGCACTGCTATAAAATTGCAATAAAAACAACCTTTTTTGACTTTTAAAGGTTATCAAATATTTAAATCACATTAGGTGGGATAGAAAAAATGGATGGACAAAATGAACTGCGTCAGATTGTACACCGGTTTTATAATACCTAAATACTCTTTGGAGATCATCAACCTATGACGAAGTGATGAAATATGAGACCGCGTTGCGCCATCTATCGCACAGTCTCCTACACTAGCAGCAAAACAATTCTGTACCTTCACAGTAAAGCTTTACAGAGTACATGTATATATTCTATTGGAATTTGCAATAGTATCACTGCAAAAGTATACAAAATAATGTTATAAATGAATTGATAGTTACTATTTTATTATTACATCGTCATTATATTTTTGACCGATTATCTAAGTGTCTTGACTGCAGATAATATTTAATGAAAAAAAATAAAATATCTATGAAAAGCTGTCTAACCCTAATTTTCATTGAATGTATATGTACCGATATTCGTGCAATAAATAAAATTTTAATTGAATTGAAAAAACTACCTACAAAGTAGTGCAGGTTGGCTGAGATCTATATATAGCGGTGGATTCGTTAGTTGGCTATGTTGCTAGTACCTAAAAGTTATAAAATTAGCCAGAAAAAAATTGTCAACAAAAAATATATTAAAAAAATTGTAATTCAAGTTTAGTTTATTTCTTTGCCTTCTTAGGAACTTTTAGCAGTTAGTAATAAGTTCACATAAAGTTATTAAATATTCTGGGGTTCTATAATTTTCTTTACCACACTTAGATAACTAAAACTAAGATGTTGTCAAACTCCAATTATAGAACAAAGGCTTTACTTTTGTTGTAAGTGACTTTTTTCTGGATAATTACCACTATTATTAACACCTACTATGATGCTAGAGTTAATGAGGATCGTATATGCTATTGTAAGTACAGATTAATTTACAATTATATAGGATATTACTTATAAATATTAGAAAATTATCAACCGTTTCACTAAAATCTCGTCACAATTTATTACATAGGTATCAACTATTCTTCGTTGTAAATCCTTTCGTGTATTATTTAAAGGTATGTTTACTTTTTTTTTAATCAATCACTTTAAAGTGAGTACAAGTGACCTAAATTTTGTCAAAATATTGAATATTTCACAAACATAAGGAATCGATATATTAGTATAATACTGAATATGACGGAGATTGTAAGTTACTAACATACATTTACCTAGGTAGGATTTTTATTCATAAAACTATTCTATTTAATAAGTCGTAGCGATTATTTCTTTCAGAAATGTTTTCCATCTTCTGTTAAAAATTTCGAACAGTTTAGTTTTGCCTTTCTCATCTAATGCACTGTACTTTATTGAGTTGATAGCCAACTGCTTAAGCATACGTAAATCAGCGTGCCTACTAGCAACTCCCGAAAACGCTATATAAAAGTCATGAGACAGTGGATCAGCGTCCCAGGCACCGGGATCATCGCTGGATAAAACCACTGGCAAACCAAATGCCAAATATGAAGCCAAGGGGTGATTTCTTACATCCTGAATTAAGGATAACACTACATTAGATATTACATTTACTTCTAAAGCAATATCATTATCTTTTATTGATTTTAATAAAGTGGGATGTTTAATTAACGCGAATGCGTGACCTATTCTTTTTGTTCCTAATAGAACAGCATCAATCAGATTTTCATCTGTTGATGTACCAAACCAGTCAGTCTCTCCACCGTGGAAGTAGAAATTCATTTTTTCCTTTGCTTCATACAGAACTGGAAAGAATTCAAACAATGGTTTTCCTAGATCCTCTTGCCCAACTAGATCAAAACCAGCGAAGAACTCGGGCATCTCGGCTTTTAGTTTATCAGCGAGTTCTAAAGCAGTTTGAATTTGATTTAAAGTACCCGTACGTATGTTTGACAGAATTATCTTAACTCCAACAAAATCCGGATAATCCTCCATGAATTTCTTTGTAATTTGTTGATATAACTTCGCGAGGTACAGTCCCTGATGTTTTGTTCCATCCAGTTCATACAAAGAGCTTAATCCTGTTCTTATTTCAATATACATGACATTGTCGTCATAAAATGATTTTAAAGCTTTGTAGAAAAATTTCTCTCGTGCAGGCCTATAGCGGATTATAGATTTTATGGCGCGAATTACTTTATCGAATCGTTTCCATGTAAAGTTTATATCCGAGTTAATAATATCTCCATTTTCTGTGTATAACGTGAAGAAATTCTTCAGTTTCGAGTCAAATGCGCTGACGTCATTCGATGCATTTCTAAGATCACTAAGGAGACTCCACTCAAGCGAGCAAGGTCGTTCGGGAACAGTGTTAGAGAATTGTAAATCTAAGTGGTCATCCGTGTAACAGGCGTATAAGTGGTCCTCGTAAGTCAGTTCAATCAACTTATCCACATGTAACATTAGCGAACTGTGTAAATGTAAAGCAGCTCCTTTTGGCATCCGTTTAATAATTTGATACACTTTAGATTTATAGATTTCGTTTTTATAAGTAAAATAATGTTTAGAAAAATTAAAATACTGTGGATGTTTGAACGACTCTTCGCACTCTTCTTCCTTCCAATGCATTAATATCTTATTCACTGCTTCTTCATCTTCATTTAAAACTAATCTTCCGCCTAGAGATGATTCATATTCTTCAGCAAGTATATTACTTCGGTTCATTATATAGCTGTTTACATTGATAATTCTCGATTCGTATTGTCTCATAAATAATAAACACAGAGTTGTTTGAATAACGAAAACATACATTTTGTGGACGGACACTCACAAGTCAACTAACACTTCGATCTCGCGTGCCTCTACCAAGTACTGAGTCGTGTATGCGTAATTCTTTGATATTTATAGGATCAAGCGAAACGACAACGTCAGAATGCCGACCAAACACCAGGAGGATCCGTAATGGACAAAATGCCACTGAATTGATGCGTACAATAACATGAGAGCTATTCTTAGAAATTATTATCACCATTTTCACACTAGTGTCTGGAATTATTAAACATATGCCTTATGCCGTATAAACAAGAGCATATAGCAAAAACACACGTTACTTGCTACGTCACTATTGTGACCGCAATTTTATTTATAGTCTGCATATATTTTTTAGACATTTGATATAATTTCGTAAACCTTATATGAGAATATAAAAACTATTTACATGGGTCATAGACCTCCCTTTTGGGAGATAACTTAGTCACCTACATCCATTGATATCCTGACACACATTTGAGGTCATTACTCCATTTGATGGAGAGTTGTAGGTAATATGTTTTGTGTGGAAAAAATAATAATATAGGAAATAATAACTTTTATTTAAAAAATAGTTAAAACATGTATTCAATTACTAGTGTTGGGAATATGAACTATATTACTATCCTATGTGGTCGACCTCCATGCGTTTGATCTTGGAAATTATAATGGCCAATAACGACTAAGTGACCTAATCTTATCATCATCCTTTGATCTTCTATGTATAAAAGCTGAGGCGGTATTGTTATTTCAAAACAATCCACCGGAAAGCACTTTCAGGAAACATACTTTTATAGGGCGGAAGTTAGTTAGCTAGTTGACAGCTATGTATCATGTCAGGTAAACCTCCACGCATTCGCACTGGAATTCATCATGGTTAATACCCGGCGAATTCGCCAAGCTGTTAGACTAATTGACCTGACTTCACGGTAATACTGTCGTCCTCTGGGAACCAGCGTAAACCGTTAGCTCAGGCGAGTGTTAACCGGGTCTTAATACGAATAATCTAATGCCAAATAGAGTACTCTCCTCCTCTTATTTTATTAATAGGTATCTCATTAATAATATAAATATTGTGTGTTGAACACAAAAGTTGTAAACAACTATTTATTCCATCCATTTTCACCGTATATACAGGTGCACAGTATACGGACAATAAGGCACTAAAATGTTGTATTGGAAAAGCGAAAAAGAAAATGATAGATCAAGGTTGTTTAATAAAATGTTTCAAGAGTACTACAAAAACTAAACACATTTTTACGTAACGCGTACCTTACGTAAAAAATGTGGCAATGTTCAATAAATTTCTAACTGATATTTTGGATAGTTTTTTGTTAATGGCTAATAATGAAATGGTGTTCCCGCCTGCGCTAACAGTTCACGCTAGAGTGGTGGAGTAGGCTATAGCGTGGCGGTGGATGCTAGCGTGGGTAAGATGAGCTCGATGAGATCAATTCGGTTAGTCATCGTGGCAAATTCACCTGGAATTTATCATAATGTCAGAGTCAGTCAAGAGAGCCCGTAGTAAACGGGTATGTTATTGGTTAGCGCAGAAATTAAAAAGTGCAAATATAAAATTAATATTAGTCCTGATCTTCTGTTTTAAATCGCGACCTTAAGTGAAATGCATCAGTGTTCAATATCAATTGAGGTGTCATAGTTCCTGCTGCAACACCGCGATAGATTCATCCCTGTCACACCCGTACGAATTTCGCTACGATTCGTCTTTGTCATCGGTGTACAAACACAGAGTTAATTACCAAAGAGCATTAGCTTGCCGGAAGAGACTTAAAATGTTGCGTTCGCCGTCTGGACGATATGGTTCTGATCCAAACCTAAACGATTCTAGTTTTGTGTTACGGAAGCGTAAACACGACGATGAGTTTACTGACCTATTTAACAAGTTTACTGCAAATATTACCTCCAAATTAGCCGCATGGAAAGATGAGGTCACTAATGAGATATCTAAGATTAGTACTAACATAAACACAGTAAGAGAGGATATCTCAGAACTAAAGGAAGCATCCCAAGAATTTAAGACGGAGATTGGAAAAATTCGGAACGATCACCAAGAAATTAAAAAAATTACTCAAACTCTGAACGACGAACACATTAAATTGAACACGGAAATGGACTTAATAAGGAATTCTATCGAATTTCACAGTGCTCAATGTGAAGATCTTAACAAGAAAGTAAATTTATTTTCGGATGATATTAAAAACATTGTCACATTGGAATCAAAATTGATTGCTATACAAAATGAAAATAGACAATTGAAACAGCTGATAAACTCTAATGATCAACGTGAAAGACTTTTAAACCTTGAAATTGTGGGTATCCCAGAAACAGCCAATGAACACCCAACTAACATAGTAATTAACTTAGCAAAACTAGCAAATGTGGATATAATACCTGCCAATATTATTTTTGTCAATAGAATTACCCCGAAAAACAAACAACATGGAAGGCCTAGAATCTTAATTGCACGATTGTCATCGCGCTTATTAAAAGACAATATTATCTCAGGTGCACGCAAATTGCGTTTGACTACAAAAGACTTAGGCGTGAGTGGAGAAGTGAAACCTGTTTACGTCAATGATAACCTGACGCCTCAGAACAAACTACTGTTAAAAAAGTGCAAAGAAACAGCAAAAATAAAGGAATTTCAATATGTTTGGACAAAACACGGAAAAGTTTATATCAGAAAAAACGATACCAGTCCTTTGATTCAGATTTTAGACGAGGAAGACATGAAAAGGAAGATAGCCTAGTTCATAGAATTCTTGTTAGATGTCATATCCATATATCATATCCCTTAATTATTATGGGTGTTGAAGTTGTACATCAGCCTAAACAAGTCACTTCTAGTTGTTCTTATTCTCTAGTTCATATTAATAAATTTCAATGTCGGTACTTGCAGATACTTTGGGTTATGCTATCGCGTACAAAAATGGATCTATCACAGTTAAATTATAAAACACTAATAATCTATGTTATTTTATATAATTTAATACAAATAATAATATATATGTTTTTGCGTCTATACATATCTAATTGTGCTATTGTTACATTAGGTAATAACAATTTAAACGTCACGTCACGAACTTTTATCTACCGTAAAGTTAATACCGTGTTAATGCATTATTTTCTTAACGCTTCTTGTCACCCAATTTTTTATATGCCCATTATAGTAGTCAATATTAAAATTAATTCGTTGTACATAACTATATGTCGGACATTCTTGTTAGTATATTGTGTGCCCCGGGCACACAATATATTGACTGAGTTAAAGACCTAATGAGTTAAAGACCTTATAATTATAATTATGATAAAATACACAATACCTTACAGTGTCCAATTTTAATTGCATACGTATTTTCTATCAGAATACTCGCGGTTTAAGAACAAAATGTTCAGAATTTAGACAAAATATTTTATCTAACGAGTACGACGTAATTGTTATCACGGAGACGTGGTTACATAACGGGATTTTTGACCGCGAACTATGCGATGCCAGGTACGACGTTTTCCGACAAGATCGGGATGTGATTAGTAGTCACAAATCACTAGGCGGTGGAGTGATGATTTTGACCAAACGGGAATTACGAGCTAGGCGTGCGGAGGTCCGGGCGCCGACCCCTATCGAGATGTTGACTGTGACGATACCGGCAAACGCGCTAGGCGCTACACCCGGTCATACTTGCGTCGATTTATGTATTAGCGCTGTATACATTAATACTAATACGTTGTCACTCGATATTAATTATATTATACAAGAACTAAAAACCATGTACGGTCTTTACTATTCTCAACAAAATTATTTATTGGTCGGGGATTTTAATTTACCTTGTATCTCTTGGTCTAAAGAAGGACCGGTACACAGAAAATATGGTAGTACCAGTTTACAAAATGCCGGAGTATATTTAGTAGAAGAACTTAGTCTTATGGGTTTATCACAATATAATAGCCTACAAAATTACGCAGGTAATACGTTAGACTTGGCATTTTCTAATTTACCTCTTAACATCGATCCATGTTATAGCCCACTGGTAAAGTTAGATCAAGCTCATCCCACTTTTACTATAGATATATATGACATTAAAGTATCGCAACTAAATGAGATCTCACCACCAAATCGTAACTTTAGAAGAGGTGATTATGAGGCATTAAATGAATATCTATATAAATTTGACTGGAATAGGGTGTTATTAATCGAAAGTGTAGAGGATTTAACCATAGCTATGTACCAAGTAATTTGCGAAGCCATTGAAAAGTATATACCATTAACTAAAACCCGTATCAGCAACTTATATCCTATTTGGTACAGTCTAGCACTCATAAAGATAATCCAAGAAAAGAAGAAAGTACATGCCAAATGGAAAAAGAGTGGGAATAGACGTTACTATGACGAGTTTACTTTACTACGTAAAAGACAAAAATCCGTTCAAAAATGTTGTTACAACACTTACACTAATAATATTCAAAAAACAATAAAAACTAAACCAAACGCTTTTTGGTCATATATAAAAAGCATGCGTAATGGATCTAATTACCCTAAAATTTTATCATACGGAGATCTGAAGTGTACAGATGGCAGCCAAATTTGTAAAGCCTTTAACGAGTTTTTTAAAAGTGTGTTTGGGAAACCAATCACATCAGTTATACAACCTAATGAATTGAAAACAAATGACAATGCTGACGCTATATTTAAGTTGCATATTTCAGCATCAACTGTAGAAAGGTATTTAAAAGCGCTCGACACAACCAAAGGCCCGGGCAGTGACGGCATACCACCCATATTTTGGTATTCATGTGCTAAATCGCTAGCGATCCCTCTTGCGTACATTTTTAACAAATCATTACATGAAGGCATATTTCCTTCAGTCTGGAAAAAGGCTCATATTGTACCTATTCATAAAAAAGGTTCTAGAACAAACGTCGAAAACTATAGAGGTATATCTCTACTAAACACAATTGCAAAAGTTTTTGAAAAAACGGTATACGATAGACTATACTCGGTTATTGAAAAGGGCATCTCTAAACACCAGCATGGTTTTCTCAAAAATCGTTCAACAGTAACAAATCTGACTTGTTTCTCTGATTTCATATTGACAAATATGGATGGTGGGGGACAAGTAGACGTTGTATATACTGATTTTGAGAAAGCCTTTGATCGTGTGGATCATGTGATTTTGTTGAGAAAACTATTTGAATTAGGAATACGTGGTGATTTGCTGAGGTGGATACAATCTTATCTATCAAATCGTTCACAGGCTGTCGTGGTTGGAGGATATAGATCCGATTTTGTGGAGATACCAACTGGTGTCCCACAAGGTTCACACTTAGGGCCGTTATTATATAACGCATATATTTACGACATAGTAAACAGTGTGGAATATGCTGATTATCTTATGTATGCCGATGACAAAAAAATATTTTACAGGATCAATTCTGAATCGGACTGCCTTCGACTGCAATCGGACCTAAATAAACTATTTAAATATTATTTAGATAATCAAATAACAGTAAATGTAAAAAAATGTCAATGTATTACTTACACGCGTAAAACGAATCCTATTGTATATACATATAATATTAATAACATAGCAATTGTCAGATCTGATGTAGTTCGTGATTTGGGAGTATTTTTTGATCACAAAATGTTACTTAATAGTCATATTGATAATATAGTAGACAAAGCATATAAAAATTTAGGATTTATAATTCGTGCTTGTAAAGATTTTACTGACGTACAGGCTATTAAAACCGTGTATTATGCCTATGTGCGTAGCATTTTGGAATACGCAAGCCAGGTATGGTCACCGCAATATTCAGTGTATAAAAACCGCATAGAGCGAATACAGAGGATATTTGTAAATCATCTCAATTATCAGCTTCGTGTGTCCTCTACCTCTTATAATGAGGACTGCCATCGGCATGGTCTTCTCACACTAGAAGATAGACGTAAAGTGTTGGATATGTGTCTACTTCACGATATCGTACGTGGTCGTTTTGACTGCGAGGAGCTGGTAGCTGCCGTGTCTTACCGTACACCGTCGCGCCGCACACGGCACGCCCCGCTTTTGGCAGTACCTCGCCGTGCCTCAAACTATGCAACTAACTCACCCCTCGCTAGAATTCCTCGTGTATACAATAACGAATTTCATGACGTGGACTTGTTTTTTCACACAAAAGGCACATTTAAAAAGCACATTGTTAAATATATAAGTGACAGTTACACAGCGATAGTCTAGTATCTATAATATGCACACTGCATACATTTTATGGACAAATTACCGGCATCAGTGTGTAGTATATATTATATGGAGATGTATAGCTTCCACACTCATTCATTCAACCATTTATTTAATTCATTTTTTTTTTATGTGTTCAGTTTATTTCTTTGATTTCCTATTTTGTTATTTTGTTTTAGCGCAAGCCAATACTACATACTTTGTGTTAATTAAGTGAAACCTACAGTAGCTTTAATTTTACAACATAAGTTAATGTAAATGAAATTGTAACGCTGTTGGTTTCTAATAAATAAATAAAAAAAAAAAAATAATACATAATGTTTTCTAGGGGGAGCGATATGCTAACTGACCTGACCTATGCTCATCTTATCGTGCTCTGGAGGTCCGCCAACGTAAACCGTTAGCGCAGTCGACACCATTTCATTATCATCCATTAAATAAAAAAACTAAATCCGGCGCCCAATGCCATCAATTTGACTCTCAACAGCTTAAGACTAGTTATGGTGTCACTAGTCTTTCGCGCACTTTGTCATTAGTCTCTAGAAATATGGTTAAGCACAGAAAAATTAAAACTGTTTTGGCTTGTTGAACATACTGCAAAATATGGCTCTAAGGCTTCAAAGTTTGGAGTTTAAAATATGGTGTATTGCTAGCAATGTGGTTATTAGTTCACATGACTCACAATCCCCTTCATTCCCTCCATTTTGGATAGTAGGTATGTTTAGTTTAATTTAATAATAAACATGTGTTAGTTAGTTATCATTTTTAAATACATAATAAGGATAAATGCAACAGAGATGGTCATAACATCATTGCATGAAATCAGTAAAATATTATGATGAAACACAATAGGGTTAAAGATCATGAAATTGAAGATAAATTATTCAACAATAAGTTTTTAAGTTAGGGAATACAATTAATCATATACCTACATCTTAATATAGAAACATGTATTTTACAATATATTACATTTTCCCATTTTTACTGCTTTATTTTATTTATACTATTATGACGTCGGCAAACAAGCATACAGGCCATCTGATAGTAAATGGTAACCGTAGCCTATGATTGCCTGAAAACCAAGGGTATCACGTGCGCGCTGCCGAGCATTAAGAAACCTTAATATAGGGTATATTATCTTGAAAAACCCAATTTTCTAGTCTCTCGAGAAAACCTCAGCAAGTAGTTCCACAGTCTAAGTGTACGCGAGAGGAACCTCCTCTGGAACTGTTCCTTTGTGAAAGTACTTTAGTTTCATTAGTATTCCTTTTTGCTTTTGGCCTGGTACAGACTAACCTTGTATAGTTGACAGCCAGCAATTTCCATGACCTGCACATTCTTTCGAATAATATTGAATAATACAACCGTCATTGTACCGTTAGCGCAATAGAAACACCATTATTCATTAATTATAAAAACTGATGGCCAATCTGTGAGAAAACGTTACTCGGCGTCGATAACACAATCATGATAGTATGTAATCATGGAACATACCTGTTTTCAACATTATTACAAGA